CGGGCCAAAATACCCGCAGCTACCAGGTTTCAGGTAAATCCATCGGCAAAAGTTCGATTCGCCAATTAATTTTCAGCCACGTTTAATTTTAACCAGACGTTATTTTGAAACGATTTCAGATGATGATTTCAGGTTTCCGCCAAAATTTCTCTTTTTTATATTCTTTCGAACAAAATATCACAAGAGGGGTCCTTTCATTTGAAATAGAAATTGGGGGCCGGTTCCCTCCCCCTCGAAAGCATTAAAAATTCTTGGGGGACCAAAAAGTAGCACCGTTTGACCTAGGAACGTCTTTCAGTTCCAAACCTTTATGCTCGACTAATTGTACCTAAGTAAAAATTTAAAGCTGATGGGAAAGGACTTCTTGATCACCCTGTGGGTATATCTGCCGGTGAATGGAAGAAAAAGTAACAACTAACTACTACACGACGCAACTCTGAAGTTAACATTTGGATACAACTAATCGCACTCTACGGATGTGTGTATTGCGTACCCACAGAAATGTAGGCATTTCGACTTTTCTAGCCATCTACGTTGTAAGTTTAGCGCAATTGGTTGGATTGGAAGGTGCGGGCTCTCTGCAACACATTATCTTGTCCCTACCAATAAGTTTAAATGGACCCTTTTTTCAGGAACTTGAAAATTAACTTCTCTATGTCCTAGACTTAGACTACATATAAAATAGTGAGATTTCAAAACCACGCGCAACGATTTACCGAGTTAAAGGCCCTGCTTATTTCGGAAAACAAGATTTTTCAGGCGAGCAAAAAATTCATGCAAATGCCATCGAGGCCGCTACCTACGAGGGCGGGAAATTTTAGGGGATGGCAAAAAACTTGTAGGAGAAGAAGAGAGAAACAAAGATAGGACGCTGCCACTATCACCATGCGGCGCGACAACGTTTAACGTGACGATTCAATCCAGAAGATATCATGTGCAAGATAATGATTCATTTTATTGCAAAAAGTTGATGAAAAAGTCTGAATTGAAACGATGCCACCATATCTAAAACCTACCTTCATAAACGTTAGTAATTTGAGACAGGTGAAAAGCTAAGATTTTCCTTCATTTCCGGGTGACACCACATCACATACCTTCTGCGGAGGTCGAATAGTGCGCGCTTAATTTCCGCTTTAAATGATGCAAGCATGATGCTGATGCCTGCCCAGGCGCAGGCACTCTGCAGTCTCTGCCTCCAGTCATTCATAAACGTCGGTAATTTGAGACAAGTGAAAAGCTACTAAGATTTCCCTTCATTTCCGGGTGATACCACATCACATACCTACTGCGGAGGTCGAATAGTTGCGCGCTTGATTTCCGCATTAAACGATGCACCTTAAGTCAACGTAGATGTAGGATGCAACCAAGAGCATTCCAATGTCGCTAACCTTGCAAACATAAACGATCATCTAAACTAGTTTCACCTCTACTCCCAATAAACTATGAATTCGAGACGAAAATCACCGTCGCAAAGTTTACTTTTTGCAAAGAATGTACCTAAGTTGCACAAATCCCAGCAACATTGAAATGCTCTTAGTTCCTTTTTGCAAAATGCGATCCAATTGGTTGTTGCTGCAAAAAAATAGTTTCCCACAACCTGCTATACAATGCTCCAGGGACCATGTAAGTTGGCCCGAGCACTAACTTTTCGGGAAGAAAGCCTTTCCCCTACCTGGTTTCTCACTTAATATCCGCCCGAGTTTCGCATATCTTCCGTTTCTCCTCATTGCAGCTTCCATAAAACCGCAATTGCCCGGAAACTAGGACCGCACATCTTATCTGATAAAATCGTTCGCCCTTTAGACCGATTCCGGGGGGTTAGGCTAGACTAGTCGATGAGTCAACTGTTGATCTAATTTCATTACGTGAACGTAGAAGAAAAACGGGGTAAAAAATCACTAATGCGTGATCAATTTTCAAGCACAATTCAGTAATTTCTCCTACGATTTTAAATAGATTAAAACGCGTAATATCCCAAATCTAAGCTCAGATTCGGATTCCTCGTGAAAAATTGATGAGTTGTTATGCATCAAATATTAGAATAGCGTGAAGGAAAGACGTTTAATGACGTAAAAAAACACTAATGTGCGATCAATTTTCAAGGACAATTCTGTAATTTCTCCTTCGATTTTAAATAGATTAAAACGCGTAATATCGAAAATCTAAGCTCAGATTCGGATTTCTCGTGAAAAATTGATGAGATTTCATATATCATATGTTAAAATAGCGTGAAGAAAAAAGGTTTAACGACGCGTATAGATTCTGTCGTACTGCCCCTTTGAACTACGCCGCCGCGCGGGTCGCCCGAGTGAAACCGAACAGGGAGGCGCCAGCAAGCATTCCGTTTTGTCCCGAGGAATTCCTCACGATAAATTCTTATTCTTCCTCCTCCGCTGACCCACTGAGCACTACCCATGTTGCCACGTTGGATTCATATGCTCGAATCAGTATGCCTACGTTGCGTCTCTTTCCTTCACGCCAGGGCCGGATCTAGGGGGGGGCAAGTGGGTGCACGTGCCCCGGGCGCCACTTCAGGGGGGGCGCCAAAATGGCAATGACGTTTTTTTAGAAAGGAGGAGAGAGGGTGGGAGGGTGTGGAGGGGGGAAGAGAGGGGGAAGAGGAGAGGGAGGTTACGAACATCGAAACAGGAATACATACATACGAGTCGCTTTCATAGCGCTCTCTGGCGCTTTACGACGCCTAATCGCCACAAAGCTCAAAACAGGAATAACATTAGAAAAAAGGGGCGAAATTTGTCAGTTTTCATATCTTCTGAAGAGCACCTGAAAGCTGAAGTCAAAGTCAGCACTGAGCATAAGGCGTCAAGATTAAAGGTATGGATTGAAAATTCCAATATTTTTAATGCAAACGGAATCGTTAAATGAATTCCGATGGGTTAACGAGGCTAACTCGGGGGTGAAAAAGGCGCTAGATTTAAGGAAAGAACGAAATTAAAATAACAATGAGTGATGACTGTAAACTTAAGCTATGAAAGAAGACGAGGCGCCACTTTAGGGGGGCGGGGAGGGCGCCAAAATGGCAATGAATTTTTTTAGAGAGAGTGAGAGGGGGAGGGGAGGGAGGGAGAGAAGGGGGCGGGCGGGCGGGAGGGAGAGGAAGAAAAGAAGTAGGTTCCGAAACAGGAATAACATTATAGAAAAAAGGGGCGAAATTTGTCGGTTTTCATAACTTCTAAGGAGCATGATTCTGTGACCAGCAGAACTAACCTATTGCAAGATTCCAGCGTTTACAATTTTAGAATTTCTTTCGTGTAAGATTGACGGGAAAATTGAATATATTTTTGGAAAAAGGGTTAATTGCGAAAAATGTCCAGAAAGATGCGTTCCCAAATGTCGCGATCGCTTTGCGTTTGTATTGCACTTTGCCGACAACCTCCGCTAGCTGTGAACGCAGTTTTAGTAAAATTATTTGCGGTCGACCATGCCGCAGGAAAGATTGACAAATCTGGCCATTCTGTCAATCGAAAGTGTAGTTGCCTACACGGTTAATTTTGATTCCTTAATTGACATTTTTTCAGAAAAAAAGGCACGAAAAGTACAATTTTAAAACATGTTATTGGCACGTTCCACTAATGGGATTGATTAAAACCTACTTATCCTTTTCTTTCTCTTGTTTTTGTTGTACTCTGTTTAACAACTAACCCTCAAAAAAGCCTTTCCCTACGATACAATTTCACAGTTGAAAAAGCTTCCAGTGAATAAAGGGAGTAAGTGAGATTACTGAAAAATTAAAATACCTGTAGCGGTGATTTTGAACAAATCTCATCTCAAAACACCATTTTAAATAATTTTTTTTGCTGCAAGACCCCACGTAACTTTTCAACATTAAAATCGTCTTTCTAAAAATCACAAAAATGTTACTTGTACTTACCTCCTTCATTCGCTGGAGCTTCAACCTACCCTTTGGTACACCCAATATTCATTCATAAAATGTGAAGTGTAAGTACGTATCTGTCAGTTCTTTATAGAAAGCTCACATAAAGAATGTATTGAGGAATGCGACTTCAAGTATTTTTACATGCGTGTACACCGCTCTTTGAGACCTCAAAAATCAAACTTAAAAAAATCATTTTTTCGCCAAAAACTACGGAAAATGGCCGTCTGGTACGCTGTAATTTTCAAAAATTTTCCGGGGGGGGATCCCCCGGACCCCCCGCCTTCCTGGGGGGTATTCCATACCCCTCAGACCCCCCGGCGTGGGGGGCGCCAAAATCTGAGCAGGCACCCCCCTACGTGAAACGTAGATCCGGCCCTGCTTCACGCTATGCTCGGGTATGATACATGAAATTGTATCAATTTTTAACAAGGAATCCGAATCTGAACTTCGATTATGGGTATCACGCGTTCTAAGTCAAATTTTCCAAATTCGAAAATCTGAAATGACTGACGTGGCTAAAAATGCCATCTCGGCTCCTGTTCGATGGATTTTCCTGAAATTCGGTGTCAGGGTATGATACATGAAATCGCATCGATTTTCCACGAGGAGTCCGAATCTGAACTTCGATTTTGGGTATCACGCGTTTTAAGTAAAATTTTTCAGCTTCAAAAATCCGAAATGACTGAAGTGGCTTAAAATGCCATCTCGGCTCCTGTTCGATGGATTTTTCTGAAATTCAGTGTCAGGTGGTATTTTTCGACGGGAAACTCGAATTTTTAGTCCATTTTTTAAAATTCTCAAATTCAAGATGGCGGACGTAGGTAGGCTAAAATGCTATCTCGGTTTCGCAATCAAAGATTCGCAATCACTTTCGAATCTGAATTTTAAAACCCACAAAATAAGTCATTATTTGCTCTGGAATAATACCATCTATTATTCATTCCTAATTCGAAAAACCTGAAAAACCAGGAAATGTGCTGTCATTTTCCATGCACAAAGTCTAACCGATTGGCAACACCGCAAAATAGAGATGAATGACGTCACACTAACCTTGTGTTATTGTGTTATTGTTTTTATTGTGCAACTCCAGTTATTGGTTAGGAAATTTTCAGTTTTCAATCAATTCTACATTAATTTTTAATAAAGTTAAGTATTTTTCAGCAAATTAAGGAAGTTAAGTGAGTTTACTTAGCCTTTCTACTTCTTTCCTCGCAAAATTGTCCCCCATAACAATTGGTTGTGCGTAAATTCCATCAAACCTTGACCAAGGACAAGTGTAAATATTTCCTTATTGCTGTTATATTTCTAAAATTTGTCTTCTAACTTCATGGTAAGTTTCTCATCACGCATGCATCGGAGGAAAGTCGTTTCCCTGACCTTATCAAATTCAAAAAATCAATTGAAATTTCTCAACGTTAGAACATTCAACAATCCATACTCACCCATAACGACCTGCGTCATATTTACTGTAGCTGAAATAGATAAATTTATGCCAAGAGGAACTATGCAATGAATCCAATCAAGAGGTAGTACAAAGTACGCAACTGATATGTACTTATTCCTTTGGATTTAAATAGTTTTTACACGGTTCCTTCTAGCATAAGATTGTCCTGATATAATGGAGCCAACACTCTCAGTTTTAAGTCGCAACTGCCTGACTTATGAAATCATGACTTTATGATGCTGATTCCAAGCAATCCTGATATCACTGTTGCTCAGAAGGTTTTGCCAAAATTAGGAAAACTCCTAATTTTCAAGTGGAATTGTTATCAGTGCTTACTGTTCAGATAGCATAAAATGATAAGAGACAGTTTAAGGCGACCCACTTCTCTGCGGCAGGCTGTTTTGCTTGACTAGACCTGGATAATTGTTTCTGCGTTTTCAGTTGTTAAAATCATTTTGAATATGCGCACCCTTATACTTAAACAGAAGAGTAGATGTGATAATGCATTTTTATTTTGGTCTCAATATCTTATAAATTGCAGATATAGATCATGTTTGCAACTGATGATGCCCTTTGAATTTATTTCAGGTCATTCAACTTCTTATATCATCGTGGAAAACAATGAAGAAGAAACGCAAGTCAAGTCTGGAGAAGTAACCAAATTCATCAATAGAATGATAGGAAGGGAAAATATGACAGGACAACCATCAATCAATAATGACCTTCCTTGCAATCCCAGTCGTCCAAAAATTGTGCTTGTCAACCCAAATTTTCAAAAAAGGCTACTTCCAGACAAGAAAACCATACACGTAAATCCACTTTTCAATCGTTTAAAGTTGGGTAGCATCGCAAGTGGAAAATTTTGTGACAGTAATGTTACAGCCTCTTCCAGTGTCTCCAGAGACACATCTCCAATTCTCTCAAATGAGCCCTCTGCGATGACTAACTCTCAGTCTTCTCTCGAGACCAGGTATAAGTTTATTGCTAATCAACCAAAACCAACATCGGAAGATGATGATCTCAAAAATTGGTTTTTATCCCAAAAACCCAATAAAACAATTGCTCAGGAGAATCCTCATCAGCTTCAATTTTTGCAGAGTAATCAGATGAAACAATGTGGTAATAGCTGCACATCTATACAAAATCCCTCCAATATTTCCCGCTCTCAAAAAACTTTTGTCAATCCGAAATTCATTAACCGTAATGAAGAAGTAAAACCTAACGTAAAGAAAAAAGCCTCGTTTTACTATGTGAATACTGCTGTATTGAAGCAGAAAGTGGCTAAAGATCAAATGGCAGGCACTACTAATAACCAATTAAGCCTTTCCTCGGTAAGTTTGGAGTTAACTGCAAACTGCAAATCATCTGCACTAAGCTCTGGAGTGGCAGAAAAACAAATTACCTCTAATCCTGTAATTGGTTCTGAGTTTTTGAAGGATTCTACAGTACAAACGAAAGCTGCTGTCGGCAGTCATTCCGTCAAAAACTCCTTTCAAACTCCTGAACGTCCTTCAACATCCTCTACATTATTATCAAAATCTGCTCAAAAAAAGGAGTTGAACTTACAAAAATTAAGAAGGATTACAAAGCTCTCAAACCTAATTCGCTCAATGCAGTATGGAGACAAAAATTCTGGAAGAACTGCTCTCTCTCAAGTCAGCAGCACCAATTCAGCAAGAAGTGTCATCAACAGGTGTAAATATTCTTTCAAACCATCTTCAGTCAAACAGGTTGACCATTATAAAAAAACAAATTGCGAAGGAAAAAATAGTTTCATAAATTTCAATCGTCCTCTCCAAAGCCAGTGCTCCTCGCCCAAGAAATTACCTAACAATCTAGCAGGCAGATCTGATTCCCAAAAATATCATTTAACTCTCAAAAATATACTAACAACAAGTCAATCGGCCCCTAAAAATATCTTCCAGTCGACTGATAAGTCAATAGTGTATCTTAACAGTTCAACTAGCTCCTCTCAGCCTCATCTGAATCTTGAAGAATTCGGTTCAAAAAGTTCTTTAGAGCCAAGGAAAAAAACTTCCATAATTAACGTTACTTCCACTTCGAGTGTGAAAGATGACAAAAATAGTACTAGTCCAAGACTTCTTTATGTCTCTCGCAGAAAATTAATTCGCAAGCAACCCACACCAAGGATCTCTCAACAAGTGAATAAACTCCTAATTTTCAATAGTAAGTTTTCTCTTAGAAATGTCAATCCAACTCAGTCTAAATGCAGCTCCCCATCTACTTACAAAATACATTTCAAACCTAGTCGAACGAGTTCTGATGTCATAAATAAACGAATGATTCAGCGCCAAATGATAAATCGGTACAAATTGTCAAATGTTCAGCACAGTCAAGTAAAAACTCCAAAAAGTCATTCTTCTGCACAATCTTTAGACAAACCGTCTCACAGCAAATACAAAGAAATCAATTCACCAAGAGTAAGAAGGCATTCTGTGATGAAAAATGGAAGTTTCTCGTTTGTTTCAATAGGGAAAACAAAATTAATAAGAAAGTCTACTTTCGACCAAAAGCGAAGCCATCGTACAAATATTAGCTGCCGCGCGGAAGCAACAAGTAATAATCTCCAATCCTCACGCAAATCTACATCAAAATATAGTAAAATTAATCATCATAAATTTTCATGGAAAGCCTGTGAATATGGCAAAAGTGTCAAAAATGTAAGTAATAATCTAGTCGCAATCGGAAAAACTAAATTGATCAGGCAGTCTCTATTGCATCATCAAAGACAGGCAAACAAATGTAGTAAAACATTGACCAATATAGCTGCTGCCTCAGTAATACAGAAAAAATTAAGAAAGCTGCGCAAATCCCAGCCAGAAAATGGCCGAAGCAAGAAGATTCAACGAGCAGTCCACTTGAGCAAACTTAAATTGAAAAATGTGTCCTGTACTGCTGGAAATAATAGGTAAGCTCCCCCTTTTATTTATCTAAGATTTTCTCCTCCTCTGAAATTTCATCTCTTACTATTATTGAAAATTATATTTAGCTGTGGTATGATTCATTTCATGAATGAAGGTAACAAATGGTATGAGACTCATAGGTAAACATTAATTGACAAACCTAAAAAATTAATAGCTGATACATATCGTTATAAAACTGCATTTCCTTTAAATGACAGTCTAATTAAAATTTGTTGTGATTGACCGACTATTACTGAACTAGTTGTCTTTCACAAATTTAAACAACACCCTAAGTAATAATCTATTCCTTTCGATGGGTCAGTTGAATTTATTGTATATCATGCTTTGATGATTTCAGATTATCAAGCGGCAAAAAATTAAACATCCGTCCTAACACCAAGTTTCCTTAAAAAAAATATACCTATCAAATGACCTCATCTATTTTTTTAGTGCATGATTCCTTGAATCATGCAAAGTGCAAATCAATTTGTGCAATAAGACAGTGAACACAATTAATAAAAAAAGTTTGAATAACATTCATACCAAAAGGCTGTGAGCGAACTTGTGTGGACACTATCCTGATTTTTTAACCTCTCTTCTAAAAACTATCTGGAAAACTCCATTATTGTCTCTGTTCAAATTGTCATATAATTTCTTCCTTTCTCTTTGCAGTCTGACCAGAAGGAGAATAGCTTTAAGACGCAAGAATAATACTCCTTGTGAAAATTATCACAAGTATGGTAGATGCAAAATGTTCCTTGCCGGAAAGTGCCTGAAGTTACATGACAAGAAATATGTCGCAATATGTCAAGGGTAAGTAATACTAACTGATGCAAGTCTTCCATCTCTGTAAAATTCTAGCATTCCAACCCAACCATGTATCTCCGTTTGTGACGTTGGAGATATCCTGTCATACTTCATTTTTCCTTTGAAAAACTAGTCTATGTAATTTCTTGAAAACTGCTTTGATTTTTCTATTCTATTAACAGACCGTATTCTGTTTAAATTTCAAGCTATACAGTCGATTTGTTTCTCTCCAAAAAAAGAATGTAGGAATGAAAATTTTTAAACAACGTAATGGAGGTACATGGTCTTCCACTTCGGCCATCAATTCATGAGCAGCTGCAATCTACTTGTGGACATTTTTCCTCACACTGTACTTTGTCCTTCGTACATGACATTAATGTGCAAATAAATAAAAAAAACCAATAAATTAAATGTTTCTATTTGATACACCCATTTTGACATCACTGAAGATAAATTTTTAGATAGAACTTGAGAAAGCCTCACACCTATTTCTGAATTCTAGTGCCTCTAAGAAACCTTTATTTTCAATTGATCTCATTTTCTTTACAACTTTTTGTACGAGCCGCAGCCGTTTTGTAGGTGTTTCAAGGCAGCCCTTTTTTGTGTGTCTTTTATACTGCCATGGTATCGAATAACGCTGTATGAGCCTTCAGGCGTTGCAAAATAATATTTGCTAAAATATGAATTTTCAGGGACATCTGTCAATGTTTTTTGTCGAATTTTTCAGAGTTTTATGCAAGATCAGACCTAAACCATCTGAAAATTTCAAGAGAAAATATTCATAACTCATCTCAAAAATAAAATTTCAATCGGAGGAAATTCGGTGGCTCTTGAATGTCCATACAGCGTTTTTTCGCAACATGATAGTATACTTAAGTACTCCTTTTTTTGCAGGCACAATATATTCACTCATTCCAAATCAACCAGCTTTAAAATTAAAAAATAATTCATTTGCTATCGGATGAATGTAATGTGCCTAATTTTAAATTTTTTTGGTCTGTTCCAGTTTTATTCAAGGTGCTTGTAAAAATGATAAATGTCTGTTATCACATGATACTATTCCTCAGAAAATGCCCACGTGTCTACATTTCCTGCAGGGTGCCTGTTCTCGAAATAACTGTCTTTACCCCCACGTCAAGCTCAGTTCCAAAGCACCCATTTGCCGTGATTTTGTACGAGGATTCTGCCCTCTTGGATTAGAGGTTAGTCATTGGATAGGTACTTTTGTCGAAGTCGGATTCAGCTGCTTTGTAGGGCTGAGGCAAGACCAGGATTTTGGCCCATGAAGAGATGATCTTAACTCTTTTTTCTGCCTTCTCTGCTCCTTTTTTTTTTCTTTTCTTTTTAAAACAAAGGGAAGCCATTATTGTGTTCCTTTGGTGGTTCAACCCTTCTTTCTAATTTTATGGAAGAATGTTGAGTATTAGGATGAAACCAGCGTAATCAGTTATTTCTAGAGCCATGAGCTAATAGCATGCAGGGCACGTTTGATGATTCAGCTTTCAAACAATTTGCACTCAATTCCTACATTTTCTATTTTATTCGTTTGATCTCTCCTAATGAGTCTTGGCATTGATTCTTTGCACCCCTCTGATTTAAAATTCACCTCAAAGTACAAAGTGATCCAAAAGTTTACCCCTTTAACCCCCTAGGGTTCTTGCCTCCTTTCAAAGCGGCCTCTTAAAATTTTGGAGGTGCCAAAAATTTTCATCTCTTTGACCTACGAGGACTTGAAAAAGTTTAAGTCTTTATCTCAATTCTTATGAAAGTTACATGGGTGATGCGTGGCGCAGGATTTTTGGATCACCCTGTATGTTGCCCTGTACTGTTTATAATGACAATTCAAGAATACCCATTTTCATTGGTAATCATCGGTTTACCAAACGAAACAATAAGATCTGCTGTTTCATGAACTAAGCTAATCCTCTCCAGTGTCCATAATGATTGATTTTATTTTTTTCAGTGTGATAAATTGCATGTGCTACTATGTCCAGAGTTAGAGAAAGATGGCGTTTGCTCAAACAAGGCAAATTGTAAATTTGCCCACCGCAAAAAGGTGCATAAAAAGAAAATTAATCTGGACAAATTGCCTGAGGAAGACAATTCAACCACTGCTGCAACGGCCCAACTTCCAAAAATCGAAGACTCACCCTCAACAGAATCTGAAATGAATGATGAACCTTCAAGGCGATATTTCAGCACCAGCTCTGAAAAAGAACTTAAATCTTTTATCCCCCAACGCCCTAAGTTGGGGACTTTACCTTCATTTATACCTTTAAGCTCATGTGATTCTTAAGGAAAAGCTAGATTTAACAATTTAAAGTATTTTTCGGAATAAAAATCATATTTTTTTAGATGTTTTACTGATGTCTGCCTTTCATGCATTTTAATTAATCAATCTCATTGCATTCAGTTTGATCTATTTGAATAAGTTTCGTACAAGTTTTAAGTTTGTCAATATTTCCAGTCAAGTTATTTTCAGTTGTGATGTTTTGAGTTATGTGTACTTTGCGTCAGTTCTTCTGTTTGAAATAGTCCCTTTCTACGTTTGTTATTTCTGTTGTAACTTTTTCTCAATACTCCTGACTAAAGTTACCTGATTTTTACAAACTATCCTTTTTTTTCTCTGCCAAAATTGAAAAGTACCCATCATATTGTATGTATCAGGGATGCAGGAAGTTCTTAACCCTCTCATTTTGCGAACAGCCCTCCCACTTTAAAAGAAACCTTCTTTTCCCAGAAGTTTCATGACTTTCTTATCTTTTAGTCACTAACTCTCAAATTGCCGCAATTTCGCGATAAATACGCAAATTTCACTGCAATTTTGAAAAAGCGAGCAATTTTAGTGCGTATGCAAGCTGGCCTTTCTATTTTTAAAGGGCGATACCTCCCTAAAATTTCTGAGGAAACTTCTGTACCTATCTCAGATATCCTTTCCAAATATGCATCGAGGAAATACAGAAGGTAGTGGTGAGGCAGCCACCTCCAGATTCAATCATAATGTAGAGATGTATTGCCTAGTCAATAAGAATGAGACTACAACAAGAAGCAGTCACTACTCCATGCTCGCTGTGATGCAGAAATGTACATATTTTTGCTTGCCACCACCTTCTGTATTTTCTCCGAGCAAAATGTGGGCAATGGAGCAACTCCTTCTTTCTTTGCATATGAATTGATGGATTTGTTCAAGACTTCGTGAAAAAACGAAATGAATGAAAGAAAAACAGGGAATAAAATATATAAGTTACGTTTAAGTACAAAAAGGTTTAGAAACTGGTCTTACAATTTGTAAAATCAATAAAGGTAGGTATGCGATAAAAAATTATATAAAATTGACACATCAATAAAGAACTATAAAAATTATTTTTTTGCTGGGAAATATAGTGAACCATTCATGTAAAATGAGCAAAGACAACCCACTCATAAATTTATGTAATTCTGACCCTTGCAATACTTGCAATAATTTCCAACTTGACCTTCGAACAAATCGTTTAAGAAAAATAAGCTTCCAAATTGGAGCGTTAATTTGCACAACATTGCCACTAATTCAAAGCGAACACTTGGGCCTGAATTTTGTTAGCTGCAGTCAACCGCAAGTTGCAAAAACTAGCCTCTAAACTTGACCGAATATGTCAACAAAATTGTATATTTTAAAGTCAACTTTCAACTGTGCGTAAACTGGCCAACAAAATTTGGACCATGAATAATATTAACATTAATTCCTTCTGAGAAAAACTTCCGTCTAGGGAAAGGGGTCAAAAATAGAATTTCCATCAACACCACAGCCACTCAATCAGGGCCGGATCTACGTTTCACGTAGGGGGGTGCCTGCTCAGATTTTGGCGCCCCCCACGCCGGGGGGTCTGAGGGGTATGGAATACCCCCCAGGAAGGCGGGGGGTCCGGGGGATCCCCCCCCGGAAAATTTTTGAAAATTACAGCGTACCAGACGGCCATTTTCCGTAGTTTTTGGCGAAAAAATGATTTTTTTAAGTTTGATTTTTGAGGTCTCAAAGAGCGGTGTACACGCATGTAAAAATACTTGAAGTCGCATTCCTCAATACATTCTTTATGTGAGCTTTCTATAAAGAACTGACAGATACGTACTTACACTTCACATTTTATGAATGAATATTGGGTGTACCAAAGGGTAGGTTGAAGCTCCAGCGAATGAAGGAGGTAAGTACAAGTAACATTTTTGTGATTTTTAGAAAGACGATTTTAATGTTGAAAAGTTACGTGGGGTCTTGCAGCAAAAAAAATTATTTAAAATGGTGTTTTGAGATGAGATTTGTTCAAAATCACCGCTACAGGTATTTTAATTTTTCAGTAATCTCACTTACTCCCTTTATTCACTGGAAGCTTTTTCAACTGTGAAATTGTATCGTAGGGAAAGGCTTTTTTGAGGGTTAGTTGTTAAACAGAGTACAACAAAAACAAGAGAAAGAAAAGGATAAGTAGGTTTTAATCAATCCCATTAGTGGAACGTGCCAATAACATGTTTTAAAATTGTACTTTTCGTGCCTTTTTTTCTGAAAAAATGTCAATTAAGGAATCAAAATTAACCGTGTAGGCAACTACACTTTCGATTGACAGAATGGCCAGATTTGTCAATCTTTCCTGCGGCATGGTCGACCGCAAATAATTTTACTAAAACTGCGTTCACAGCTAGCGGAGGTTGTCGGCAAAGTGCAATACAAACGCAAAGCGATCGCGACATTTGGGAACGCATCTTTCTGGACATTTTTCGCAATTAACCCTTTTTCCAAAAATATATTCAATTTTCCCGTCAATCTTACACGAAAGAAATTCTAAAATTGTAAACGCTGGAATCTTGCAATAGGTTAGTTCTGCTGGTCACAGAATCATGCTCCTTAGAAGTTATGAAAACCGACAAATTTCGCCCCTTTTTTCTATAATGTTATTCCTGTTTCGGAACCTACTTCTTTTCTTCCTCTCCCTCCCGCCCGCCCGCCCCCTTCTCTCCCTCCCTCCCCTCCCCCTCTCACTCTCTCTAAAAAAATTCATTGCCATTTTGGCGCCCTCCCCGCCCCCCTAAAGTGGCGCCTCGTCTTCTTTCATAGCTTAAGTTTACAGTCATCACTCATTGTTATTTTAATTTCGTTCTTTCCTTAAATCTAGCGCCTTTTTCACCCCCGAGTTAGCCTCGTTAACCCATCGGAATTCATTTAACGATTCCGTTTGCATTAAAAATATTGGAATTTTCAATCCATACCTTTAATCTTGACGCCTTATGCTCAGTGCTGACTTTGACTTCAGCTTTCAGGTGCTCTTCAGAAGATATGAAAACTGACAAATTTCGCCCCTTTTTTCTAATGTTATTCCTGTTTTGAGCTTTGTGGCGATTAGGCGTCGTAAAGCGCCAGAGAGCGCTATGAAAGCGACTCGTATGTATGTATTCCTGTTTCGATGTTCGTAACCTCCCTCTCCTCTTCCCCCTCTCTTCCCCCCTCCACACCCTCCCACCCTCTCTCCTCCTTTCTAAAAAAACGTCATTGCCATTTTGGCGCCCCCCCTGAAGTGGCGCCCGGGGCACGTGCACCCACTTGCCCCCCCCTAGATCCGGCCCTGCACTCAATGAGAAAAAGATAAATGAATATTTAGTCAGAGGCATCTGCATTTAAAGGGGTACTTCATTCAGATTGGAATAACTACCAAATATTGGTATTTGGTTTGGTAAATTACCAAGTTAAATCAATAAGAAAAATTTCAACTGCCAACATGTTATCTTGGGTCCTGATATTCAAACTTTTAAATAAGTGTATTAAATAACATTCATCGGTCAGCAGTTGGTCAAATGACATTCACTCAGACAGGCTTTATCAATTGTTGGTCTTCTCTGACTGAAACATTAATTTGAAATACAGATCACAATTGACAAAACAATTAACAACTATAATATAAAAGAAATGACAATGATACTCATTACCCTGACTGACAAGCGTTGAACCAACAATTCACTGGTGTAAAGATAATAAGTCAATTACGCTTGTTTTAGAATTGTGCATGATGGGTGGAGCCTATGTATAAGAAAAAATTAACAAGATCAGTCTAAATGCCAGATTTCTACATTCAATATTAATTGGAGATATCCATCGAAAAGTACCATGTACAACATAACCCACCACCATGAGGCAAACTATGATTTCCTCCACCTGAGACTCGTAAATCAGTGATGCACACATTTGCACTATGATTGCTTACCATTAAAAACATGCAAGAGCAAGGTGGTAAAGACATCGATATGCACTACTGCGAAAGATGATGTCGAGCATTGTGTTTTTCCATGGGCAATAATTCCGTTAATATTGGACGTAGAAAATTGAAATTTGGATGGATCCTTTAAGTTTTTGCTAATCTAATTGAGAATGATGGCATAGATTTATAACAGATATGTAATTTCTAGGATTATCCTATTGTCAAATAACAAGAATCCGAGTGTGCTTTGACAAATCTTGAAGAAGAACCTAGTGGTGATAAATAATAAATAATAAGATAAAATAATGATGAAAATATCATCTCATTTTAAGTACAAATTTTTTCTTGTCAATAAGGTTATTTACAAATCAATCACATTCATTGTGTGCACTTTTCAAGCACTCTATCATAGTGCATACAAAATCATCTTCATAAATGAGCACTTCCTTTCACGGAGACTTCATTTACAAAAGGAAGAAAAAATTGATTGTTAATAATAAAAATAAATTAGCATACATTTTCAGAAACTATGAGTCTTGAAGAATTAATTTAAAAAAACTCTACCTGCCTGGCAAAAGGTGGTTGCGAAAATTTTGTTGCAATGTTACTGTCAAAATTAACGTTGTAGCAGTATTTTTGCAACATTTTCATGATGTTATTTTTGGCAGTTGCCAGGTGGGTCCACATAGAATATGAGCCGCGCCCAAATTTTTGAGCAAGGAGGAAAACTTTAAAAATCATACCCATGAATTTTCTTTCAAAAATACAAAGAAAAATTACAGAGAACTGCAAAGAAAAAAGATTGTTCGTGGCAAATGCTTTCTTAATTGACAGTGAGGACACAAGCATGTTGACAGAAGAAACAACCGATAAAAAAATTAAAAAAATGTAACTTGTTAGTCACTTGCAGCTGAAAAGAAAGTAGATGATATACCATATTTTTCCACAATTCTCAGTATAGGAGGAGCTACTTTCCCATAGTATCCACTCAAATCATTTTGTCAAAAACAATTTAACCACACGTTTAGCAAGTTGCAAACTACATCTGTCTGTTGATGCATTTCTACTGGCCGTGAAGAACACTGTAACAAACCTTCAGGATTAAACCACCTCTATAGGTAACTATTCCTTATAATTGTTATCTTAACCTCATGATGATTTAACTAACTTGTACTTGTTCAACATGCATTAAGGTAGATGGCATCTAAACACTCAATATTTCTTGAAAAATGCTTCTGAATTGAGTTTTTAGGATGGTTTTTAATTACTTTGAAGAAATTCACAAATCAGGGTTTCTCAAAAAATGAGTATCCAAAGAGCAAAATTCATGCAGCCAGATTCATGGCTTGTGGACTGTCGGCTTACAGCTCATTAGGAGCAATCATTTTAATTAGAGCCATTTTTTTTATTCTTTTTGTGTGAAAGAGTGTTGATTTTCCACCAAAAATTGCAGAAAAATCGCTTGTTGGGACATTTCCAAGCCGTGAAAATTGATGGACCCCACCTAAGGATGCATAAAGTTTCCTTAGACAAAATGAATAAAATAAAAAGAAGAACTAAACAAGTATGAATACAAATAATGATAAAATTAAAAAATTCAACAATCTTAAATTCTGGTTGATCCGATCATTATACCTTAGTAAAACGTTAAGAAATCAGATTCAAAACAAGTATATCACAAAATTCAAAGAGAATAACTTACTATCATTTGATTCGTGCGCATGCGCCAGAGATTCATAAAAAATGCTATAACTCCACCGACGTCCTTTAACCTTAAAATAAGCCTTATCAAAAGAACAGAATAGATGGATGAAATATCAAATTAAATTTCACTTTGGTAGAAAATTAGGCTATGGATACAGAACAGCATCCTTCTTCCGATGCTAATGCAATTTTAGCTTCACCTGCTCTAGCCAGTTTTAATGTCAATGCCAGTGTCCAACTGGAGCGCTTGTTTCAGCAATTCATAGGTTGAAAACGAGACTGCAACCATTGGTATTGCACGTAGATAATTTATGCTCATACCACGATATAAGCCACGAAAAACACCATTTTCTTTGTAGATTGCTTTGAGGGTTTGAACCATTCCTGACCTGAAAGAATGAAGGTATTCGATATGAGTGTTGAAAAATTCACTTAAATCATCAATAAGTGTACAGAGTTGAAGGATATTCTTAGGAATGCGAAAGAATTTTAACAGATAAAATTTTCCATGGTTAGAAACTCATTACAGACTGAAAATCTTGGTATATTGAAGATAATAGCCAACATGTCACAATGTATTAACATAATACGCACATCTTGACAGATTTTGTTTCAGAAAATTGTCTGTACCTTTGATATATGAATTAAAAACCAGGCTAAAAAACTGAATAAGTACAACACATTAAAATACAAAGGCTAAAATTTATTATTACCTACAAATGAAAATGCATTTTGATGATTGAACTACCAAATCACGTATCTCGCTTGGAGTGGTAAAAATCACTACTCCCATCTAATTTTTGAAGGAGAGCAAATCAATACCATTTCTTGATGTTTTTACAAAGTTTTCTTTGCACAAAGAAGAAAAATCACAGAATTTTTCAAGAATTGATAGTGAGTACTTTTCCATTCCAAAAAGAAAGTATGACAGGAGGTCTGCACCATTGCAAACCGAGATACATGGTCTGGTGGTTTCACCATCAATTTATATTTGTAGCAGTAAAAACTTACCCAAATTTATGTGTGTCTGGATTCATCATTGCTAGCTGCATTCGTCTCCGTGTAACATCGAGTGGATAAGAAACGCTCTGGGCTACAGCTCCTGCTACACCGCCGCAAAGAAGTTTTGCGGGCACAATTAATACCAAACCACCTAAAAAGAGAATTATAAACAATAGAGACCAAATCTAAAATTGATTACCTTCTGGGCTGTTACAAGCAAGAAGGAAATGTTTTTTAAAACAGAAAAGCCAGACTGAGACATGAATCTTTTTTACAGGAGAACTAATTTTAAATTTTCGCTCATTACCAGTCAAATTTCTATCACCCTACTTGCATTTTGAAATAGTTATGGAATATAAGAGGTATGCGAGATGCACATAGAGGTGCTGACTTTTTCAATTGAGCAGGAAAAACCATCAAAATTAATTTTTGAACGAATTGTGACACTCAAACGAAAGAGTTACTATGATAATCTTCAACCATTTTTGCCTTGAAAAATGCAGGTAAAATTAAAAACTATCAGATTTTTTCGGTGAATTTTTTCAAAATAAGGCACATTGACCAACACCAGAAAAGGGACAGTGATTTTGATGGCTGAGCTATACCAATTTTTGGTCAATGATGATCCAGCGATGGCATCCAATTTTTTAAATCGGCCTTCATTTTTGGGTCAAACTCCTAGTTTTGTGCTGGAAGGGAGGGGGGGGGTTGCTTCATATATTAAATGGGTTCTGTAGGGATTCAATTTAATGGGGCTTGGATGTGAAAATGGAGGGTGTGGGGGAACAACAACGGCAGTCATTTTAGGATAACCAAAAATTAATGACACTCAGCCATTAGGAATTGTCTCTTTTTTATTTTTTTTTTCTTGGTGGTAAAATCAGCTTTTATGTATCTTCCTTGAAAGAGAAAACAGGGACCAATAAAAAAGAAAAAAAAATGTCATTCCTAATTTTAGTGACCCAACGTTGGTAATTTTCAGTTTCTTTTTTTTTTTTTTTTTTTTTTTTTTTTGACGGTGTTCTGATGACAAAAAAAAAACATTGTTAACATATAGGCATGATTAAAATTGAAATAGAAACGATTAATCTATAATTTACAAATCATTGCCCAGTGACATACGGACAGGAAAGAAGTAAGAGAGAGGGAGCATAAAGAGAGATTTCTTTTTTTTGTATTTATTTTTTTTTTCTTCAAGCGAATTAATTATGACAAATATGAACATAACAGATGAAAAGCAAGGGTTGCAAAATCATAAATGAAATTTGCGCAAACCCCAAATTTAATCAAATAAAACTCAAATACCTGTATTCCTCTTGCAGGGTGTACAAGTAATATTTGGAATATACTTCATACAGAAAAACTTCAACATTTCAAAGCAATAGAAAGAAAACCCAGCATATGGCACCATACCACAGAGTGTGGGCACAAATCCTCGATATAAGGCTCTGACACCACCTTCCTGGAATATGATAAAATAAACGTATAATTGATTATTCTAACACAACAGTAAGAAATAATAACCAAACTAAGTAGGTAATTGAAATGGATTGAAATTTGCAGCACTTATTGGGAAAGATGAGAGACCCCTAATAAATTTATCAATCCAGAGCGATAAACCTTAATTCTAAATTACATATGTTTCATGAAGCAACTATGGCTTGCCAGGTCTGAATTTTGTTGGAAAAACTGGGTTGGCCACAAGTTGAGGCAAGAATGTCGATTATCCTATTTGATCACTGATTTATTAATCAAATCATCATTTATCAAACCACTGTTTGCATCAAGGAACTAAGGATGGCTCGAATCTGCTGTGAAGAAAGCTCAACCTGCATATGGTTTGGGTTTAGAGTATAATTTTACCGACTTAAGGTCGAATCTAGAAGTAAGGTTTAACAACTTGCAGTCAATCGTAGCTGACGAAGTTTGGGCTCAGGTTTTTATTTTTTGGAATTAACTATTTCTAGCTTCTAAGTTGCTCATAAGAGCGTTATGATTATAAATTCTTGGGTTTACGTCACTGGATATTGAATTATAATTTTAGAGGCTACTGTTTAAACACTAGCAATCCTAGACACCCCAGATATGTCTCACATGACTTCAGAGTGAGAGTGTTTGCAGTAAAAATTTGTACTCCAAGAGAAGGACTTCACTCACGATTAATTAATCAATCAATAAAATTAAAATTAAAATTAAGTCGTAGACGAAGCCTGAAGGATAATGGAATTAAATTACACTGTCATCAATGGTTTGAGATCATTGCCAGCAGCTTGGCAGTAATGCTAAAAAATTTGTTTACAAGGTGAAATATTATGGTGTGTATAGTAGATGGTCTTTACAAAGATACTTGTGAGTACATAATTTTTGAACTAGGTACAATATCATGTTGAGACACAGATAGAATTAGTGAAAATGAAAATATCCTGAGGAGTAACAAACCTCTTTAAATATGCTGACACCGGTATGGATGATTCCTGTGTAGACATGTTCTCCACTGACTTGGAAGGCCAGGCGTGCTCTGATTGTATCAAGAGGATAAGTTAATGTGACAGCAGTGACACCAGCAGCCGATCCAGAAAAAAATTTGGCTATGTGAGACCCACTTCCAAGGACTGAGGTGAATGTCTGGAGAGAGAGAAGACAAATTCCGTTAAAAATTCAGTATTTTCAGGGTAAAAAAAAACGAATCCAATGAGGACTAACAGTTAATCATTCTGTTCACCCTTTCAGAGAGGAAGATCAATCTTCAAGGAAATTCATTCTTTTCCTGTGAATTGTCAAGAGATCTTGTATTTCATCTGTCAGAAGCAGACAGGTGCTAAAACAATGATGTAAATGTATGTTAAAAGCCATTATCATTTATGAAAGACGGTATGAAGTCCTAATAGAGAAAAGCAGGAGTGAATAAGGCAAGAGTATGAGGAAAAAAACCTCAGCGTTGTGAAACTGCAGTTGAACCATCTCTCCCTCACACATCAACAGAACTCATGAGCAAAATCATGTGTGCGAGCATCTCTCACCAACACATTGGTGGAGTTTATATGCACAGACTCTGTACAGCCTACGACATACAAGCCTGGTGAGTCGAGCAGTGGCAAGTTTGTACCTATTTGTTTTCTCTTTACCATGCTATGAATCATTCTTGGCACATCCTTGCATTGGAATTTCTGAGTAATGAGGCAAGACTGTTTGGATTGAGTAAATCATAAAAAAAAATAGTCTAACCCTTTTGTAGATTTCAAAGGCTGTGAACTGAGTTGCAGCATACGGGAATATCCTGACCATCTGTGCTCCGTTTCCTTTGTATAAAGCAATGAACGTTTCCTTCTCAACTATAGTCTTCAAGCCGGAAAAAACTCCTGTAATTGAATTGTTTAAATGTGATACATGAGACAAAAGCGAGACAGTCTTGTCATTTGCAAAGCAAAGAGAAAAAAATTATTCTGTGTGTGTGTTATTAAAAGTATTCTAAAAAGCTTTTTATCACCATTATCCTATGGTAACGCCAGAAATTGAAGCAAGAGAACGCAGTAAAACTTGCATTTATGAACTCTCGCAACCTGGAATATGCATGCACTGATTACTCAAACAGAAGGGACATGACAGGAAGCCCTATTTGGGCCTTATCACAATTAGACTAATTGAAACAATCATTTAAGTACAATCTCTTTCGGTGTCTTCGACAGCTCTAACCTCCTTTTATTCATAAGCAGTTCATTAACATTCAATCACCAGCATGGTAATTCATTACTTATGCCTGACCAAATTCTCTGAGAGCGGAAAAATTAGGAAAACATCATACCAACGGTGTAAGTCGGCAATCACATAACTCGTTTGTGACGTCGCAGACTTCCTGTTATACTTTACTTTTTAAATGGAAAACTACTCAACAGCAATTCTTTAAAACTGCCGAGATTTTCCTTCTCTGTGCAAAGAAAATTCTGCATAAGCTTCGAGGAATGATGTCAACTTGTTCTCCTTTAAAAAAATAACATAGAGGCAGAGATTTTCAGACACCAAAAACGAATTATGTGATTGCCGACTTACACCGTCGATAGGTATCAGCTCCATCAAAGAATACTATTTTCTAGGGGGATCTAAAGTTCATTTGACTTTCCTCTGAAGGACTCTAAACTTGGAGAAAAAACCAAATCTTAGTGAAGGAAATTATGCAAAAATGCTACAAAATTCAATTTACCGCCCCAATTTTGAAGCAAAATTGGCACAAAGAAAGTTTGATTTTTAGAGCTAATCATGCTCATAAAGGGCATCATATCAGAAAATATAATTAAACTTGGTCAGCGCTAAATCCTTTTGAATTCTTTAAGAAGTCCATTTCCTTCAAAAACAACTGAGGTAAAATTATTGATTTATTTACTAGAATTTACAGGCCAAAAACAGTTGTTATCTTTTAAAAGAATTACCTGTGCTGTTATGATTCCAAACACTTACCTAAATGTTTGTAATGCTTATTATGGGCTTGCAAAAGAATTTTAATCCTATCCAGAGGAGCCACTGCTGTTTTTGAACACATTCCTGCAACACCTAAAACATAATAATTTAAACAGCTTGTCAAAAAGAAAAATGGAAATACTTCAAAAAGACGGCACTAGCCGAAAAATTATCTTCCCCATGACTGATAACCAAAACAACTCATCAGAAAACCACTATACAGGGAGAAGGCTATATCACTTAACTTACACCGCCACTGCCAATAATATAAGTAATCAATATTACTTAGGCTCTTCATCAGACGCCATTTAGGTAAATGGCAATACTTAGCATTCTAATTTAACGGCCACTGAAACTAACGAATTTGCTGCCGTTTCGATCCGGCAACTGTCACCTATTTTGAAATTCTTTGATGGTCCGTTGATGGCAAAATTTCCGACATAAGTATATCCAAATTGTAGAGATAGGTTGGCTTGCAGTTTTATGAAAACAACCCTTACTGAGCCTCTCCTTGTCCGCTCGCTCAAAAAAAATTAAAAAAAAATAATAGACACATGAAAGACGATACTTCTATTCTTTGAAATAATGTCACTTATAATATGAAGATTTGGCAGTAGGATCGGTGACAGCAATGGAAAAAATCAACTGAAAACACGTCTATTTGATTGGTCAAGCGGGTAACTTCCTCTATCTCTCACTCACTTTCATGAATGCTCTCTGACTCGTAATGACTGTACTTATAATCGACTGACTTGAAATCTGAGAATTTACAACCTTGCAAGTCCTATAGCACTTTAGTTTTGGGGCCAAAATTTCATATTCTGCTTGAATTTTCCATTGGACTGCCTGGTACTTTGAAATAATGCCTTGTGTAATGCCGCATAAGAGAAAACCAATGTTAATGCTGACCTGAGCCATGCAATTACTGGCTTTAGATATGGTTAATTTTAAACACTTTTCACATTCCTGACATGATTAATTATGGCTAGAAACTTTAATCTTGTGCTTTTCAATTTTAGAGAACAATACTAAAAGTGAAAATTAGAAATTCGATACTATTGACTATTATAATTGCTTTTAACTATACTTAAAGAAAACTTTAAACTTTCACCTTAGATCTCTTCACCCTCCCTTATCCACAGCTGCTGTCCTCGTTCAAACACTTTCTCAGTTGTTTCTACTCGCACTTGAAACCTTGCCTCCTCTAGACCACTTCTATGCAACTTTTTCTATCCCTTTGGAATTTACTTTGTATTAGAGGCTAAGTTGGCCTCTGCGAAGTCCTTTCTCTTTCTTACGAACGTACGTACATCAGTACCTAGTCTGAACAATTAATATCTTTATATTATTGGGAATGTCCATTGAAATTATACGTGAATTGAAGTAAGTATCCTGTACAGAGAAAATAATTACCTCCAGCAAGCAATGATTTACAAATGAAGTTTGCGGATGAAGTGTCTGGTTGAGTTGCCATGATCAGAGAGAGTGGTTCGAACTTTTGAGATGTAAATAATACTCAGCAAATCAGCTGAAAATAACTTGGAATTTCGGCATAATCACCAGCAACTTGTGATTTAGAATATCGAGTAAATTGTCATTCTGGGCAAATCCTAAGATTCTCGCCTCATAAAACACAAGATACGAAAAAAACACTTGAACTGATGAATGACAGCGGACCATTGTAAACGAAACTTTTGGAAGAATTTCAGTGGAATTCGTCTGTAGTGACGTCACGAATGTAAACATTGCATGATGACGTCGTGAAAGTTCCAGGTGAAAGTTTGAGTACGGAAGACTCACTGATAAGAGTGAGTCTATGACCAATCAGAAGTTCCGAAACAAAGCTGAAGGCTGAGATTGGTTCAGACCTCAGGAATGGAAATCAGCGGCCTTTTTGAATTCAGTAGAGGCAGATGGCAGAGTGTGAACAGAGAAAGGGATTAGTCATCACATCCTATTTTATCATTGAATGTACAACCCATAGTAATGTTATGTAAGCTAACAATCTATCGTATTTTTACTAAAATGTCACCTTGTTTTGTTGGAGGAATGAACTTTACCCTTCAGTTTGGGGCAAAAATTAGAAATGAGGACATTCTGTCCCTGGTTTTTTACTGCCATATAAATGTGTTCTACTTCTATTTCTTCGGCCTAAATAGGAAGAAAACACTTCTTAAAGTTGCCTAGTATTTCTGTTGTTATTATACCAAAAAGCGTGTGCCTCAGTAGCGCCAACGTAATCCGGTCTGCGTCAGTGTTGCCCCAGGATGCCCTGAAGTGGGAGGAAGTATTTGTCATTACCAGGTTGAAGTTTTTGGTGAATCGTGACAACACTAGTTTGCAAATAATAATTCTGTTCACTTATTAAAACGCACGACCGTCACGTTCGTTCTTTTTACTTTGAAATACTTTTTATTGAAAACATGCATGTTATTTGTTGAAGAGTATCAGTCGAACTAGAAATCCTGTGCTCATTTGTTCCGTTTCTAAAAATGGCTGCAGCTGCTGTGTTCTTGTTTCGAAACTACGACCGTTACAATTAGCTAAAATTTAAATAGGGAAAACTGTGTAAAAAGAAAAAAATTTCCCAAAATTGGGACCAAATTAGTTTTTAGATCCCAAAATTGTCCAGAATTGAGAAAACAGAACTTCCAGAGATAATGAACTTGATTTTGCGACTTTTTTCACCTAGAAATGTACCCTATTTAAGATTTCCGCCCGCACTTATTCATTACAGCACTAGACTGCGTATTCTGGTTGAGCAGATGACTAAAAACATAAAGAAAAATTTAAAAACCCTCTTTGTTCAAATAAGAACTATTGAAGTTGCAACTCCTGCAGCTCGATGCACAAATGTCGAATATCTAAAATTGTTGGGATTAAAATCATTTGAGTTGCTATAGGACAAGAAAATTTGAATATTTTCTAAAATGCACCTACACTTATGGTGGCAGCACAAGAATTAAGTAACTGTTCTACACATCTAAAAGATTTTTAAAAAAAATTATTTATTTAAGTTTCCATGGTACAAGGAAATGAGCTTCCATAAAAAATTTACAATAAAAAAGAGTAGATAAATGCTTTGCATACCCGTCTAAAAATATCTGACAAGTCATTTCTTCTATGTCTGATGATATGAACGAATACAAATATTTTATACTTTACAAGGATAAAAATACAAAGGGTAAAAATAAATTTTTTGCACTTAAAATAAAAGTTACAATAGATTGAGCTTTTTTGAAAATCACATACGGAGGTAAAAAGAATAATGAGAGCTCCAATTATCTTAGAACTTTCTCATCGCATATCAAGACAAATTTCAATCTCTGATTGGTCCAGACTTCCAGAGGCTGCATCACTCAACATCTTAACATGTTCACCACTAGTGAATTCGAGCTCTGCAGACTCTTTTAGACAAGTTTTTTTGTCGCCTTCAAAAAGAACACAGACGTAACTAACATTCAGTCTCGAACGTTCTTCACTGATTAAAATACTTTCGCTGCTATCATATTAAGACTTTAGATTCTCAGCTTACTTAAACGTAAGCTCAAGAACTGCATTTTATTAAGGTTATTTCAAGCCTGAACTTTCTTGGCACATAGAGGTTTAGAAATCCCAATTTCTATTATGTTACGTTTCTTGGAAAAAAGGATGACTTAGGGCTTGTTGGGCTGATATCCTGGTTTTTGGATCAAAAGTGAGCATTGATTTAAGCAGATCAGTGCCTGCTTGACAAATCGAGGGCAAAAGAGATGAGAAGGATTTTGGTTCATGAATAGAGAAAGAACTCCATTCCAAGGAGACTTGTTTTGGCCATTCTTCAAGGGATGGCGTTCCTATTACTTCAAATATTCTATTCAACTGGTCTCCTTCTGATGAGCCACAAAAGAGTGGTTCAAGTTTGAACATTTCAGCAATGATGCAGCCACATGACCAGATATCTACTGAGGTCCCATACGACTGTCCGAGTAAAACTTCAGGAGAACGATACCACAGAGTAACAACCTGGAAAAGAGGGGGAGACCATTCATAAAATTTCCCCGGAATATGCTGAGGAACTAAGTGAGTTATACAAAGGTATAGGAACAACACATCGGGTTCCCATCAAAATAAAAATGGGCCATTTTCGGAGCTGGCCTGGATGTCAAAGGAGGTCCTTTTTTAGTAGTCCAGCGTTTTGGAGGCAATTTTAACTCAAGTTTAACTTAATAAAACCCTATAATGTGATGCATATGCTGAAAAATCTTAGCCTGCACACACTGTATTTCGCTACAACTCACTTTTTTTACATAAACTTTGCAAAAATTCCGCTGACTATAAACTTTGGCCCCCGCCATGTCTCCCTAAAATTTTTAGAGATCTTGAAACTCTGGGGAGAGGACATTATCTATGTGTGAATGTGTCAAGCCTCAAAGGTATGCAACCTATTCAAGGTCTGACTTGTTTTGAGCGTACCCCTCTCTGAATTTGTTAGGATTTTCTTCAAGTTTTCAATAATTAGTTACCTTTTATTTGTCCTGCAAAAAATTTTTCCACCCTTACGATAATTGAATTGCATCATGATCGCAGAATCTCTGTGCAGTCACCTATCTTTTCCTAAAAACTTTCAAATCTTGCAGAACCATTCGGTATAATATAACATGAAACTAATGATAAAACTACAGAATTTAAGGAAAATACTTACGACAGAAGTCAGTCTCATATCAAAGTCATATGTTTTTGCAAGACCAAAATCTGCAATTTTAATTTTATCATCTGCCCCAATTAAAATGTTTTGAGGTTTCAAATCGCGATGAACCATTCTGTGACTATGTAAAAAGTCCACACCATCCAGAATTTGACGTGAGATGTCCTGCAAAACATCAAAAGATACATTTTCAAATAAATCAGCAAGAAAAAAACCAAGATCTGAACAGAGGGTGGTGAAATGACATTTCAAAGCAGACCAATGTTGGAATTATTCCAGCAAAAAGAAATATTTCAAGGACCCAATGATGTGTTTCATGCAGTGAGTTAAATAGGTACACCATTGGGTAAATTGAATTCACTTACTGTATTATGTTTATGAATTCAATGTTGTCCATACTTGTAGATTGACCATCCTGATCAACACAGGTAAATTTTTAGCAAGTGGACAGATACAATTTACAATTATATATTACAATATCATACAATTTTTTTCCAGAAAACAATGAAATGCTATAACAGCAGCCTGGGCTGCTAAGAATGTGTTTGAAGATCCCTGGGTACTGGCTTGACTGTCCCTGCAGTTATGTATGCATTCCCAAGATTTAAAATTATCTACAGGGGCAGTCAAGCTGGTATCTAAGGATCGCCAGACTAATTTTTTAAAGACAAATTCGTTTTCGAAAATGTCGGTTGCAAAATTTGTCATTCGTGATGGCACGAATATTCACTATTTGAGATGGTGCCTGAGTCAGCCGAAGCAAATATTTGCTGGATAATCACCAGGAATATGCGCTATTTCCGAATATTTGCACACCCCTAAAATAAGGTATTTTTTTCTTGGCCAAAAAAGAAAACAAAACGTGACGCGCTTTCTTCTTGAAGAAGAGCTTAAATGTATTAATGTGATAATTACAGTCTCAAGTTAATGAGCACCTCTCTTCCACCTTTTTTTTTTTTACATTTTTAGTATTTTAAAATCTGCATCTAAAGTCAGCAGCAAAAAACCATGGATGTAATACCTTGATTTTGCACCGGCTGAGTCCAGGGGGAGGACATCTCTGTATGTAGCTTGCCAAATCTTGATTGACGTGTTCAAACACAAGAAATAAAACTAGCTGGTTAGTCTGGCTTATACGCTGTCCTTGACAAACATCAAGTAACCTGCGGCATAAATCAATACAAAATTAGAGACGGAGAAAAAAGGAAGCAGATTTAGGGTAGGTGATTTACAAAATATATTAATGGATCAAACTTCTTGGTAATTTTAAGAGCCTTCCCAAGTTCATACACTCCTTATCATTTACAACAGAAATTCTACAGCTAGAGAGATCTTTCAAAGTGGCTGCCCAGAAGCATCAAAATCACAAAATGCAGAAAAAGTAAACTGAATTGATACCTACCATGAAATTCAACAATGGCCCATCCCTGTCCGAAATACAGACCCCCACAAAGGGGGAAGGGGGTGAGGAGCAAACTCATTATATGGTCTTTGATCCAGGTCTGACTTCAGGCAAGAATGCTATAGTCTGTATTCTCTTTAAAAAAAACCACATGAATAGTCTCATGGGTAAGAGAGCAACCCTCAAGAAATCATAATTTGATGGTCTTGCAACCCTCTCCCCCTTCCTTAGTAGCAGTGGCTGTTGAAAGTTGTAAAAAACTCGTAAATTTTAAGAGATACTTCAAAACCACTTGAAAATTACGTAAAAAAACTCTTGAAATATTCATATCAGTAAACCTTTTTTACCTAGGGCTTTTTTTACATAAAATTGAAGAAAAATTTAAAGTAAATTTTTTGGCGTTGTTAAGTAAAATTTATGTACCTATTTTTTTTTGTAAACTTCCTGCAGGCTAAAACGAGGAAAAAAGTGGTGAACAGAAAAGTATAAACGGAAAATTTGCAGCCCATAAAAATTGAGGATATACCTAGTATACTGTTTTTTGTGTAAATTTTACACTATTTTTTTTTAATTAAAAGAATTCCCCAAAAGGGTTTCATAAAACAAGTATTCTAAGAGTTTTTTTATTTAAACTTTACCAACTATTAAAATTTACGAGTTTTTTTACATTTTTTTGACAACTTTTTGAGGATTTTTTTTAAGAGCCATTGCTACTAGGGTTCCTCAGCGATTCTTTGATGAGGTGCAGCAAGAGCCATAGACTTTTTAAAACTACAGATGCCATTGAGTACGTGAAAAAACTGAGTATCTTCAACTGTGTTCAAGTAAGAAAATTATTCAATACTTGATTACCTCACGATGTTTGGATGGCGATGACGATCCAGCAATTTCAACATTGCTATTTCTCTAATTGTGGACTGAGGTATTCCTTCATCCCCTAAAGGAATCTTCACTTTCTTCAAAGCAACAATACTCCCCGCATTAGAGAGGTCTTTAGCTTTGTAGACAGTTCCATAAGCACCTGTCAAGATCAGGAGAGGAAAAATAAGTGCATGATAACAAAAATATTTTTTCCAGTGTAAAAAACACTTGGGCAGAGATGATCAAAAATCTCTTTGATAAGGAGGTTCATTGACAAACTTCTCGGCCGGATTTCCTTTCAATATACTTCATTTTTCTTCTATGAAATCTGCTATTAGAAAACATTTATAATAATTTGACTGTTATCTCCAATGGGACTCAACTATATGTATGTACCTAAGATATCATTTAGTGTTCAGGTATTTATCATGCAGTGCAGAACTTTCTAAAACCGGAATATACAATTAATACCAATCTTGAACACACCGCACTAGGTACTTGAGGATACAACACAATGTTAGTTGGAAATAAGTTACGTCTCTGAGATGGTGCATTTAAGTAAACTTGACAAAACGGTGGTTATCTTACAATACGCCAGTGTACGATAAAAGTGTGAATATTAATTTATGGTGAACGTAAAAGAAACTTGGAACATTAAGTAGGGAAAAAAGTAAATTAGTTGAAGACAGAGCTAAGCACAGCTTTGCCAGATGGTAAGAGGGGGTCTAGAAATGATCAAATACCCACCATTGCCTATAACGCTGACTTCTTCATAGTGATTTCCTGTGGTAAATATGTCCGATGAAATTAGCTGTGATAAATTGCTTGAAGCCATGATTGATAGGTCGTACATTACACTAAATTCAAGAACTTTTCATAATTACTATGAATGCATTTGAAATGACACCATTTCGAACTTCCTGCTCAGAGAAAATAGATAATTTATAAGAATTAGTTACATGAACATGGTGAAAAAAACTTCTGGGATAAGAAGAGGAACACAGAAAAGGACTCTTTTTAGTCTTTATCCCTAAGGTGCGACAAACAAATTACTGAAGTAAGGACAGGCACGACTTTTCAGGTTAGCACGCTGGAAATGGCAATTAGAAAGTAATGATTGTCCCCAGATCTTGAACCGAAAGCGGTTTAAAGTCAGTAAAAACTCAAGATTTACACAAATGCTTTGAAAATAAAGCGGCGCACTCCACGACGGGAAAGGTTTTGTAAAATGAAAAGTGAAAATGAAAACAACAGAACAACTAGTCCCTGACGGGTATCAACAGTATCAAATCATCCCTTCCGTTCCGCTCCCCGCTCCGCATGTCCGCAACCACCAGTTGCACGAGTGTTCTGATTGGCTCGCACGAGTACAGTTACCCCCAATCGCCGCCAGAGGCGCAAGAGTGATTGCTCCAGCGTTGCAACATAGTGCATGGACCAAATCAAATGAAAGAGATTTTTCATCTAGCTGAGAGCTTGTCTCTGCTGAAAGCTTATCTCTGCTGAAAGCTGAAATGATATTTTACTTTCCATGAAACAATGATTTTTCAAAGGCTTGCATTTGAAACCCATTGACCGAAAATTCGATGAGAAACCTTGAAATTTGACTCATGATTCATTTCTCCATGCATTTCATGACATAGCGGGTTCATGGTAGCAGTTTTAAAAACAAATTTCATGTAATCTCACGAAATTTTATTTTGTTAAGTTTCATTTTAAATCTCAGAGAGGTATATACCGAGGGAGAGGGGAGTGGGCAGCAAGGGTGTGATGATAAGGTCTTAAAAAAGTAAGTATGCAAAAATTTGTACCTACAAATTTTTTTTAGCATTTTACTGCATTTCGGTACTTGATGTAAACTATAATAAAAAAGAAAAAAAAAGAATGCCTCCTTGGCATATAAAAACATTTGACCCATCATGAAATAGACAAGAACTTGAATCTCACTTATTCATTAATCAAATTTCATGCTAAAGTACCCCTTTACTAAGCGGTGGCTGTTTGTCTACCTGACTTTGGCCAAGTGACCCACATCTAGAGTGCGCAAGCTCTCAAAAAAAGTAAATAAATAAAAAATAATTTTATAAAAAAAAAAAAAAAAAAAAAAAAAAATTGCTCAATGTATTTCAGAAAAACTGCAAAACTTCAAATTTTGGTTTGCCCCGCTGCACACTTTCTGTCATGACTTATTTATCAAATAGCAGAATACTCAATATGCCATTTCTTGAAAATTTCCTTGATTTGCTTCTCTGCTTCTCTGTGTGAAGAATACTTTATACACATTTCAAGCAAAAGCATCGGTTTGTCTCATTTGATAGAATAAGAGAGCGGAGATTTTTAAACAACACGAAGGAGTTTCTGCAGTTTCCCGCCAATATTCAGATTACAGCAAAAACTGCCTCAGTTTCAGAATATAAGGTCATTATGAAGCACAAAAATTTACTCCTCCATAAAAAAGCATTGGAGTATTTTCTAAGATTAATTTCTTGAAAATCTACAAATGACTCTTTTTCCTGATAGGTAATAGGCGAGATACAGCTCATCAGCATACCAAAATATAACAAGAGAAATCAACCAGAAAAAAAACCCAGGACAAATTTATAGAAATTCAGAGCTCAGACTCTGACATCCAGTGACCTTGAACTAGCCTCATTGTTGGTCTATTTTGGGCCATCAAGGCAACAACATATTTTACTAGGCACTCCAATTTGTGCTTATGAAGTTACACAAACAACCAACTTTAACAAAACAGTGTATATTTGCAAAAAAATTAGTAACAAACAGTAAAACCAGTAAAAAACAATTTAACAAATGATTTTAACGTTAACGAAATAAATTATCAGTTACTGAATTTGTACTTCTTGTACTGCTCGAAGAGCTGCAAAAGATAGTTTGAAAAACCTGGGAATCACATCTTGGTTCTGTTTACTTCAGTATTAGCTGACCCCTTCTGAAATAGAATCTTTGCTTGTAACTCGAGTGGCGGACTCCCGAGAATGGAAGCATACAGGACATTCATACTTCATGTCGATCATCCTGTTTGACTGAAAAGTACAAGGAAACACAACTTAGAAAGCTTGTACTGGCTGAGCAAAAGAAAGTAGTGCGAAAAAGAAAAATATTACAGTGCATCAAGGAATCAAATATGTTTTTTAATGTATTTGACAAATTCCATGCTGAACAGCTGCATCCACCAACTGTTTCAAATGACTACTAAATAAGGTGAGAATAGACCACAGGACAAGGTACGATTATAGGCATTGTGATATATGTTTCCTCCTGAACATTTCACGCAGAACACAATTCGCACAACGAGAATAAGAATTTGAATAATATTATTACATGGTGAAAATTTTCACAACTGTCTAACACGAATGTGTTGCCTCTTTATTCTTTAATGGATCAAAAGAGTGGCAGGATATTTAAAACTGATGAAAATTCATTATTCACGCTTGGATTTCTAATGCTTCAATGTTGGTTTCTCATAGCAATCGAAAACACGGGAAAATGCGGAAATAAGGCTAAAATACAAAATACAAAGGCAGGACTTTTCGGTACCTTACGGCATCATTATCAACTGCTAAAATAGAATTAAAAATAAAAAAGAAATTAAAATAAAAACCAGCAAACGGCGTTACATGGTGAAATTGGTATTGAAATGAGGTACGTCTCCTGTGCTTTCGATTGTAGTTTCCACTTCGGGCTGCCTTTACCTTCTCATAGCACTCACATTGACAAGCGTAAAATTAGTTATCAGGCTGTATTTTCTGACCGGAAACCCAAATTTGAGGTCAGATTGTTTAATTTCGAAAATTCAAGATGGTAGATGAGAGATTTGGCACCAAAAAAACTATAGACCTGTCCCTAACTCAATTTGCCCAAAAAATTGCCCATTTTGAGCAATCTTTTGGGCGATTGGAGGTTTTGAGATTGGCAGTTTTGACACCACATGCCTCATGTCATTTGGTTGCTTTGTTGATTTTCTGCTGAGTTTCTAAAATTTAAAAAAAAAAAAAAAAAAAAAAAAAAAAAAAAAAAAAAAACTCTGAACGGCTGTTGTAACTTATTAAAAACTAGAACTAGGTCTAGTTTTGAAGCTTAAGACTTTCTCTAGGAAAAGTAAAAATTGAATTTCTATACTTCGATTTTTCAAAAATTGGCGGATTGTAAAATTTTGATTGCACAGAGTTGACCCTTACATAGGCTTTAATCATTTCCCAAAGTTTAATCGAGGGATGCTAAACTGTTCCTGAGTTACAGCAAGGAACGCACCATAATCCCACTTAAATATCATCATAGTATAACTATAGATATTAGCCATGCATAGTACGGATGGATTGCTTTTTTAAGGCTGTGGATTTTCATTAGTCTCTTAGAAATAAGAAGAGGATGTTTTCTTGGATACAAACTTACCTCTAAACAATAGTAACAAAATGCATGAGAGCAACCAATATGAACTGGTAAAATAGGCGTTTCATTGCAAAATGAACATTGTGACCTGATGGAGAAAGACACAGATTCTGTGGCACTCATAGAGGGTTTTGAGATCACTTGAAGAAATTTCTTTCTAAAGTATTGATAATTAACTAGCGGCAATGCAAATCCTAGCATTTCCTGTCGAAAAAAGAGAAAAACATAATTTTTATTTGACATACTAGTGCCTTTTTTATACTCATTTTTATACTTATTAGGAAAATAATCAGAGGGATTCATGGTTCAATTGACAGAAAATTCCAAGCACTGATAAATTGGACAGCCAACTTTGACAATGAGATAGATGTACAATTTCAATTCTTGTATTTAGTCTGAATGTGAATGGTGAATATGAAGATTACAAATTTTCGGTCCACCGCTTAAAACAGGAGAAATTGGCACTAGCTCTAAAAAGCATACAGAGACATGCATAAAGAAAAAAATTCTGCGGATACGTTCTTGTTTTAAGTCATCATGCACTGAATTCTGGAGAAATTTCTTCGGTGATGGATCCTACATGTGAATCGATAAACAGCATTTTGGGGGACCAAAAGATGTGCAACTTTCTTTGCTACCCTGATCAAGAAAGGTGACCTAATCCAATGGTCGATAAAAAAGTCTACTGTACTTACAATAAAACCATGCCAAAGTAGTTCCCTGGTCATGTAATTGTATCCTATCATTCGAGGACTGCGGGCAACAGAGACGATTTTGAGGCCAAGTAATCGCTCGGTGAGAGTGGGATGGTCTCCATTGCGCAGGAACACCAGAAAATTTGTTAACTTAATTAGATCCATTGTAACATCCACCCAATGTGCGTATTGCTTAACCTGGGAAGAAAAATAACTGTTAAAAATATTCTGAAAAGATCATAATGTAAGACTACAGGAAGTTCTGAGCAATGATTGCTTCTTTTAATCTGGAGTTTCTTACCAATGGTTTCACGGTTTTGCTGAAAACAGACTCTTCCCATGCTCCAAAATTTGCATTTACAAATTGCGCCTCTCAGACCAAAATTATTTGTGGAAGATAACATTGTTGGAAATTTATTTAACAAAGTAAGCTCTTTTGTTAAATAAATCAACTGCTAAACATGTGTCCAACTTTGACTGGAAGAGTGTCCCTCATCTTGCTGCCCCAAAGCAAGCTTTACTCTGGTTTTCTTTTCAAATTAGGTTTAACTGTGGGAAGGTTCTTTGTTATTGGTTTTTATTTGAGGGGCTGCCTTGCATGATGACAGTTGCTTCATACAGAGTTGGCGCATGATTGTCTCATCTTATGCAGTTACATCTATGCTGTAGAATATTCTTGAGGCAGGAAGTTCAATACCATGCAAATCTCTTATTTAGAAGCACATAGTGAATTTTATGCTTTGACAGTGAGAACATCATTATTTTTAAAGCAATTATCATACTTTGTGGCTTTTCGTTGCTGAGCTTTTTACTCTCGATCACCCAGACTCTGGACATGTGTCCACTAAATTAAAATTCTGCAAGTCCTCACATGCGATGACCTTCTTGCAGAGGAGTTATCGCAATGGTTCTGTTCCACAAAACAGCCTCCTGAAAGCTGATTATTAAAATTAATAGACAAAGGAGCGATAAAATGGAGTAATTAATGGCAATCCGGGAGAGACCCTATGCAGTTGGTCCATCATTTTACCCCTTAGTCTATAACAACCACCTGTTTCCACCAATAAGATCGCTCTATTTTCCATTTGTCTATTAATTTTAATAATCAGCATACTCTTTGCTGTTAGTAGCAGTTCCATTTCAAATCATTACTGTCGCAACTCATTTCATTTCAGTCAATGATTTCTTAAAAAGACAGTTACTTACAAGGGGAGAATGGTTTGATATTTGCTCTAAATTCAGCTTCCAGAAATCGTCAAACATTTGAAGAATTAAGAGGGCATATCCTTTGTGAACCGAGAATGTTTCCTGCGAGTATTTTAGGCCCAGCATCTGTTGGCCAAATGTGCTCTGAGACTGCAAGACAGACATCTGGAAACAAGTGGAAAACAATTAAAGCAAGAGGATTAAACACAGGATGTTTCAGGATTAAATGATTAGAGTTTCCAAATAGATTCTTGAGGTCAAAATGAGACTTGTTGGTGGAACAACATTTTGGCCTGAAAAGGCATCCTTGCAGAGTTATCACTCCCCAAATTTCCGAGAGATCAATTACCCTAATTCCAATTCTGGCACCTATTTTGCTTCTCAAGAAACGTTATGACGTTAATCCATGTATTTTTGAGCACACTTTCTAGTTCTAGGATTAAATTTGGGATTTCAACACTCCCAAGGAGGTCTCAAGTAGAGGTAATCTATTACTTTTTGTCTGTTTTTGAAGGATTTGACCAAAAGTGTAGATTACTTCACTGAATTTACAAACAAATTACACCTCCTGAGACATAGTAAAAAAAACTCAATTTAAACCTACATCATTATTTCATGCAGTAAAAAAAACTCAATTTGAACCTACATCATTCTTCTCATGCAACCAATCCGTTCTGAGGTAATTGCCTCCAAAGCAAGGAAAATGTTTTCAAACCATCATACTTAATTCATTCAGGGCAGTTTTTCTGATTATGTGTGAAAAGAAAAATATGATATTTATATGCATGTTGCGAAGAAAGAAAGAAAAAAGAGGCAGAGGAAAATTTTTCACTGATTCTGCAGAGTTTCTTCAATTTGGTGATTTTTTAATTCCCCTATTTTTTTTGTTTTTCTTCAACTCTAAAATATCCGAATTTCCTGATTTTCCCTGAGCAAAACTTTCACTTGCTCTTCTCTTCTTTTAATTAAGCTGCTGAGACAACAAGCTACGGGAGAAATTTCCTGTATTTTCCTATGAACTTTTTTATTTTTCTGGGTCACCTAAAATCCCCTGACTTTCCAGGTTTTGTGTACTTACTGCTGGAAGCCCTGTCTGGCTTTTTGCTAAAACTAAGGGATATTAAAAAATCGAGGATATTTTAAAGCAATTATTCCATCACTCACCTTCCATATAATTAAATTCAAGATTATATTCGTTTTTGATTCCAACCGGTTGACTATCCATGGCTGAAAATAAGCAGAGAAAAGCAGGGATTCCTTTAATATAAAATCAAGCTGATGGGCGATTGGATCACTTCTCCAGTAAGGAAAAATATGGGTCATATTTCTTCAAATGTAATGTTGAAGAGGAATATCTATAATAAGCTTGAAATATCCGTACCAGAGTTGATTGCTATAGGTTACAATGCAGAGTTTGCCAAAATAAATGATATTAGGGCTCACAGAAGAGTGATCCAAACATAGAACTAAGAGCTGATCCTTCTTGATTTAGATATGGATGCCTGGGCCAGGGCTGCCAAAAAATTTGGAAAATTAATTTGCCTAACAATGAAGGGTATGCCAAATGTTTGAAAAGACATAATTTGAAATAGTTTACAGGCAAAATTTGTTGTTCAAAACATCAGCGCTATTCTAGAAAGTAAATGAAGGTAATGAACAATTTTTTCCTGTCATTTCCAGGTTTTTCCATACTTTTTAAAAATCTCCGACATATCAACTAATCTTAACTACTATACTACTCTTCTTACTATATCTTGACTTACAATTTTAATAAAGAATAAATAAAATAATATAAGATATTAAAAAGTACAAACCTTGATAATCCAAACCTAATAAAATTGCTAGTATATCATTTTACTCATCTGTTAAATATTAAGTTATTCCTGGTAACCCTGTGTTTTAAAGCTCAGGATCAAGGCAGATAAAGAATGGTGGTCGCATTTCGTACCCTCTTGACGTCACACGGCATCGGGTACATCCTGACTGCATGGCAAGGCAAGTACTCTCTGCGCGTCGCAGCCTTATAAATGGCGGCTCAACTCAAAAAGCGACAACCTTTTTTATGCGCCTTGCTCAGAATTCAAGCTTAAGTCCCATGCAAACTGCATGTTGATAGCTGTGACCTCTCTTTCAGGGAAGCGAGCAGTGCTTTTGGGATACCCTGTGTATCTACACTAAAAAAACTGTTTTCGGTTTCCTTTGAAAGGAGGAAATAAGGGTACAAATCACTTCATCAACAAGAGAAAGCAAAGACTTTGAGACGTTCCTTTTCCTCATCAGCTTACAATCTGTTCACATTTAAGGTCAGTATCTGTGAGTTAACTGAATGTAAGTAATAAAATAAAATGCTTACTGGAAAGTACTTCAGGGCTGCCTGAACTTGAGACCTCAGGATGTTTAATAACTCTTCATCCAACAATGCTGCATCCCACTGAAACAAAATTTGCTAGATCAGTGCCAGCCAAGGTACATAAACTCTCCTTGCTGCTGAACAGCATCAAAATTTAAGAGCTATTCAGTTCTCAAAATTACTTAGAATAGGTAGATAAATCTGCATGCAGTAGAAACTTGATGATTCAGAACAGCAAAAGATAAGCTGATGATGACTTGTTTCTGATTTTGGAGTGGAAGGATTAGTAGTATGAAACAAATAGAGTCGATGCTATGATATGCATTTTTAGACTGCTACACAAGATCCTTCATCTTGATTCTTGCATTTATTTTCAATGCAAAACTGACATCAGACAATCTTCTGTCGCAGTCTGAGAGTGCAGGGATTTATTTGGCAAGGGCGTGAACAGTTTATGTTAGTTATGCTTGTCATACTCTTTCTACCATGTGAGGGAGAATGAGTGAGAATAGAGGCACTCATCATCACCTTGCCCATCTTCGTATTGCCACAAGCTCATCATAAAAATGAAATGGAGTTGGGGCTGAAAGAAATGAAAATTCTTGAAGACACTTACAGAGGTAACTCTTGATGCTCTTTTTTCAATGAATTTGCTCCTGTGATTCATGTGACACTGGAAAAAGACCTGCCCACGCAGATCCCCAATTCCTACTAGGTATTGGGTATTCCTACTAAAGTTTAGTTCGTTGCACTAAAGTAATGAAGGAAAGGAATTGAGAGAAAGATTCCTAAATCCCTCATTCTCGTCCCTCACAGTCACAGTCTTACATACACAATAACAATAACATAACCTAAATCTCTAAATGCCTTGAATCGGCGGTCACCATTCAACAATGATGCTGTGGACTCAGCGGGTTCTTAGTCTGCCGAAAGTAACATTCTGTTGGACTCTTTATTTACGTTTTTATCAGCATGTTGCATGAGAATCTCGTAGTTTATCATTTTATTTTCATTTTCGTAAATTTTAATTAATTTCAATATCAGTTACGCATCTTCTCATTATATACCTTGGTGCTCAGCAAAGAAAGGCTGCCTCATTCATCTCTTTAGTTCATTTATACCTAAATTCTCATGCAATTCCGTAGTTTAACTTCAGCCATTTCAGCAGAATGTCCATAGTTTATTCTTGCTTCAAAAATTGTTTCAACGGGGTTTCATTTCCTGCCCATCACATACCCAGACATGAATTTAATCCCATCGTTCTAGATACAGGATGTGTAGGTTGGTTCACTTTTTAATTAATTTTCGTTATATTCCTTCCTGTCATCATCCATATTGTTCTCGTGTGAAGCTCACTACATCTATCGTTTCTTCTTAGCTCTATGTATCCACCAGTGTCAAAACGAAAAGAGACTTTTGCATATTATTTTCACCACGTGTTCTTACAAAATTCTCTCATACCCAACTGGAATGATCAAAACGGACCCTTTGCTGGTGAGCTTTCGAGCCAAATTTGTCGATCGGCAAGAACCTTTGATGCAAGGATGCAAATGACTTTTCACCAAATATGTTTTGGTGTAGCTGTAGCTAGTATTACATAAGTCAGTTGCTAATTCAATTTTATCTGTGTGTATTTAATCTGAAAGGCAGAGTTGTAAATGAAAAGTTTCTCCAGCTGGTTGGACTTCTTTTTCAATACTAGACGGTTTCTTCTCTCGTATCACTTGCATGTTCTTGAAGATCTAAGATGCTGTATGATTTTATTTAATTAATCAAACCTAATTTGATTTATAGGTCATGAAGTTGTCATAGTGAAGAATGGAATCCGAATTTGTGGCACCGGCGGAGCTCTATGCACAGCTCCCCTGGTACAAAACAAGGCTTATTTTGAAGTGAAACTTCAACAGTCAGGTTTGTTATTATTCATTTTTCAAAGAGTTCTGTTCAAAAAAGGCCCTGTTTCCAATGGATTTGGACCAAATGTCTCAGAAATCAAGGTGAAGATGACATGACACTCCGTTCCAAATTTTAGTCGGAGTATTTGACTGATCTTCGAGGAATGGGGAGAGCGTGAATTGCCTCTCCTTCTGCTGCAATGTCCGTCAATTTGACGCATTTATATCTAAAATAACTGTGTCAGTTTTGACACGAGCCCTTTCATACATGTATTCCTATGGATCGCTAGGCTCATGTCAGAACAGATATATTGCTTTTCAATTCAAATACGTCCAATTGAGAACTTACTTGTTCAACGGTGCTTACCTGCGTTCAGAACCTCTCAGAGAGAGAGAAGGGGACAAAAGGAACTTCTATCGCAGGGCCTGGGCTCACCGGGGTCAAATTGGCTCTAATATTGAATACTTGAGCAGTTTGTTAATCTGTCTTGGAACCTCAAGAATAAGCACAAGTTTTGCATTTTATCCAAGTTTGGAGCCTCTCTTGCAGTACCATAGGTCCCTTCGGCCCATCTCCTGTATTTAACTTTTGTTACTCATGCAGGAAAATTAAAATTACTTAAAGTACTTTTGTATTATAGTTGAAGCTACTCAATAAGCTTGAAATTAGTTTTACTGAATTAGTAACCTCTCATGCCTCTTGAAAAAATTTTACAGGGGTCTGGGCGGTAGGTGTAGCAACACGTAATGCCAATCTGAACAAAGCTCCAGGCGGTGAGGACTCTGAATCATGGGTCTTATGCCACGATGGAAGACAACGACATAATGCAGAGGATATTGGTGTGATTGAAGCAGGCAATGCGGTAGAGGGAGATGTTATAGTGAGTATTTTACTCAGAAATATTATTTTCTATTTAGAGTTTTTAGGGCATATAGTTGAAGTATGCCAGAAATGATAGAGACCCTCTTTTATTCTCTTGAGGTCGGGTGGAAACATTAATTTTTGCAGCCGGAGCTCTACCACTTAACTTATGAGATTATCTTTTGACTGTCAAGCAACATAGTAAGCAACTCTTTGACAAATATGCTAGTGTTTGGTGGACTCTTGTTGGTCGCACTGCTCATCTCATATAGCTCACCACCCACCAAAAAGTCAAGGGGACTGTCGCTGCTCTCAGAAAAATGTTGAATCCCTGGAAGAACTTGTTTCCGCAATCGCTGGAGTACTAGTGGAGGATCTTTTTCTGTCTCTAAGGCTTACTATAAAGAAACTGAATAGCTACAAGGATGTCTTCAGTATTTGTTACTAGACTCAAAGAGCAGTATCCTTATTGGAGTTGGCCAATGTTAATCTAACGGAGTGCACCAAGACAGATCAATTTTCTTGATTCAAACTTCATTTCCATCAAAATATTCTCACATTTGTATTCAAATTGTCTCATGTCTAATCAGCATCATAATCAATTATTAGTCTTGTGGACGCAATCAGCAGTGAGAGTGTCACTCTCCAAATATTGCAGTGAAATTGTGATCATTGCTGTACCTGAGGGTCAGCCAAGAAGTAAGTTTAACCAGTTTACAGGCAAACTAAACAAGCTGTAAACTTCAATGCAGTTGTTGGCGTAGTGCTTCATTGATTAATGTATCATGTTTCTTAGTTTGATTTTATATCTATTCTGCTGTTGAAAGCAAAAACTGATAATTGATACTTATAGAAATTTGTGGTTAAGAAGGAGGCGAGGAGTCAACCTTTCAACCCAGCAAAATCCCAGCAATTTATATAGTAATCATTATCATATTGTAACTCAGGAGATAGTAACTCCATCAATCACCATAGAATCAAATACTTGATACTCAGTAATTTTACAATTGTTCTATTTTTGAGTTTTTGATTTGTTCTGAAAAAAAATTTCAGGTGTTAAGAATTATGCTTGTTCCATGAAAATTTGGATTTGCCCTCAGTGAGAGTTGAAGAGGTAAATACAGAACGTTGTTCCACGTAAATTTTTGTTTTTGTTTACCATTTTTAGGTTTTTAATTTTGTAATTTTTCTTGGAGTGTCGTAGTCAGTTTGTCAGTTTTCATACTAACTAAACGCATGATCAACTAACAAAATAATGTAATACCATCCAACTTGCGTGAGGATCTGTTGATCATGATTCTGGCAGATACATAATGTATGATCAGAAAATTTTGAAAACTATTGTTTCATAGTGTTTTTACTTCTTTTAATAATTTCTTTCCCATGTCTCCAGGGTATATCATACGATCATGAAGAGCTCAACTTTTATGTGAATGGGAAAAACCTGGGCTGCCCTGTTCTAGGAATAAAAGGAACAGTTTTTCCCGCTCTTTTTGGTATGTATACTAAATTATAGTCAAAGCTGCTTTTGGCTTTTTTAAAAAGAACATATCTATATTTCATTATATAAATTTTGTGTAAATTTTGTGAAATTAAGATTGGATTTCAGACAATTTGGATAATTTTGCATAGGAGTTGCGCGCAATACAGTTCCATTGAGCATAAATACGTCCAATTCTGTGCTCAGTCCTGTCCACAAATTGTAATTTTAACTGTAAGCTGCGGAATCAGTAGCCGTCCGTAGATTTACATTTTTTTCTCTGAATTTTTCAGATAGATCTGTTTTTCAAATCAAGTTATGAATGGTAATTGCATTCAGCGTATAATCATCATATTTCTAAGTACAGTAAATTTAATGGAGCCTCAATTGGTTTTTGCAAGCACCTTTGGCTCTCTGCGTTGCAGTCAGTGACATCTTCTTCTTCTAATTTCATATGTAGCCTATGTCAACAGTCCTAAACATATAAGTCTTTTTTAAAAACTTCCTACCTACACGTGTGCCCTTAACTCAACACCATGCAAGCTCATTTCAAAACAAATCTGCTGGCAGCCATTTCAGTCATTTATCAGACAATTCACAGGTTCTCTCAACCCTTGAAGAGGACTTTTTTCTGGCAAAAATAAAAGCGCATTATTTTTATCTGAGTTATTTAGGTCCTACTTGTTAAGGTGTCTCTTCTCTGCAAAAGCTACATGAGAAATGGCTGCTTGAGGCTTTTTTCCCACATATTCGTGCATGTCGGTTTGTAGGGGCTCTCCTTTTTCCTGCTTTTAAAAGTATGATTTTTTTTCTTACAGTGGATGAAGGTGCAATTCTAGATCTGATCGTAGATAATTTTCAGTATCCGGTGCCACCTGGGTATGATAGGATCATGCTTGAGCAGTCACTTTTGTAATACTTGTATACTTAGACTTAATATCTGTCTTCACTGTGGCGTTCACTGTTGTTCTTTAATCGAACAAAAGCACTGATGGTAGCTCTGGTCAATGGCAAAAGTGCTCTGTACAAATTTATTATTTTACTGAAACTCTATTTTTATTGACAGAGCAGTTAGTTGATGATGTTTCTTAAACCTTATCCAATACTGAACTAAACACCCAAACGCTTGAATCTCTTCATTTTATATTTTACAAGAAATTGTCTCAACTTTCAAACATGCTTTTTAAGTTAATTTGTGAACCAAAAATACCCTGATCGAGGTGAATCTATATTGAAAGCACCCCTTGGAACAAACCCTTCTACAATATTTGTTTCATTTTTCGCAAAAAAAAAAAAAAAAAAACAGAAAATTTTCCCCAGAAGCACACTTTAGCCGTCTATTCGTAAAAATTTCATTTGGAAACCCGAAATTATAGCATGACCCTTTAGTCAATCCATCATTTGCCTCCTTTGTCAACAAAAACCACCCTCTCAAGGTACTAGGTAAATTGCTAAGGTAATTGCTTCATTTTCCCTTTGTCCACTTTGACTATCGCTTTATCCATCGATTTTAATAATTAGCCCACACCCCTAATCTAGGATTTGCAGAAGAAATTTCTCTAGAATTGACAAATGGAGTGTGCTTCATAGCATCATTCCGAGTTTTATTACAAAAATAAAACTGAAACTAGGATCTCAGCATCATTTTTTTGATGTCTCACTGTTTGTTTTTCTTGAATACAAATTTACGTACAGGCTTTTCTGTATCAGTGCTCTCCTTCATCGATATATTTTAACAAGTACCCTTTTTCAATCAAACTTTTATAATTCCTTGTTCAAAATTCATTTTTAATCTCTTACCCATTCTCATAATAGATATTGTCAAAAAAGAGAGTTAAAAAGGAATAGTTCAAGCCGCGTATTTTGAATGTGTAGCACCATCATCAGTTTTACTTTTAATGTCTTCTATTTTTTGTATTGTACACATTTTTCAGCTGGAAATGTATCTTTTTGTATTGTCTGATGGAGAACATTGTACCTTATTGTCTAACTTTTTTTACGCTTTACCCTTCTGTTGAGCCAGTTTTTGGTTTAACATATTTTTGAGATCTTGTTAGCTAAGCTATTTTTTTTTCCGTTTTCTACCCAACAATTGCTGATGGCACTCGTTGTCTCTCATAATAAAATCAAGGGTCTCACATCACAGCAACTACTGAAGCGAGGTGAACACTGCAAGTGCTATTTATCGCAAAAGGTGTGTCAACTGCAAACAAGAAGAAAGACATTTTTTCCATTTAGTGGTCTGTGTATGTAACATTCATTCATCTTTACTTAAAGTTCCTACGCATCACTGATCTTATAATCCATGTTTATTATATGTTCCCATAGTTTTTTTTTTTTTTTTTTTTTTTTTTTTTTTTTCAAGCAATTTCTCTCCTTTATATTAGGGTCATTACACTTCAGGGCATCACAATAAACATTCATCAGGGTAATATTGATTACCGTTTAACCTCAATTTATTTTGCTTTTGGAAATCAGATTTTGAATAGTCAAAAAACTGCCTTGTTCAGTTTTCCACCTCAGTTTTTAACATTGTCAGTTGTAGAATCTATCATGTTGATTATTTAAGAGTTAAGGAAAGAATTTCTCATTGAGGAATTTGTTTTTGTAGCCCAGGCACAATTTCACCACGATACTTTCGTTTTTTAGAAGTTCAAACTGGCAAGTCAAAGACTCGTGTTTCCAAACACGTTGTACTTTAAGCCTCAGGAGTAAACCTGTTGGATTGAAAAACTTAGTAAACTGAAGAGCTATTGAGCTAAGAGAGCAAAGAAATGTAACCAAGAATTGAACTGAATTTTTTTTAAGGTGAAAGTTAATGCTACAGCTAATGTTTTCAAAACAGAACCTCTTCACTATATCTATTTTGAAATAGTTGCTTTTCATTCTTGGTTTCATTTTATTCAGTTCAGCCCGTTAATCGTTGGATTTCCCTTGATTGTTGTTTATGAAATTATTTGATAAGTGTGATGATTCTTGGAAAAAGAGTTAGGTACTTATCGGCCAAAATTTGCTGGATTGAATTATAATGCTTCGTGTGATTGAGTTTAATAATGAGCTTTTAGTATTTCTTCCAATCGTTTACTGGTAACGGAAACAAGAGAAAGTTCTAAAAGCAAGAGAGTATGCCTTTGTGTAATGTCACAGAGTGGTATTGATGCACATATTTCCCTTCTAAAAGTGCGCATTTCAGCAGATACTATCTTAGTATTACTTAGTACTTAATTAGTGTCCAACTTCAAAATTAAGGACACCTTTGTGTTTACTCACAATCAGTAGTTTTTATTCTTCAAAAATAAAAATCATCCAATTAAATTTCAACCGTCTGTAAATTATTCTATAATTAAATTCTAAAAAGCCAAAATCAGTGGACTTAAGTTACAAAGTGTAAGAAACCTCTTTTCAGCTTTTTTTTAAAATGAGCCATCATAGAAAACACAGCAGAATGCTCAAGATTCTTTGCTCTATCTCACGTCATGAAAAAGAACAAAAATGTTAACGATCAATCTGCTGATAAGTTTATCATCGTCTTTAAGAATGGTTATTGTAACTATTAATTTATTCATTTACCCTGAAGTCCGAAACATCAGAATCAGAATGTTATTTATTTTGTAAATATGTAATTAAAAACTTTAACTCTCTTTAATAAGTTTTATTCATATTTTTCTTGACCTGTTGAAGATTGTATTCTCCTAATTATGTCCTTCCCAACCTGTTTAATTAAAGTCACTATGATATGTCGGTAAACTCTTTTTTCCTTCTTGAAATTGGAAACATCTTTACTTTAAAAATAATATCTCCCAAGTGTAATGCTTATTATCTTTCTGAACTTAACGCCTGAACCCTTTGAAAATTTGTTGATGGTTTTAATATTCATAGTAGATGATTGTAAAGAGGTCTCCTTGTTTCAGGAGTTGATTAGTTATTGGAAGTCTAGGGGGCGAATGGACTTTCATGCCTTGTAACAAGTCATTGTTTTAGCATCGAAAATAGATAGAAGCTCATGCCCCTTTTCTGGCCAGCACCAGCATTTAGGGGTTGACTGCCAGCCTAGAGTAGGTACTTTGAGGGACCATAACAGCATTACTAAGGCCTTGTCCACACGAGCGCGGTTCGCAGAACTCAGTTCGAGGAACTTGTTCCCGGAACAAGTTTTTAGCTGAGCTGAAACTTATTCCTCCAAAACCCGAAATTTCCCCCGTACTCCGAGCTTCTAAATATGTTTCTTTTGATGTGAATTTGCTTGTTTTTGTTTTTTACGTCCTTTACATATTATCTTGACATTTATTTTTGTTACTTTGGCGGTCGTAATAATCTATTATTTTGCAGTAATTGTATAGTTTTATTGAAGTTCCGGTTCCAGTTCGGGCGAACTCGTGTGGACAGCATGCCTCGTTTCAAGGAATAAGTTCCGGGAACTGAACAAGTTCGAGGAATAAGTTCCGCGAACTGCGCTCGTGTGGACAAGGCCTAACAATATCGCTACAAAACGTCAATGAGACGGAAATATTTCTTAGGAAACAATATTTGGATTCCCCTTTGACTCATGTCCAAGTAGTCAATACGGATACCATTGTCTCAGTTTTGAACTGATGGAGAATTTTTGCTTTCGTCGAGAAGAATAGCCTACTATAAAGGCTAAAATAGCTATGAAAAGTCAAAGTAGGGCGTAATTTAAAGTATCATAGGGGCTATCCACTCCATACCTTGAATACCTCCTCCTTTTTGTGAGTGATACCACTCTACATATTTTAAAGGGTTTTATGAACCTTTGCTCCAATTCAAGGAACATTAGAACCTTGAATCGAGGTAACGACTAAGATGTTTCCAGTTTAATTAAAATCATGGATAAAATAAAGTACTGACATATTAAAGACAAAAAGGAACGTCAAGAGGATTGTCAAAACGGTGTGAAACAGAATCAAAACTTGAAATTTCAATTTCGTTTAATAATTCAATTTAAAAAATATAAAATTTGATACGATCTGATGTACAAAAAGTAAAAATTTGTCTTGGCAAGAAAAAGTAAGTAATACAAATAAATTATAATTCGGTGATTTTTCTAAAAGACGAAATGTATAAAAATAAATTGAGAAAGAGTGAGCGAATGGTGACCTCCTTTGGATGTTCTAAGTAGATAGGTAACCTAGCTTCTTACGATGCAGACTTCAGAGAAATTCATAATTTCATCTTTTCATTTAAACTATTTGTACCTGATTTTAATTTTCAGGAACTGAAATTTTTTATATCACTGAAAGAAGTCGATCATTGGACTTTATATCACTGGATCTAATTACCAATTAAGCGATGATAACATACTAAACATCACTTTTTTTCATGACAAAGAGCTCAAGAGGTCAACATGGTCTCTTAGCCCTCACTTTACGTTCTATATCACAGAAAAACATCGTAATTACAACAAAACAAAAAAAATTATCCTACAAATGATTCTTACATTTACACAATAATTGTGAGATATTTACATGTAAGAAAGATACTTTAAGCTTAAAAAATGAAGGAACTTAACTTTATTGTACATTTTGTCCTAAGAGAGATTTGGTGAGAGATAGTATCGGTAGTGACAGAAAACTTTCATTGTTAGCAAATGCAGCTCAGGAATCAGCTAAGGTGTGATAAATTCCAGGCATGCCTTCATTTTAGCTGGTGTCCAACTCTGCCCTCCAAAGCAACGACTTCATTCAAGATTTTGCATTATTCTTTCGCGCATGATTCTCTATTATGAGAGAGTCTGTTTACCATTACGGAACATTTTTCTCAGTTGCAGTTCTCAATAGTATGCCTTACTCTGAATATATAGATGGATGAATGTTCTTTGGATTTCTTATAAGTAATAGAACATTGAGTTAAAAAATAATTATAAAAATGCGTTACTGAGTTGGCGTACAGTTGCTTCAACCCACCAGAGCTTAATTGACCCCTTCTGAATCTCAGAGCTCTAAAATATTAAAACGATGAATTAATTAATCACATTATTAATGAATCTGCAATTTAAAACGGGTTGATTCGTACAGTTTCTATTGTTTTTTGGTATTTTTATACCTGGCGCTTGAGCCCTTTTGTAAATAACCGATTCAATTGCAAAAAAGACTTATTCTCTCTATGAGTATTGAAAGGACTCATCATGTGGAGTCACTTTAGAAGTACACACAGTCAAATTCATTTTTGAGACAACTCAAATCAGATTTTGATTTCCTAAAACCATGGGAGAAAACGAATTAAAAATATTTACAAACAAGATTTTTTACTTTTGAAGATTTCTTTAAAATCTGTAAATTTTCCTTGTTCCTCACAAAATAGAAACTTCATGAAACTTTAGAAACGTTGATTGCTTTTATACTTTGACAAATATTTGACTAGAAAATAGCAGAGGAGTGGCTTTGTTGCCTGATAATAATCTAGATGCACAGTCAAAAGACGGAGAGAAGTTGGAGCGAGAAAAGAAGCAAAAAAATATGAATATGTAGAGGGTGGAAAACTAGGGTTTTCTTATGGGTAACTTATTTTTGTTCTTCTTGGATGTATTCAATGTCAGGATGGCTCCTGGTAGGATTTATGTACTTTCTCTCATGCATATATTTCCTTATCTGCACATTTTTTATCACAATAGAAGGAAAAAATAAAATCTTATTTTGAAGGAGCATCCGTGGGAAAAATTGTGATACTCTTGTTGAAGGCTTTGAGAGCTGAAACAACATCAGCAGGTTGTTCAGCTGGTTTTGGGCTGTCAGCATGCTTCACTTTCTGAATTGTAACAGGCGACTCAGAAGTGGAGTCTTTTCCTTTACCAACCGTTGTGATGATCAAATCCTTCGGAATGACAGTGCGAATATCAACCTCGCTAGTTAAGGCATGAGAAGTTACTTTGGGGCTTGGCGTAGATATTGATGTGGATGGTTGCGCTTTCTTAATTATCATTCCACCAGAGGGTGACATGGGTTTCGGATTCGGGGCTCCGGGAGACCTTGTGATTGACAGACCACTGTTACTAGAAATATGTTGAACGATAGATTTAGGAGAGGCTACTTTGGTTGTGAACAAGGCTCTATCAACAGGGGTAGCTTTGCTTGGAGGGACTTTTGATACGCCTGGTCTGGGTACAGGTTTATCCACAGGTGGAACAGGCGTCAACGAGATGCTTTTGCTCAAAGAAACGGTTCCAAGTTTGGAGATATGGGCAGGTAACAGATTCGAGGCGTTGCGCTGTTTTGGTGCTGAGTGAGCAGGTGCAGGCTGTGGTTTTGGCCCAGGCTTGGTATTGTAGGGTGCCGCCTTGCTGATTGAAACGGCACCGGTTGGACATACAGGTTTGGCTAAAATTCCCGCCGTTTCTGAATTTCTGATAGATTTTTGGTTTGATACAGCAAGGTTTCTATTTTTTAACTGATTGGATTGAAGACTTCTTTGGTGCATTGATGGGGTTGTGTAAGCTCCAGTTGGATCAATGGACTGAATAAAACGTTTCCCTTGGTATAAATTAGGGACTTGTTTGCCTGAAGATTGTTTCCTAGTATCCTTCTCTGCTATTTTGGTACTAACTGGAGTAATTGAGACGTTTGGAGTTGGGGAGAAGTCTTTGGGGAGGAATGGTGTGGGCGTCTTCTTTGCGCTATCTGGACGTTTTGGACTTGAAAATCTCTGGGGAGTGATCGGTCCAGGACTTCTGGCACCACTTTGGAAAGCAGCCAAAGTTTTGGAGAACATGCCTTTTTGCAATTTCATTGCCATGCGCTCTTTCTCCTCATACTTGCTGATGAGATATTTTGCAATCATTGTTCGCTCTTGAACTGAGATATTCGGAGGGTAGTGCTCTGGGTCAGTTAGTACGTGCTGTTTCTTCAAATTGAGCTTGACAGCGCGAATGAGGTCGAACATTTTGACCTCGAAAGCTGAGATAGCAGTATCCGCTTTTGGAGGCCTAACATTTACGTTGGGCGTTTTAGGAGGCCGCCCCACTGGTCTCGGGGAGTGTGGTGAAAAAGGAGCGGATGACTTAGATTTTGGCACAGGAGGTTGAAGCATGACGCTAGAGGTGACCTTGGGACTGAACGGAGCAGATGCAGGGGTAGGTGCCTGAAATTTAAATAAAAATTTAATTAGTGCATGCATGAAAAATACAATACAGAGAGAGCTAGAGAAATATGTTGATTCAGGATAAAAATTTTGCAGCTATGGTGGTGGAATAGTGAAATTAGTCAGTTCTGAGAGAAATCAATGGAATGGATAAAAGCTAGTGGTAACTCAGCCAACCCTATCTGATCAAAGGCTCCTTTTGAAGCAGAAAACCGGTTTTCCGTTGTGAAAATAGAAATTAAGGGGGGGGGGACTTCCTCATTTCTAAGAGAATGTAATTTCCAGAGACTATTCTGGGAAATTCTCCACTAATGTATTTTCGTAGGAAACTTTGAAAAAACAATGCACTTGCGCACACACACACACACACCCTCCCTCCTCCCTCAAATGCAAAATTCACATAGTGTACTTCATAGTACTCGCTACTTGAGGAGAAATTAGGAGCGTTTTTACTACTTGACCTTCCAAAGAAACGTTGATCCCCATGTTAGGAAAAGCACTGCAAATCATCATATTTAGTGGCTGCAACTTCCATATATCATGGTTTTAGCCTTTTGCAAATGTTTAAAAATTGCCTTGAGATTTAAAGAAAATGAAATTTTGCAACTTTTTCTTCTTTTCTGTGATAAAACAAGGAATATTTTTGAAAAATCTGGGCATTGTTAATGTAATAGATGTAAAAAGTATTCATCCGAAATTAAATAATTCTTACTGATCAAAACACAAATTATGCTGACAGACACGCTAATAATAATTAAAGGCGCTTTGGTTTCTGGAAAAGGCAAGATTTCAGAAGCTAATGTCGCGACAGTATGGAAATTAGACACAGCTTTGTACATAGCTACTAAATTGTAGTTTTGACAGATGCCATTTGGTCATGAAATTGTGCAAAAATCCAATGCCTATGTTCAAGATACTATGAAGCAAAAAATGATGTGTAATATATTTTGATAGGTTTTTGGTGAAGGAACTTCTTATCACAATCGTTTTGCGCCGGCATGAAAAGCCAGTAAACCTAGGAGTCACAAAAAAAACAAAAAAAAAATCCACAAAATAACAGCACAGTAAAAATGATGTGTCCAGAGTGACATAAAAAATGGGAAAATGTTAAGAAAAAACTTAAAGAACAGAAAGTAGGTCTTTGTTCTTAAACATTATTAAAAAAATTATTGGTTTACCTGGTTGGTAGTTTTACTGGAGGAAGCAGGTCGATCAGGAACAATCGGAGGAGGGGTAGCATTCACAGTGGCTGCAAGCGTTGCAGCAGATTTGACGGCATTGATTTCAGCTGAGCAAAACTTTATGGCCGACTCAAGAATATTTCCAGTTGACTTAAATGAAAATGAGAGGAAAAAAAGAGAAAAATAAAGAGAAAAATAAGTAAATTTTTTTAATGACTTTGATGATATTTTTGATGACTTTCAATATCTTAAAAAGTCAAACCTTCTGAACAGGTTTTACGCTGTGTCAGGCATAGGCTCAACACATATGCACACCTTCCGACTGAACAGATAAAAATACAACAACATACACCCGGCGACAACTGACAAAGTTGTCACCATTACCGTTAGCATAGCTCCTGTTACCATTGCTAAGATTGTGCATATCTTGAAATGATTAGTTGGTAGTGAACTAAACTTCCTGTTCAGTAATTAACCACTTATTTTTTTCAATTATTCTGAATATCAATGGCAAAAGTTCGAAAATAAATACCTCCATGGCGGTATTTCAAAATTTCAGTTTCTAATTTATTTTTCAAAGAGAGGCAAGTTAAATTTATAGCTTGAACTTTATTCAAAATAAGTCAACAAATAGAGAAGAAAAATCAAGGAAGTTTTCAAGAGATTACTTGACTAGTTTTCCAAAGGAAAAAAAATATGATAGGAAATGCAAACGCTGTGCAACACCCCAACAGAGATACGTAATTTTGCACATTGGTCATCGATATTTTGAGAAAAACGTATCATGTAAGTTATTTTGGTTGCCCGTAGAGAAAAAAAAAGAATTGCACAATCTTCGCTTCATTGACATGGATATATTGATGAGAAAATTGGGAAACCTTGATCTGTTCCTGTCATACCATAGAGAAAAAAAAGGAGGTGTTTGCATCACAGGCATCTTGGATTTTTTTAATGACGTAGGTTGGTACGGACAAGTTTTATCATCGATTTTCTTGGAAATGGTGTAATTTATGGAAAAATTTCATTCTACATAAAGTGTTTGAAAGCATATCATGAGTTGATTTAAGCAAAAAAAATCGGACGTTAAGGGCCGTTTTTAATATTTTGAATTCTGGATATTGCTGGCCAGATTGTACCAAACTACGTCACAGGGTGAACAATCCTCAAGATTCAAACACCTCCTTTATTTTCTCTATGTTGTCATACTTTACTTTTATTTTGGAAAACTAAAGTCAACATAATTTCTTGAAAACTTGATTTTCCTTCTGTGTTAGCTGAACGCTTGTGTTCCTTCTGTGTGTAGTATTCTGGATAAATTTCAAGCCATAAAGTTGGCTTGTTTTTCTTTGAAAAAAAAAGTAGGAGCTGAAATTTTGAAACACAACAATGAAGATACATGGTTTTGCACTTTGGCCATCAATATTCTGTTAGATCAGAGAGGTCCTCATATGTTTTTCATGACACTGTGACAGATCTATAGGTAAGTTGGCTGATAGCTACACAACTTAACTCCCTTGATACCGCCTGCAGGCTGAAAAAAAATAGATGATTTACATGCATTTTTAATGAAAAACCACATACAGGATCAGATGCAAGTTAAAGTTAAACAAATAAAATTTTAAAATGTTTTTTGCTCACTCACTTACGCTTAACTTTCTTTTAATGGCCAGTACAGACCATTAAAATATATCTTTAAAGCAGGTAAAAGCGCTAAAAAGTTTTAACATTTTTAAGTCTCTTGCATCTGCAGGCACTTTTTTCAGAGACAGTTGCCAGCAACCAGATTTACAATAACAGTTTTGCAAAAACTACTGTACTTAAACAAACAACCTTGCTAACTGTCATCGATACAAATTTGAAAGTATACGGAAAGAGGGGCCTTACAGCAGGGAGAAAAATTCTTCAGGAGAATGATTGTAGTCAAATTGAATAAAAGATCGGAAACTGACTTTTTATTGGAAAACACTCTCTAACGTCCCAAAGGATGATTTGCAAGGGATTCAGTTCATTTATGATTCATAAGGGCCGTGGTTAATTATTTACCTTTTCTGGGAAATACTTTCGGTAAAAGTCAGTCAATAATTTACTGAAGACTTGCTCCTTTTGAGGCCAGTACTTATTGACTTTGTGATAGCACCGATAAACATCCAGGAGGGTTGCTTTCTGAGTCTCTTTTGCCACTGGATTTTTCTGCAAGAAAGACTCTTGGGTAATTTTACGCACTGAGTTCAAGCTTAGCGAAAAGGCTTCTTTAGACAGCTGCTCTCTTTCGTTATCTCGAAGGTATTTCCTGGAAAGCAAAGTTAGATTATCATTAATGATGGTATTACAATCTCGAAACAGAGAGATGGTATCCGAATTACTTCATATCACTCTAATCAAAAGAGACACTGATATTGTAAACTAATGTTTTAACTTTGTCATGTGCTTGGTGTCAAATAACACAAAAAATCAGATTTAGAGCAAAAAACGAGGGGGGTTTTGACCATAAGTGACTCTAAAGATATTGGTGAGGCCTTGATATCTGAGGTTACCTTAATTTTTGAAAAACTTTTGCAGCGCCCTTGAAAAATTGAAGGCTGAATTAAAATTGAGCTTGCTACCCAAATGCCTCCTCACATTCTGAGGTGAAGTTAAAACTCAGTTTTAAAAAAACAGGTCCAATCAAGCTCTATACATTCTCTCACTATTGCAGTTGATTCCATAAACTGAGTGTCATGTGATAATTCAGTTTTACATTTGACGAGAAGAATTGCATCAAAAAGACGATATAAATAGCAAAATGCATTGATCAATATATGTTTTGCGAGATCTTGGCAAATTTTGCAGAAAAGAAGTGCTCATCCCCTGATAGAATTATATCTGAACTATTGCATTAAATCCTGTCACAAAGATAAAGTAAATCATGTATTTATGTTGCAAAAAAAAGCAATACAAGCCTTATTCAACTTGAAAAGAGACAATTTATGTCATAATTATTTTGAGAACAATGAAATCCTTTCAGTCCCAGCTATCACAATACTCGATTTCATGAAACTATTAAAGAAATGTACGAACAATGAAGAAGGAAATGTACATCATAATTACTAGACTAGAAAAATTAAGTGAAGTAAATTAATAAGAGAGAGCAAATATGTAAGAGAAGCAAGCAAATACTTTGATAAGCTACCAAATGATATACAAGGACTTTTATTAGTTTACTTTACAAAATCTTTCTAAATTGAAAAAAGTCCCTTTTCAGCAAAAGATTTTTAGAGTAAGGGGGAGATTTCTTGACCTTTCTATTTGCGCGCACTGATGTGCCTAGAAAAATAAAATTATATTGAACTGTATTGTATTTTATTTGTATTACGAGCAAAAACTAATATTTTTTCTATACAGAATAAGCAGAAAATAGAAAAACCTGCACAGAAAACTTACTTGTCCGGCTCGGGCATATCTCGCAGTTGTATTGATAGCTCCAAAAGCATGTAAAAATCTTTGAGATCCCGCAACATATCAACCACCAAGTGAACACAGCAGCTCATATGATAAGCAAAAGACCCTGCTCGGTCTATTTCACCAGATGGAATGCGCCAAACTCCCTGTAAAATATCGAGTGCTCCATAATTCCTTTCGAAAGAAGAAAGTAAAAACATGCTTTGAAACAGATCAAAAGTATTCTCCTTCTGATAAGAGCTCCTCTTTACAAAATAGTCCAGTGATTACACTTTTGTCCACATTGTTGGAGAAATAGTAACCGTCATCTTACAAAAATTGACATTAGTTGAGTGTACAACTTTAGACCTTTGGAGAAAAGTGCTGTTAAAAGAAATATGCCGCGGTTGGAGGTGAACGGTACTGTTGAAAATCGTCGCCTCATCTTGAATAAAATAAAGGAGCAAAGAATAATTGAAGCCTCCGTTGAAAGAAGAAGGTAAGTTACACTGCCATTTAGAAACATAAAAAATTACATATTGATGATTCTGAATCTGACCAAAAAAAAAGACAACAATAATTTATCTTCAGCTTTGCAAGAACAGTTTGTTTTTTTAAATGTTCTTTTTGAACTTTAAACTAGCTTTTCTTGTAATCACAATCATTTGCATAACCAGAATCTACAATTAAAATACCAACACTAGCCAATAAAAATTAAACAACTTCTGAAAATACAATATCTTTTTAACTTACATTGAAGAAATTGTTGAACTTCCTATCAGCAAAGAGCCCACCAGGTCCAAGTAAGATCGTGTGACACTTTTTCACATCTCGATGTAACTTTGATCGGAAATGGTAGTGAGCTAAGCGGTACAGAGATTTGTAATGCTCCGGAAACCTTCGTGTACACTCAACGATGGCATTTAAACAGTGTTGGGTCAATTCTGATTGAACTAAAACATTAGAAAAAGTCGAAAACAGAGAATAGTTAAGACTTTACTCACCATTGCGGCAAAATAAAACATTCTTCATCTAATTTTCACAAAGCAAAAGCAGAAAGAACGCTCTGCAAAAGTCACGCTAAATTTGTGACCATTTGTTTAAAGAAAAAAAACCAAAGGTTGCGTTATTAATACTGCTGCATAGAGGCATGTTTTGGGAACACTTTGGCCTATAAAGAGCATCTAAAAATGCTAGACCAAATTAGAATAAAGGCCGTTTAAAATTTCAGAGAAGAACTTCGTAGAAAAACCTGTTCAGTGGTTTAACCTGCTTTATTCAGGACTTAAAATTAGGCAACTTTATGCCTTCTCCTAGATCAGACATTGGCTAAGTTGAGATCCTTTTTCCTAAAGAAAATTCCAAGTATGTAATTATCTTGATATGTAATCGGATCATTTGTAATCTCATCTCTTGCAGAATTCTCCGGGGGATACTGATTGAAACATAAAAATAACAAGTTTATTCTAATCACTTGGCAAAAAGTGTTAGAGAATAAATATCTAATGATCTTTCATTTCATCGCTTTTAAGAGAGGTACCTTGTGAAACAGAGATGCTGCTCAGAGTCTTGAAAATATAAGATACGATATGAAATCATGCGTCGTGAAGCCTTCCAAGAAAAATTGTAAAATAAGAGAGAAGATAAAAAAAAGGCAGTGAAGGCCTTTTTGAAAAAAACTTAATATTACCTGCTTTCCAGTTCTCTTCATTTTCATTCTCTTGACTGACTGCCTCCATCTTTCTCTTTTTTATAGTCATTTTCTCTGACTGAAAATTATAAACAAATGCTAAAATTAACTTTGGCAAGGATTAGTTGGACATAACTAATTCATCAAACAGGAACCGAATGTACGAACTCACAAGAAAAAGCATCTATCTGTAAAGGAAAATGTACGGCAGATACATTGCGTCTGATTTGAAAAATTTACTAGGAAGCTTAAATAATAGAGACTCTAAAGTGAATCCAAATTAAGGTAATTTTTGCAACATGCGGAGATCAGTAATATATTTCCTATTATTAAAGTTTTTTTTTACTTAAACTGAAACCATTATGAGATCAAAAACACTCCCTGTTTTCAAAAAAAATTCTACACAGAAAAAATTGAAAAATGACGGATAACAAATAGATAGGTGCCTATCAAACTTTGATTCTGGATTCATAAAAAAATAAAAAATATTCTTATTTATTTTCCATCCTACTGTATAATATATTTCCATAATGTTTTGCAGCTGCCCTTAAAAGTTTGGTCCTGAATTCCAGACGGACCTAATGGGCCTGTTGCAAACTTTTGCTAGAGCAAAAATAAGAGTTGTTTCTTATAGATAATGCCTCAAAAATCACGATGAGCGCATCGGCAAAGTCTGAAATGCACTCATAACTTCACAATCTGCGTAAGAAATTTGCGTTTTTTTAAGCTTCCCGCTTCAAAAACGATACTACGGCACAAGTGAACATTTTGTTAGAGGAGTCGCTCCATCGTCGGCGATATTCATCATGGCCGACGCTTGCGCGCAGTTCCGCGCGTAATTCGAGGAGAGTTCAAGGTCAATCAATTCGGGCGTGGAAAACATGAACGTTAAAACACGCCGATTGTTATCTGGTCTAATCCGGTTCAGGTATTATCTCGTCCCATCACACGGCGTGTTTTGGCGGATTGGCGTCGGCCATGATGAGTATTGCCGACGATGGAACGACTCCTTTTACAAAATGTTCACCTGTGCCGTAGTATCGCTTTTGAAGCGGGAAGCTCAAAAAACCGCAAATTTCTTACGCAGACTGTGAAGTTATGAGTGCATTTCAGACTTTGCCGATGCGCTCATCGTGATTTTTGAGGCATTATCTAGAAGAAACAACTCTTATTTTTGCTCTAGCAAAAGTTTGCAACAGGCCCATTGGAAGGATCTTGCTTATCAGTATGGTAATTATTGAAATTGATGGATAAAGCGATAAACAAAGAAGACATAAGGAAAATAAAGCAATCCTATTGGTGGAAGCGGATAGTTTCTATGGACAAAGGAGGCAAGTAATAGACTGACTAATTGCAATCCCCTAGAGACCCTAGGATTAGTTCATCATTTTCCTCTTTATTGGTAGTCTGTGACAACCATCCATTTCAACCGGTAGGATCCCTCCATTTCCCTTTTGTCTCCTTTGTCTATCGCTTTGTCTATCAATATGAATAATGAGTCTGCAGGCAAGTTGGACAAACTTACCATTTGCTTCATTCTAGAGGGAAAGATAAAATTGCGACTGACCTTTGACTCACTGGCAGTTGTCGACTCGAGTGCCTCTGAGCTGGATGACGCATCACTACTTGATGAGGAGGACACAGATGACTCGCTGGAGCCCGATCCAGAGGATGATGATGAGGTAGAGGAATCGGATGCGTTGGATGAGCTAGACGAGGCCGAGGAAGATGATGAAGAGTTGGAGGCAGATGAATCTTCCGAGCTGAGTGGGTCCACCTTTGCTTTCAGGTTTCCATGAGAGTGTTTCCGCTTTTTACCACTCGTCTCGAAGACATCCATTTCTTTTCCTGCAGCAGTTCCTCCTGCAATGTCATCATTGGTTAATAAAGATTTCAACACAGTTTACAAAGATTCTCCGATAAAACATTAAAGTGTGATAACAGGAGAGTTTTATGACAGTGTTTTTGATTCAGCCAACATTTGTAACTTGTTGGACACTATGTTAGGTTTCAATTGCCGTTTCAACCTACTATGCTTTGAAATTTTTCATGGGCAGAAACTTAATGTTGGCTATTGAGGCAGTGGCAAGGAAATTTTGAGGGTTGTACAGGACATCTACTAAAATTTAATTTTGGATTTGCCTGATACTTTACTGATTTTCCCTGACATTTTAGACGAGATTTCCAGATTTCTCTTGCGAATAAATTGATACTCATTTGATTTAAAATAATCAGCATAATTAATGAATTGAATTAAATGTTTGAAAAACGCTTGCAGCACTTGGAACTTCTCAATCTATGGCCGACTTTCCTGATATCTCCTTAATAGCATCGAATTTCCTGATATTTTCCGGTTTTTACTGACAGTAGACACCCTGCTGTAGAATCGTTATCGTCACATAAAATTTCGTGAGAAGCCGAAAAGTTCATTAAAGACAATCAGCATGCGCTAAATATTCAGTCCCACCAAAAGTATCGTTCCAAACAGGTCCCATTTTCGGCATTTTCGAAACAAAATTCCTTTGCCATTTAGGGTTCGAAAAATCTTAAAAAATTCCTGGGAGCTTATTTTACTCCGTACTTTCAGAAAATAAATTGTAAGAAATGGGTGCTGCTAACCCATTATCCGGTCAAAAATATTCGTTTATGTCTACTGTGAAAATTGATTTTGAAAAATTTCAATACATTAAAACTGTTTGCCATGAACTTTTGATGAGAAGAAATAATCTTGTGATGTTCCAAATTTTACCCTGACTGGCACTTCATTGTAAATGTGCAACCCGATGTGAGAGAAGGAACCTTATCTTTCCAGAGAAACTTCTCCTAAACTTTTTCCAAACCCAGAGGTAAATCTGGAAATTTTGGCGCAAAATTGACCCTGATAGCTCAAAAACTGAAGGAAATGTCAGTTCTGAGGTTCCAAAACATAAATACTAAGGCTGAAGAGAAACATGGTCTAAGTGTTTGAAAAAAGTTAAGGAAAACTTTCTTCTGGAGGATAACGTCTCTTTTTGCAGATCTGGCCACATATTTATCTTCTAAGGAAATTGTCCTCGGTTTTTAAGAGGTAGGATTGTGCAAGGTTTGTCGCGCTCCCCACAATTAAGGCCTTGTTTAAAATTAAAGGAAAGCATTGAGATAAATAGAATTATAACTACCCGATTTCAATTGTTCTGTACCTTCTGATGAGGGACTGCCAGGCGATGTCATTTCCTCTTCTTCGGTAACCACTTTCTTTTTACATTTTTCCATTTCCCCGGTTATTTCACTGAGCACCATCTCCATGCTTTCTTCTTCTTCATTTTCATTTCCTTCTTCTTCTTCTTCTTCTTGCACCTCTTGTGAATCAACCGAGGGTTTCTCCTTGGTATCATTCTCGTTCTTTTCTGTTTCTTTCTTCTCCCAACTCAGTTCTGGTTCAGTCACGTTTTTCGTTGATTCATTTTCACTTAAACTTAGTTCGCATTTCTCCTCTTCGGCTTGCCCTGAATCTGTCACCGATTGCTCCTCCCTCTCAGACTCACACACATCTTCCGTATCAGTCTCATGCTCGTCCGAACTGAGCAACTCTTGCTTTGCTTTTAGGTTCTCCTCTTGCAGATCTATTTCATTCTCATCGATCATTTCAACGTCGTTTTGAGAACCATCCGTTTCTTTCGCTACTTGCATCATTTCCTCGGCAAGCTCCTTTCCTTTTGGGCTCATCGAATTCTTGGCAGGAACATCCCAGGTGATCTCTGTTTTGATGTGATCTCCATCTGTATTTGAAACAATTTCTAGCGCTGACTCTTCCAAACAGCTTCCTTGAGCGGTAGTTTGTTCTTGCTTTACTTCAAGATTTTCTGGAAAACCGCCTGTTTTCACCTCTTGTTTGAGATCATCCTCTTTTTTCTTCCCTAATGCACTTGCATCTTCTGGATCCTCTTTGACATCTTCCTCATGGGCAATGAGTGATTCCAAAACACTCTGGAGGAGATGTTTCATGAGATCCTCCACCTCCGGTAAAATACAATTAGAGTTCTCCTCGCTCTCTTCCTCCCCCTTCAGATCATGGTTATCAGCCAGGTTGCTGGATGACAGTTTGATGGACGCATCTTGATTGTGAGTTGCAAAAGGGCTTTTCATGAGGTTTTCAACAGTTGTTTTGAATAGGTGCCTTGTTGAGGGGGGCAACGGTTTATCTTCACACTGTTCGATTCGTTTTAAAATTGAGCTGTGGATCCGAAAATATAACTCAAGAGCTTCGACAGCATAGAACTGCGGATTTGAGTAGTTCACAGTGGTGGGGTACTGAGCTCCGCTGCTATGGAGTAGTTCTGTCGATTTCAAATAATGATCAATATAGACATTTGCCGGTTCTTCTTTCTTTTCTGCTATTTTTCCCAGCATGAAATGGTGGAGCCAGCGCTCATCTTGCATGTCATTTCCCTCCAATATAAGACTGTTGTAGACTGAGTTAGCTGACATGAAACAGTCGAACGAAGTCTGCAACATTTTTTCTTTCACCTCTTCCAGAGTGGCGAACAATTCTAAACTCAAATTGGTTGTTTCCTGTTTCAAGAGCCTGGAGCAGAAAGAGTGAAGCATGTAAGAGAATGATCCATACTCGATCCATAGCGTCGGATGCTGGGCATCGATTTCCAATGAACGCTTATAGCACTGGCAAGCCATCATCGCCTGGTCTAGAAACTCCTCTTCACTTTTAATGGATTCACATGAGTTGAGTTTCATTTCAACTTGCCCTCCTCGAGCCAGTGCCATGGCTGCCCATGAATCAACCCGGAGTGGGTTATGGCACACATCCTGTAAATAGTATTTGATAGCTTTACCCCAACTTTTGGACTTGAAATGATAATCTCCAAGAAAATAAAAACAATCTTCGATCTCGATTGGCAACAGAGGGCTAACTTCAGGTACGTTGTCTACCTCACGGTTAAGATAAGCCATCACTCCCTCCATGAGATGGCTTGGATTGAGATCTTTGGGTATAAGAGGTATGAGACGTTTGACCAAACTTTCAAAATCACCAGAAATGGCTGAGGACTTGTTTGAGTCGAACGCAGGCAATTCCAGTGGCTTGTAAAAACGGTACATTTGGACAGCACGACTCCAGGTTAAAGCCAGGCCGAGAACATTGTGATCCACAACGTGTCTAGGCTTATTCCGTTTGTAAGGATGTTGGTAGAGACAGAAAAATATCTGGTCAACTTGCTGCACCAGAGCAAGTCTGATTTCTAAATCTAAAGTCGGAGATCGTAAGATTGGTTCCACTATGTGCAGGATTAGAAAAAGGACAGCTGCTTCATCATACAAACACCACGACCGTCTTCCTAAATAATCATGGGCTGTAAATAAAACTTGAAGAGAGATGGGGATCATCAAATCTTGATCGTATGGAGCTTCCGTTGACTTTATGACATAATAAAAGAGTGTCCATGGGATAGTACAGTTGATTGTCTCATCAACACTTGCTTCATTGTATTCTGATTGATGGCATATGATGTTACTCAGGGTTTGAATTAGCCGAGTTCCACGACCTTCTTTCAACTCAGACACTATTTTTTCACCAATGGTTTCAATGCAAACAAGCATGCCCTGCAAACAACGGTTGATGATGCAAATGTAGCGCATCTTTGTTTCCATTGAATTCTCATCCAAATAGCACCCTCGATAGCTGTTCAAAGCTTCGTGACAGCAGGCTTCACAAAATTCAAAACAATCTTGATATTTTTCCAGCTCAATTAAAGAATCCAATAAAATACAGTACTGCTCAAATCTGTCCAGAATCGGTTGTGCAGCTTGGAGAATAGGATTAGTACTGGTTAAGCAGTCCTTTAATATGCTGATTACTTCAGAGAACTGACCGCGGTCTCTCAGAGATGGGACCTCGCGAAGAAGTTCATTCCAATTCAAAGAATGCAAGTACTTCTGAGCGACAGCTTTGCTAATTTCAAAATTATTGACTAAGTTGGGTAGATTTAACTTGAAAGTATCATCGATGCTGCAAACTATAGAGCTGAAAGCATTAGCAGCAGAAAGGGTTTCTCCACAGTGCAGAGAAAGAAGAGCTTCAAACCAATAGCTCCGTACATTCAGAATCGTATCATTTGCTGATGAGCAGACGTCCCAAAGTTCCCCCAACATCAGTGAACTTAATTCACCCCCAAGTAAACTGTTTCCAAGTAAACTTGTTTTTTTGTCCTCACTTTCTTTCTGGAGCCAATCATCAAGCAGAAGTTCACAAAATAGTAAGAGAGCTTTGGCTTCAGGAACCAATTCATCTTTTGCCCGAACAATATCGGTGGGTTGTTGAAGTAAAAAAATTGTATGTTGTTTTTGAGGACCTTGACCTCGGATGATTTTACAGATTCTCAGATAAACTTGGCTCAAACCATGTGGCCACATTGCGGACCACTTGGTTGACAGATGCAACAAAAACTGTGTCAGAATCTCAAAGAAGGGTTTCTCGTTGTGTGTATCTAAAAATGACTTCAATTCATTAATTTCTTCAATCGTGTCAAAATAATTCTCTTCCTGAATAATTTTGATTCGAGACTCTATAGAGATATTATTGGAAGGTCCTAAAGAGGTGGATGACTCTCTTGAACAGCCCTCTTTGTTCTCAAAAAGACGGTAAATATCCATTGTATCCATAGAATCTTCATTCATCCATCTGAGAACATCAAAATCTTTGTTGCTTTGTTCCTCTCTTTGAGGCATCAGTGAACGAGGAATTAAATTACACAGAGTCCTAGCTAAGCTTGGTTCCTGCTTGCGAGTGGTGTCTCTAACACGCGCTGACCGTCTTTTGTCACTGTACCGCAACTGCTCTGCAAGTGTTGGAGAGCTGCGTTTCCGTTTATTTCGCGTACCCGCTTGAGTGTGATCAGCATTCTCTAAACATTCTTCTACCTCCATATCCTCAGGTTGTTTGTCTGCTTTCTCTGGTGACTCCGCCTCTGAGTCTTTCAGCCTTACCCGGGAAAATATGCTAATTTGGAAGCTCCTACTGAGATCTTCGTGCAGCGCCAAGAGAGCTTGCCCAAGGTTGAGCCAACTCTTTTTCTTGAATGGTTTAAGTATCTGTGTAGGAGGGATTTCTTCATCTGGAGCAGGGCGATTAACTGCCCGATCATTTTTCTGTAGTTCCTCAACTTCATCAAGAATGAATTGGATTTCCTCTCTTTCTACACCGAGTTCCTCTCGTCCTTCAAGTGAGCTGAAACCACAATTAAATAACTTAGTTAATGCTCAAATAGAAGTGTTGATAAAATTTCCTCATCTGCACTGATGAGAACCAGGGTCATTCAAAGATTATCAAAACACCTAGACTCTGTTGATAAATTTTGGAGACAGAAAGGAAGGAATCTTGTTCACGTTAAATGGCTAAAAAAAGTCAGTTTTTTTTGCAAACAGAAAAAAACAGGTAATGGCCAGTAATTTTTGCTCTTTCAGTTTGGACTAGTTGGGTCGTAGTTGGTTATGTCCCTATCTCAGATTAATGGAGTTATTGCATGCAGAACATTTTTCAATTTGTTATGTAAAAGTTTGGCGCCACTGGTTTCGAGTATAATTAACTCATAAGTTCTAAAAAGACATTGAAATAAAGGTTGTAATGGTGGAGATCAGTGTTCTGCCATCCCTGGGCGCCAACAAGCCTAAAAAATTGGGGGGCTGGGCCATCGTGGCACCTAAAAAATTTGACAGATTGCACTCGCAATCGGGAAGCAGCGGTAGCGATGAAGCACTCTCTATACGCATTGTTCGCAGCATCGCCATGGCCCGCATGCAAAAATTTAATTTGGCTCCTAAAAATTGGGTTTTATAATTCAATGCAATCTAGTCTCAATTGAGAGAGTTATGATAAAATGACTTACCACTCGGGATAAAATATCTTGAAATCTTTCAACACAGTAGGATGTTTCTTCTCAATTTCTTTGATGAATATGTGACCTTTAACAAAGTCTGGATCCAGTTCAAATGCTTTGTGAATGTAGCTGAGACAGGCCAAGAAATCTCCAACAGCATAAAAGATGGTTATTATGTTATCCAGACAAGGCCAGTGCCTTGGGTTACAACGTAAACCCTGCAACATACAATATGAATAGTTAGGCCATGTCCTCTCTTAATTTATTTATTTATTAGTGTAGTTTTTTAGCTATCCATTTTCCTAAACGTAGCAGTGCCAGTATACTGGATCACAATGGACCACTTGACAAGGTCTGAGGTAGGCGAGGAATTTCTCCTCAGTAGATCTTACATTAAAAATGATAAACAAAATCGGAATTTAGAAACTCAACTCTTGGACGAGATATTAACAATCATTTTTAACATAGACTAAGTGGAAGTTGGATTACACAAATTAAGCCATTTGTATTATTTCCACTTACTTAATATTAATTTTAAACACTTATATCTTATTAAGGTGTTGATTTTCAGACTCCAACTTGTGCGATTTGATTTTCTCATGAAATTTTTTTGAGAAAGTACATTGCATAGTGCTTGTATTCAAACTCTATCTGGTAGACAACTACAATGGAAAACAATTGTAGCTTACCTGAGGCAGAGACTTAAAAAAGGTGATTTTATTCCATATTTTACAGTTCATATTTTATTGACAGGTTTTTGGCAGGAAAAAATAAATGTTGTTAAGTACAGATAGACTTGAGTTCAACTAAGTTTGAGTTGACTCATGATATTAAATTATGCAATTTTGAAATTTTCTTTGACCTCAAAATTGTGGTTATTCTGATGGTTTGTTTTTCCGGTGAAGGTTCTGAGCAACCATCAGATTGATGCAATTAGCTAATTTAGGGGCTGTCCATAAATTACGCAAGGCACTATTAGACCGCTATAAACCCCTCCTCCCTCAAATGAGACACCCATTAATCTCCCTATATGTATAATTATGTAAGACTTGCCAAACCCCTCATTGCCTTAAATGGGGTGAAAAAGCATGATTTTGAGGGCATATCAATAAACTATTTGAAGCATCATGTGTATTCCAGGGAAAGATTTTTTAATAAAACCCATGTAGATAATTATAAACGGACACGGGTGCATAAATGGAGGAGGAAAAAAAAAGGAGAGAAAACATGGAAAAAAATACAAATTTTAGACACTTCAGCAGAAATTCATTTTCAGAAAGTGTTTTTGGAAGTGCATGAATAAAGGATATTACTTATTTTACCTCAAGAAAAGCAGAGATGGCCAAATTTAAGTCTGCAATTCTCATAGCAATTCGTCCTATTCGGAACCAGACGGTTATATCAGAATTATCAATCTCAACAGCCTGAAACAACAAACCAAATGACAAATGATAATCAAAAGAAGGAACTGCCAACACAAGAGAAAAATACATAATGCGCTGAAAGAAAGGAATAGATAGAAGGATACTACGGGTGCAGAGCATCTTTTACTTCCACATTTTCATGAAATCCTGAGAAAAAATGTCCAAATTCCTCCCACGCAGATTTTAAAAAATAATCTTAACCTGGCAAAGACTCAAGAGCGATAACCAAAACTAGTGAGAAATAATAGTCCCACATTTTTTATTCTTTTTTTTCAAAAAAAGATTCAGACTCTAAAAATTTCTTACAACTTTCCGAAGGACTCTAGATGCTATTGCACGTCTACGTACAGTTAAATTTTAACAACTAATGTTTCGAATATGGGAATTTCTCAAGTTCTTGTTCACTTTGTTTTGTTTTTCACAGTTTTTTCACTAGCCAACTGAATCTTTATACTTATCAATATTAACTTTTGTAAAAATCTGGCTATTTTTTTACTGTTCTTTGAGAAAAAACTTTTTTCGCAAGTTCATCATGGGTTCTGTAACAATAAGATCATTTGAGACGGTCCATATTTTGAAAAGTGTAAAGTTTCATACTTACCTAACCCAAGTAAGCCGCATCCTAGAATATAGTCTGAACAGATAGTACAATTACTTACATCAAACACTAACAAAGGAATCATGCCATAAAAGATGACCATACCTGCAAGTAGTAGTCTAAACTTGACTGAAAATCCTTCTTTTGAATGAAAATGTTACCCAGATTTTTCAGGCAACTGTATTTCATGTGAAGAAGAGAATGTTGTACTCGGCAGGTTTCAGGACCAAGGGTTCCAGTAGTCTTGTCACATGAAAAAAAAAGTCATTTTTAAAGCATTATCTTCTTTCTTTTATAAGGTAAGACCCTTCTTTCACAAAAAAGCTGAACACTCGGCAAAATTCTTCACTGAAACCAACTTGCTAATTGGACTCTTTTACTAAAATCAATGCTGCTTCTGCTTTCAGAGAACTGAGAAGAAAATTCAGAAAATGAATTGGGGAAAAAAAAAAAAAAAAAAAAAAACCTTGACTACTTCCAGAATAAGCACAGGATTCAGCATTTTCTGAACCCTTAGAACTGTCCGATGGGAATGTTGTTCACAACCTTTCCATGGTTTCCAACAGGCTTCCAGGTAGGTAGAGGAATCAATTCAATTAACTGGGTTTTTGAAGAGCTAAAATTTATTTCTGAGAGACAAGTTCAAACGAGTCTTACTTAAGCATTAATTGATCACAACAGAAAATTAATAGCACCGCCCACCACAAGTCTTACTTAGAGGGTGGTGGGATGAAATTATTTTTATATTTTGTAATCTTTGTTACAGTTGGTTGTGAAATTTGTACTTGAAGTGAAATAAACGTATTTGAATTTGAATTGGAGTAACTTACCTTGGCCAGAATGTCGCTGCTCAAGAGACTTTTATATGCTTCCTCAGCTTCATCCCACTTGTGAGCTTGCTGAAGAGTTAATATTTCTCTGTAACGAATGAGAGCTTTTTCTTCCTGTGTAGAGACAAAAGGAAGAAAAACTTGGATCAAGTTTCAAAAGAGAAAAAGAGAATTTAGAAAATATGAGAGCTATGTGATAAAAATATATGTGAAAGTAAGATTCTGTTTGGTGAAATTAACTTTGCAATTTGAAAGGAATGACAATTTAAAAGACCTGTTCGGCACTTCTAGGAGAGGGTGTGTAACTGATTAATTTTCTGTAACTATCAGAACAGTGCAGTAACAACATGAAGTCTTATACCAATAAATACCTATTTGAATTCCAAGAGCGAGCAAACATGAGCTGTTGTCATGTGCATCAGTTCTCCAAGTTGTGCAACTCGGAGCAGTCATACAGGGCAAAAATGCGAAGGACTGTACTTAGTTGATACAGCCGTCGTGCAGCTAGCCGCCAGCAAGCCTTGTCTATATATTATGATTACTGAACGAAAGTACGACTTCGTTCAGTTACTGGAGGGCTGGAAAACCTTCTTAGGATAGTAGAGGCCATGAAAAAGATGGTACGGCTTGTTATGAGCATGTAATGGCAATTTAGTATCAACTAATGCGAGCCAATCAGAGCTGATTCAACGACTAAAACTCGGTGAATATCCCATCACTTCAATATGCAATAAGTTACCTCAGTCCCCCAAAGTAAGATAAAGGATACTTACTAAAGCTTCCCTGGTGACAGTGGGATTCTCTTCATCAACTTCACTCTCATCGGACGAATTGTCGTTCAATGCTTTAATTTTTGCTGGAGCCATGACAGTGCAAGTAAATTTTGTTTAAAATAGAAACATTCTATTTCGTGGGAAGAATAAAACTAAATCATCACGACAGAAAAATAAAGGAGCAGAATTTAAGAAAGAAAAGATACATATTATTGATAAAAAATTTCCGCGGTTAGTTTGTTTTGTTGATAAGATACACAGAGAGACTGAGAGTGAGACTGTCACTACTACTATCAGAAACAGCCGTTCCTCATCCTCTGTCTTAGGAACAGAATCTGATTGGCTCTTTAGAGATTTACTGTACCTTAAAAGCGCGCCATAACTCACGTTGACCAATCAATCCAAGGCATTCAAGATTGTGGCCAGTTTTTTGGCGTCGTTGAAACAGATTCTTGTACGGGATAATATCTTGTAGATACCGTAAATACTCCATGCTTCTGGCACATGACAATTTTTCAGGTTATATTTTTGCTTTTTCCGGTGGATTTGAATTTTCAGTGATAATGTCATCGAAGAAAATAGATCTCCTTTGAATTCATGCGTTTCTTTAAAAAATTTTAATGAGTGACGTAGGCGCTACCGATAATGCTAGCTCAAAAGCACCAGAGACTAAGGATGAATATTACAATCTCAAAGGTGACGTATTTACATTTGAATGTGTTTACTCGCATGAGTTTCAGGATACTTTCTCGTTCGTTTCAGATTCAAATATGATCTCATCTCCAAACTTATATCCATGCGTTTAGGTGTAAGCTGTAGTCCATAGGGATATATTATCGCTGATATCTTTCTGTGATCATGAACATGACAACCTGAGGAGTGTTTCCTCATGCAGGAAGAGCGGACTACATGAATTTTGCGTAGCAGCTATCAGGAGAAGGATAACTTCTTACATAGCTAGCGAAATTTTCCACTGTGTGACATTGTCTTCTCCTTATTCATTCCCAAGTATTTGTCAAAAGATAAATACCTTTCAACCCCAGCGTTTCCTCCTGCAATGAATTTTCTTAGTTTATTAGAGCTCACTCATTGTACGTTGTAACAATTGTTGTAAGTAAAGTCTTTCTTGGGTCATGATTCATTGATGCTGCCATCTGATTGCATCCATTAACCTATTGATAAACGCTGATTCAGAGCTACTAGCGAATGACATTTGTCTCAACGTAAGATGAGTGACCTCTAGAATGGAGATTCTTAAATTGGATTTTTGGAAAGCATCTTTGGGAATGCTTTCCTCATCAATCAATGGAAATTATTTTGGTTAATACTCCACTTCAAGAGGAAGACATACTTGACATCCCATCAAAGGCGATCCCTTAAGCGCACTGTTTATTGTTTCTGAGGTTTGCCCTTTTGGGGAGCTTGACTTTATATCATAACACGATCAGCGACTTACCAGTACATCAGCAGTGTATCATGGGACAAACAGTAATCACCTCAATGTCCATACTTGTGGCTAGATTTTGATTTTTCAATGTTAAGTTGTTAATGAAGGTTTGAACTTGGTCTGAAAGAGAAGAAAAAAATTAAAAATTCATTCACACCTAACACTTTCATCAAGAATTCCCTAATTTGATTATGTGTTTTATTTGTACTTACAGCGGGCCTTTTCTTAGCGTCTGTCACTGGCATGTCTTTCGTGTTTGCATTTGGATCCCGTTTGGCAGCTGTGCGCAGAAATGATCCCGTTAGTTTTAGCAAAGGCATGGTTCCTGAGAAGCCACTGGAAGTTTCAGGGATAGAGCTTGCCACAAGAGCCCTGAGGTGGGGTACATTTTATGCTGTGACTGGCTGTGGATTGATTTTCTTTGGAATATGGACACTCTCAGGAGCCCACAATGTAAGTCTTGCTCTTGTATTACTCAGTCAACATACTTAGTTAAGAGAAAAAAAGACTCAGAACTGCATCAGCAGGCTGATAATTGAATTGATGGACAAAGAAAGCAAAGAGAAAATAAAGTGAACCTATTGGTTTAAAGGGGTGGTTGGCTTGGATTAAAGGGGGAAATGATGGATTAACTATAGCGACTCTCATCAGTTGCCGTTAGTTAGTCCACCACTGACCTCTTCTGTCCATTCCAACCTCCTGCTTCCACCAATAGGATTGCTCCATTTTCTCTTTATCTTTTTTGACTTCTGTCGCTTTGACAACCAATTTTAATAATCAGGCTGCTGTTGTATCAAATGGTGCTTTAAACATAAACTATTGATGGACTCTCATTAGAAAGGATAGGATCTAAAAGTCAAAAGAATTGATTCTGATTAGATTTTATCATTTTTTTTATTATATTCTATATAACTCTCTGATCAGATGAGAAATATAGCAATGCGTACTTACCTACCTCTATCAATTGACTAAGTTGTCAACAGTTAAAAGGTCTTCTCTGCAAATTTTGAATGAAATCAAATGGAACAGATAGATGAGATATCGCTGTACACAGATTTGGGGGACACCTGACGGCAGACTCACATTTTTTCAAGTATGGTTATTTTGACTCCTGGGACCTTAAAACATCTTGAAATGATAAAATTTCAACTTTTTTTTTCTCCCCCTTGGAGGATGACAATATTTCCTCTACCCTAGGAGAGTGAGAAAGTAAAAAACATCTCAATTATTTTTTTCAATGAGCTCTCACTCATATCGATGGCTTCATCAGTCCCTTTATTTTCTCTAAGTAGGTAACCCTTGCCAGAGGTTCAACTTTTTTAAGATCTCTTTTGATGCAACAAGTTTTTAATTTTACAACTATATTTTATATTATAGTCATCCATGATGTTAGTAGCATTCTACTTTATTTTCAGATGCAAGAGTTTAGGCAGACCATGGGTAATATTCTACCCAAAATACCAAAGAATGATCCTCCTCAGAGTCGAACGGAATTTGAAGGCCTTAACGATCTTCTCACTTATTTGGCGACTGATTTTTCTGGGCAGCCAAAAGAGGATGGAAAATAGTGTCTCCGCTGTTTAATGATAGTGATATGAATGTCTTCACCTTTGACCTCTCATTTTGTATGTACTTTCTTTCTTTCTTTTCTGTTCATTTTTGCCCTGTTTTGATACTTTTCCCAATTGTCTGTTTTGGGTATAGATAAAAGTTTGTAAATATAGTTTTGAAAACAGACAATAAATTTATGAAACATTTTATTTAGCTGACTAGTCAATTTATTTTTGTGCTTTTCCTTTAATTTTTTTTTAGAGTTTTAACAGATTTTTTATAATCTATCATGATACTACTCGGAAATTCTTGTGTATGTTACAAACCAATTCTGACTTTTGGCAGATTGCAGTCGGCTCAGGCACATTGCAAGCAGCCCAGGCTTCTAATGGCCAATGTGTCAATGGCTGATCACAGATGCCTGGGTAGATCGCAATCAGTCAGGGCTTCTTATAATTAGCCTCAGAATAAACGGGCCAAATTAGGCTTATATACGCAGTGTCCATTTAGCACTACTCTTGAATTTCATTCTAATTTGCTTGTATGAAGAGGACATGCAAGCAAAACAACAGGTAGACTGAACTTCAGTGATTCCGTGGAACATATAAATAGAAGAGTTCAGCGTTTGTTTTTTTGCATATTTATTTGAAACAATTAATTACATTTAAACAACACACTTTCATCCATGGAAGTACATTTCATACATTACATTTAACACACAAGGACTTTCTTCAAGCAGATATTTACAAATATGTTTATTGTAGTGAATTTCGTACAAAATTGAAAAAAAAGATTGTACAAATATTACTCAATTTGAAATGAATTTCTATCATAATAAAAAGATAGCTTTAGGTGTTAGTAATAGATAACTAATACCTAAAATGAACTTTCCTCAAAATATCACAGGCAAGACAGCACGTTCATAATATTTAAACTGAAGATGTTGAAACATATTAATCGCCGTACATGATGCTTTTCACCGTTTTATCAAATTTTCTGAAACAGATGAAGTAAAATATTTGTAGGAAAACGAAGAGAGGTTGCATAAAACAGAGGAAAATTTCACTTAGAAGATGGAAGGAGAAGGATAGTGTATCTTACAAAGACATGGTGTGCCACAGAACTCAGGGTCAACTACCAGAAGGGACTCTTAACTTTTGATTGTATGCTCGGAATCATCAGTTTTTACCTAAAACTCATATCTTATTTGAAGAAATAAGGAAAAGTCTAAGCAGCCATGGTTCAAAGTGGACCCAATTATTTGTTCTTAGATTTCACAAAGATCTCATCAGATACTTGAAAATAATGTATGAATAATAATCAAAGTAATAGATTATTTACGGATACTCACTTTGATGAAATAACTTCTCCAGGGATGAAAAAAGGATTGCAGACGATATCAGCATAAACGCTATGCAGTCTTCTGAACATCTGGAAAATGGAAGCAGTGTATATTATTGAGCTGAGGTTAGAATAAAAGGTTCTATGACAAAATTCTGTTAGGAAGGTTACTAAAAAAGAGTGTTTTCCTACATCTAGAAAATAGGGTGTCGCAAAAGGTAAAATTCAACGTCCCATCTTGACAGCCGACTAAAGTTGGATCAAGTAGTTTTCACTGCACTAGGGCTTTGCAGCTTACCCCCCTTCCAAAAAAAATAGTATCCCTACTGATTTTTAATATTTTGAAAATAAACTCAGATCATGACAGAATTTTAAAATTCGCTCTCTTACAAGGGATGATTCTAGTGCCTGATTGAATCTTCAACATTTAAGACATCTTCAGGCTTCTTTTTGCTAATTATTTCACGAATTAATGATAAAACTACGAAATCACCTTTCTCAGTATTCAAAGTTCCTATCACATTTTTCTTCTTAAAAGAATGAATGGAATAAGTTATCACAGATGTTTTGTTATTATTCCTGGCCCTTATTGAACAATTTCTAAAACTTTGGTACTAAAATGTCAATTATCAACTTAAAAATAGAATTATGTGGAAATTTGGAGACCTCACAATCAGGATATTTGTTTTAAGAGTTTTATTGGTAAAATACATAAATACATACCATTCGAATTTCATTGTCACGGAGTAATGTATTGCTGGAATCAACAACCACGATAAATTTGATCTTGGTGTTTGTGACATACCCATATCTAGATCAAAACCAATCAAAATGTAAGATAAAAATGATGGAATTATTCTTGTTGCTGCAATCAGTAATTTTCACTCTAACAGGATGAATTTCAATCATAAATCTAAGGATAATAAAGAGATTGGACAAAATCAACCTTGTCGTCTAATGTGGTTAAAAGTCCACCAATTTTCCATTGACTTTGATTGCATCGCTCCTCTGATGTAAGTTATCTTTTTAAACATGGCGCTAACAATACGCAATGATCAACCATAGAGCTTTAGTGCTAAAATGAATGCTGATTAAAGTTACCTAATTTGACCCAAATATAGACCTCTGAATTTTTTCTCAAGTCCTGAATTCTTTCAGATTTAATAAAAAATAAACTGAAATATTCAAAATGAAAGAGAAAGAGAGGGCAAAAAACAGACGTTATAAAATTAAAATTTGATTGATTAATATTGGCGAAGAGAATATGGAGCCACAAATCATCGTATGTTAAGTTGTGAAGTTACCGATAGGTATCCTGTCACATTTAACTTTTTTTAGGAAAAACTAATCATCATTATTGCTCAAAATGATTGAACAGGAGTTCTCTTCCTTTTTTTTAAGAATACCTACCGGTTCTCTGTAAACTTTCATAATGATACTTGTAATAGTGTCAATAGTAATACTTCTTCTCTTGAAAAAATAAAGGAGATAGGTGCGTTTCTATATTTCCACCACACTTATATGTACAATTACATACATATATTTAAGAAGGTAACACTAAAAATCGGCCGGGATACATTAAATAAAAGGATGGTAGAACACTGCTGGGTGCCTCACGAACACTGGTGTGCAGGGAAATCTAAGCCAAAAATGATCAAAAATTTTGGAATTTTCAGCCTTGATTTCCAAGTAAAAATTGTGCAACTTTAAATAGTATTTGATGCAAATGACCAAAGGATTGTATCATCATAAGGTTTTTGAAAAAATTAATTTTAATTTAATAGAATTGATAAATAATTTAGTTGTATTGAAACAGAGTATAAGCGTAAGGTGGTCTTGCAAAAAATGTTTAAAATGATGTTATTTAATCTTTGCTAATTAAAATGTGTCTCAGAGTGGAAGTTTAAAAGGTACTTGTGTGATTGTGGAAGTGAGTGCTATGGAATGATAAAATTGTGTTAGCAAAAAATAAACAGTATACCAACATTTTATGCTCCTCAGTAGAGTAAAGCAATCCCAAGTATTGTTCCTTTGTCACATCTGCAATTGGTTTTGAGACTGCTTGCAACTTTTCCTCAACAACATCTAGAGACACATGAACTTTATACTGGAAGTGTAATTCCATACTTGGGTTAATACATGAAATGTACTTCGGAGAATTCTGAAACAAGAAAAATAAGTAGGTAATGCACAGCATATACGCAGTCGAACATATTTTAACCAAAAAGGACCGAGTGCATTGTCAAACATTTAGTTTCATGGGACGCAGGGCCCAGGTCAATTAAAATGCAAATAGTTAAGCGTTAGGAGGAATTCGGATACAGCTGAGTAGAGAATGAGACAGCCCACTTTGTCACCTTCCTGTTGCGGCAGTTGCCTGCGAATTCACCTGAATTTTGTGTGAGTCATTCTTCATATACATTTTTGAGGAAAAATATGCATACAAAATGTTTATATATTTTGATTTTCCGAAATCATTCCGTCAAATGCCTACGTCCTGTCTTGCGACGAAGGTTGATATAAGATTTTCACCAATGCACAAGTCTAGAATTGAACTTGCAGGATATTTATTAAAATACTCAAGCTGATTAAGAATGACAGATAAAATCCAGGATCAGCTAAAGAGAAAATTTTCAACTTCATGCATTTACCTCTTTCCCAATTACAGCAATACAAACGGCCATTTTCAATTTAGATGATACACCAGAGGCACAAACGCTTGATCGTACTGCTACTTTATGAGGCTTTGAGCATTTTCGTACTAGCGCAGCGAATTAGAATTAAATATTTGAAGGATGTCCAAGCAAATCATGAGAAATTCCAATGAAAATAAGGGAAACATGGGCTCTTATCACTACCCGTTATGTTATCACCATTATCACTTGTTTATCAACAAATGACAACCTACTATTTACATCGCTTTTCGATATATTGCAGATACATCGATTTTTAAACATGTTTTTAGGTACAGAGTCATTTTCGATTGTTCGCGATAAGTGACGTCATATCAGAGCCCTCAATTATACAAACAAATGACAAAGTGACAGGTGATTATACTCTTGATCAAGTCGTTCAACCCGTATCATACTCAGGAAAAGTCATTGACTTAAATTTTTTAGCTCTTGTTAGCTTTCTCCATCAGAAATTTACTTTCAATTGAACACTTTCATTGTGACAGCCTCCAAAAGGTAAGTTGTTGGCCCCTGAGATACTTGTGGTTGACAGTGCCTTTGTCTCCTACAAATTTGTTGCATTGCTCTTTTCCTTGTTTTCATCATCCCATAATTATTTATCCTCTGGATTAATCCGTTCTTGTAAATCATCCTTTATTGAGCAGTCTCAAATTGATTGGCACTACATGGATTTTACTGTGCATTGCTGCTGGAAGTAAGTCACGGAGTTAGTTCAGAAGCCTCCATTCATTAGGTTGACGAATTCTGATCTCAGATAAGTTCTCGTGCCAGAACTATTGCTGCCTTGAATTACTATGTTCAACAGCACTTTTACAGAGGGATCCACCGCTTAATTGGCAGGTAATAAGCCAGCAAGATTATGGGTAGCTGTTAGAGCAAAATTTACATTGGCCCATTTAATTTAGTAAATTCAAGAAAATTAATAAGAGCCAAGTTAATTTATGTCAGTAAAATCATTTTTGTTCCCTTTTGTTACTCATTTCATGCCTTTAAATTTCAATCTACCTTGCACCATCTCATAGGGATACTCAGTCAAATATGAGGAAAATTTGACTTGAATATCACTGTTGCTTATCTTTAAACAATCATTTCATTCATACTTGAATTCCGCTTTTCATCTTTTTCCCTATGGTGCTTTTCAAAAACCATCAAATAAGGAAGTCTGGATCTAAATTAAGTCGTAAGGAATATACTTACTTTCACAAAATCTAATGTTTTTAACACAATACTAAAAACTAGAGCGAATGATGGTTTGGAAGGCTGGTTTTGTGTGAATTTTTCTCAAGAATTAATCTAGAGATTGACTTATTGGTTGTTTCATCCCAAGTCATGTGTGTAAATGTCAAAATGCACATTAAATTGGAGACTGGTAAGTAATGACTGGTAATGCTAGAAAGCAAAATCTGCAGATCCATCTGAAAGTTCATGATGATAGTCCTAGTTTGCTCTGTATTATTCATACGAAGCCTCACATTGGTATGATTAAATTTGATCAAGCTTTTTTAATCATCACGTCAAAACTTCTCTATAGAAATGTTTCCACTTACAAATTAGGAGGTAATTGTCAGAACTATTTGTAACTTAATCTCTTTTTACAGATTTTTTGTGCTCATGAGAATCAACTGGATGAATACCTTCCCCTAGGACTTCGGTACTTATGCCTGAAAAATGAAAAAGAAAAGTGGCAGTTGCTCAAATTTTGGATTGTCTGGTGAATTCATCAATTAGCTAATAAAAATGGGGAGCACCTCCTCTAAGTTTAAAAAATATCTTACAAATGGAGATGAATTTGCAGCAATGCAGGTATTTAATCCTTTTTCCTCTGTTTTGTGCCATAACGTCTTGACAAGCAGGAAGTTATTTTGCCTCTTGCTAATCTTGGGTGCTGTGGTTCATGCCGCAGCTCAAGTATACAATAAAGGGAAGAGAACACCCATTTTTGTTGAGGCTTTTGAATCCCTTGATATCTTTTGTTTGTGGTCAGTGGTCTGTCTTTTTCTCTCTTTTTTTTTGCAAACAAACAGAGTACCTATGAAAATTTGGAAAATCAAAGGAAGAGAATAGAAAAAAATCAGACTTTGAGACAATTTTGCCCTTAGTAAACTCATTTGAAAAAAGAAACCTGAGTGTGAAGGCGCTTAGGAACTTTAATCAAAAACAAGCTTTAGATTTAATTAAAGAGTTCTCAGTATTGGTTCTCAGAGAAACCTGTTTGATTTAATTATTTTCAACACTATGTTTTTTTTTTTTTTTTTTTTTTTTTTTTTTTTTTTTTTTTTTTTATTTATTTAAGTATTTTCAAAGTTGGTATCATTGCCACCCTCTCATTTCTGAAGAAAATTGTCAGATAAAAAAATTATCTTAAAACTATATTACTATGTATATCTTTTTTGAAAGACTATCTCTTTCTTTCCTCAGATTTATCAGAGCTCTCCAGAACTGCGAAAAAATTTAGACCCAAATCTCAGTTACGGTGACAGTCATTTACATAACACACCGTTGCACTATGCCTCAAAACATGGAATGAAACATTTACTGAGGTAAAACAACCACTTCATGAATTATTTTTCAATTTTTTTACCTCTATTTCTCTTATTCTCTTTTACTTTTATTTATTGAAAATATATTCCAACAAATTAAAATGGAGAAAAATAGGAAGAGGAGAGGAACAAAAGAAGAGCAGCACTAGAGTAGCGACAGATCTGAAACTCCGAAAGTCCATCAGGCCTTCACCGATGCCTCCGCGAATAAAGTTAGGGCCCAAAAGGGCAGCCAACCTATGAATTTCGAATGTCCAGAGCGATTTACAAATACAATTGTTACGAACCGTCGTTTAGAAAGCATGTATTTGGCTTACTTTTTGCATAAATTTACTTATTTTTGCGAAAGAACGCTCATTTATGTACATTCTTAGCCATCTTGGTTAGAATTGAAATCTGTAGGCTGGCAGTGAAATTTTGTGTGTTAGAAGTTGCTCAGAAGGGTGGCTGCACTTTTGGGCCCTAAGCCCTCCATGAACCGATCTGTCGCTACTCTCCCTATACAGGTACTCTAAGCAGCACTCATTAAAGCCAAATCTGTTTTCCGATAAAAAAGTTGAGAGAAATATGAAAAAAGTAAAAACTATAGTAGTTCACAAGCTTCACATGAATCATTGTAAGATCTGGACTAGATGACTATATCAAACTGTTTTGATCACTCTAGTCTCTACCCTCTTCCCTTTTAATTGGACTTGTGTAAATTAAAAGGAACTATATCCATTTTGACATCAGCCTTGAGATCCACAACATGCATGACAGGGCTCATATCACAATGTATATGTATACCTTTGTATTTAAATATACGCAATTTTACAGGATAGCCTCCTAATAGCTATCATAATACTTAGTATCTTTGACCACCTATCCCCTCATCTTCAGAACCTATTCTCTTATTACTTAATGATCGTCCTAATTAACATTCATCATTACAGAACGTTTCTGAACGATTTAAATGGGAATCCGAACAAAAAGAACGGGAACAATGAAACGGCCCTTCATTGCGCTTGTCAGCTTGGGGCACACAAAACGTTTTCTTCCCAAGAGAGGAGAGCTGCTTGTGTCACCCTCCTTCTGCAATGGAGAGGTGTGCAAATTGATGGTACGAATGAAAAAGAAAAAGTCGAAATAACTGCTCAAGATAATGTAAGTCATGTAATTTTGTGTTAAATTTAAGGAGGGGCTCGAAAACTGTGAGGGAGCTCACGATGTTTCCATGAATTAAGCTTATCTCTTAAGCTCCACACAAAATCTCTGGTGTGGACCATTATGGCTGAGGGAGGAATAGAATTTTATCCAAAGAAAGGTGACATTCATTGTCAAACAAGGTGGAGAAATGTATTTATATTGTCAAATAAATTGCGTTATACTCTCTTTTAACACAGATTTTCCTGCCTACCTCTTCTCTACCTAAAGTAGTTTTTGAGAACATGTTTGGAGTCAAAATGCACTGATTGTGAAACTCCCAAGCAATGCACCTCATTTGCAGTGTTTTAAAATTTCTGCTCTTACGTTAGTATTTTAAAGAAAAAATATCAAGATCATCTCTTGAAGTTTTTTCAGAATTTTTTGTGCATGGAGAAGAGCAATGTCAGCAGTTTTTAAACATTGTGCTCGAGTCACTTTCCATCGAAAGGATACAGTATAAAAAGAAGTCTGCAATGTTGCAAACTGAGATACGAGGTTTAGAAGTTTCACTATTGATGCATCAGTATACACATTAAAACAGCCAGTGCAAGTTTGTCTGAATCAAAGGATTTTTTTTCATTAATCACTGAATTTTTTTTTTCTTCTTTTTTTTCTTTTGTACCTAATACCTTTTGTAGGGTATCGACGTAAAATAGCTTTACAAAATGAAAGTAACTCTACAATTTTCTCGAAAATAATTCAGAATCATTTTTTTTTAATACAGAATGGAAACACAGCCTTACATACAGCAGCTGCCTCAGGATTGGAACGTTGTGTAGAGCTTTTATTGAATTATGGAGCACCCATTTTTAGCGAGAACAAAGATAGATTAACTCCCTGTGATGTAGCGATGGAAGCTGAGCATCATCATATTGCCCGGTTCCTCGAATCAAGGATGGTGTTCGTAAGTACTCTTTCTCCTGTCATAAATTAACAACAGTCAAAGATGGTTAAGCAATTGTGCCATAAATTTAGTTTACAGTTGATTTATAAACGATAATGGTAAACCATAAGGATAAATCATGTAAAATTATTGAGTTTTTTCTACACTACAGCATCACTGCCGCATCTAAAAAAATTTCAAAAAGTTCCGTACTTACTCTAGATGAGATGTCACTACTTTAAATTCAAATTTTCAACTCAACATTATACATTGTTTACATACTTAGTATTTTTATCCATATTTATTTTCAAACTTTCAGGCAGATAACAATGATACAATCAACGAGGATGAACTTTATGTCGGCGAGGAAGAAGAAGTTTATTCTGGATTAAGAACACAGGATTTGCAAGAGGCAAAAGATTTATTGTCAGTAGAGACAGCTGATATGTTGAACATCCCTCTGTTTACTGCTGAAGCCTTGCTCAGAGATAATGGTATGGTGTAAAGGAATTTGAGCTTTTGTAAAGTATGTTTATTATATAAGTAGAATTCAACCTGGGGGAGAAAAAAATAACATGTTGATTGCAACATTTTTCACCTTTTCAAATATGAGAAATTGGCAATGCAGGGTGAAAGTCTGGAAATAGTACTAATTTTCAAAAGGCAGGCCTGGAAGTACTGAAAAGGTGAAGAAATCCCACAAAAATGTCCAGAATTTTCTGTTTTATACCTTGCATATTTCTTAACACAGCCTGGAAAGTATGCAATCCCTTTTGCATTGATTCTTGGTGCAGTGTTTGCCCGCTGAATCGCGATTGTGCAGCCAGTGCATATTCCGGCCATCAATGAGCTTCAAATTTCGTGGATGTGGCATGTTAGTCGCAATTTTGAAATTTTGCGAACTCTGTCAATTAAAGATAGGTACTAAAAAAGCATTGAATTTTTCCGTAGAGGAGGTTCTGAATTTGTTTAGGAAATCACTGTTGCCTAAGATGCTGAATGTCTTTAAATAAATAAAATAACTAAGTAACTAATACTGTTTTGATTACATCTCATAGAATGGTCTCGACAAGCATTGTTGGAGAAGTGGATGCAAAACCCTGTCGAATGTTGTGAACAAGCCGGCGTAGAAGCACCCGTTTCAGCTTGGCAGCAGTTTTCTGGCAGCAGCAGTGAATTGATATTTGAAGGAAAGTCATTGGAGCAAGTGACACAAAAAGTTGGCCAGTGGCAGCAACCTCCTCATCCATTTGAAACAGCTCCGACATGCTCCGATTCCGAAAGCCAACAGGTGAGATCAGCTTAAGTTCCCTAGTTTTATTCCTTGGGATTTTATCGAGACAAATAGCAAGTTATGCTTCTGTCTCCAGGTCTTGATTTGAGTAGGCTTTACGGGAGTCGAGAAATTTCTCAACTATTTACTGGTAGACAATGCAAAGAATTCAGGAGGAAGGTCAAGTCCGAGAACTTTGAAAATGGGGAGGCTAATTTTTACAAGCCAAGAGCAAAAAAGCAAAAATTTGTTATCTGGAAAAAATAAAAGAGTTTCTAGAACAGGTAGGTTAATCAAACAGAAGTAATAGCTGGAAACAGTTTCCTTCTGAAACCTTGGTAAGATCTCAATGTTGCAACAAGTTTTTGCAATTCCTCCAAAAAAGTTTTAAAAATGCATATCTATACATACGCATATTAAAACTTCCTGAAAAGTTACTTGGCTTCAGAATTCTTCTCTGAGAGAGAAGTAGCAATATTTAGGTTGTCATTGTGACTTGGGCAATGGGCCTGTTGCAAACTTTTGCTAGAGCAAAAATAAGAGTTGTTTCCTGTAGATAATGCCTCAAAAACCACGATGAGCGCATTGGCAAAGTCTGAAATGCACTCATAACTTCACAATCTGCGTAAGAAATTTGCGGTTTTTCGAGCTTCCCGCTTCAAAAACGATACTACGGCACAGGTGAACATTTTAATGGAGGAGTCGTTCCATCGTCGGCAATACTCATCATGGCCGACGCCAATCCACCAAAACACGTGTGATGGGACGAGATAACACCTAAACAGGACTAGATCAGATAACAATCGGCGTGTTTACGTTCATATTTTCCTCGCCCGCCTTGATTGATCTTGAACTCTCCTCGAATTACGCGCGGATCTGCGCAAGCGTTGGCCATGATGAATATTGCCGACGATGGAGCGACTCCTCTAACAAAATGTTCACCTGTGCCGTAGTATCGTTTTTGAAGCGGGAAGCTCAAAAAACCGCAAATTTCTTACGCAAATTGTGAAGTTATGAGTGCATTTCAGACTTTGCCGATGCGCTCATCGTGGTTTTTGAGGCATTATCTACAGGAAACAACTCTTATTTTTGCTCTAGCAAAAGTTTGCAACAGGCCCATTGCCCCAGGGGCCCCACCACAAAATCTTTTTTTTTTTTAATTATGATAAGAATTGCAAAAAATTTGACACAGTGGTGTCTCGCCAGATACACAATTTAACAAGGACCTAACATACATAATATAGCATTCGGGGGAAAAACCGGTCTCCACATCCTTGTCTCTTGTCCACCACAGATTCACCCCAGGGCCCTCCTTCATCCTAAATCCAGCGCTGTTATCAGGGGTTGTGTTCATGTCTACAATGTATTGTTTCAAATTACCTGTTTATATTGTTTATATAGTGTTTATGTTGTTATATTGTTTACTCGTTACTTTTTTGTTGAACTCGTGGATTGTGTAGCTCCGCAATATTCAAAGTGCAGCCTTTCAATGAAATTTCAATCCATGACTTTAAAATGTCAAGATCTTTCTCTAGTATTTCTCTAATGTTATTTTTCATTCTCATTTTTTTTTCAGTGTGATATTTGCCTCCTCTTCTACTCTGATGATCAAATACCTCCAGGAACTAGTTGTAATCACAAATTCTGTCACTCATGTTGGAGTCAGTATTTAACATCAAAAATTCAAGATGGCAATGCTCATAGCATTCTTTGCCCTGCATTTAACTGTCACATCCTAATAGCTCCTGATTTCATAGATAAAATTCTTCCTGCTGAACTGACAAAAAAATATCTTCATTTTGATATCAAGGTAAAAATTCCATCTAGTTTTCAATTCTTTTCTTTTGAATTTCGAACAAACAAATGAATGAAAAAATGTCTAACTTTTAGGCACTTAGAATGGGTCAAAACGCTTCCATCATATCTATTGTGGACAAAAAAAAATGAAAAGAGGATTTTTTTTATATCCATGATCGCAGGGATTCGGCTGTAAAATGAAATAAATACACCAAGATGCTTCAGAACATTCATACTTTAATTTTCAACCAACAAATCAAGATCTCAAGAAGGCAAGTAAAAAAAAAAAAAAACTGTCCAATCAATTGCAGTTTTACAATACCAGCAATCAATGACTCATTTTTCTTTTGTTTGATGATTGTTTCTTTTCACAATAAATCATTCAGTCAGTGGAAATTAGGAATGTAAAAACTAAAAAGAAGTTTTGTTCATTTCCCAATTTTATTCCAGAATTAGACCGCTTGTCTTTTTATCATGTAATGTTCGCCGTCTAAAAACTTTTCCATCTCTTTCTTTATTCTTTCAGACACTGTATTTACCCAAATTTCTCATTTTACTTGCTGTCTGTTTTGATATTGACTTAGAGGACCTTTTGATCAGACCTGCAGCCTGATTGTTGAAATGTTTTGTTTGTCGGGACGACATAGATGACATAGATTAGAAGGCGGAGCGTGATTGGTCGGCTATGTCTTATTGCTACTTTGTCGTGCCTATGCCTATTGTTCCATTAAATTATTTGACGAGTGTTAAGCTCATAAATTTGTATGAATTTCATGAGGCTGTTGCATTAATAAATATATTATTATTATTATTATTATTATTACTATGTCGGGTTGAACTCACAACAAGCTAATGGCACTTCTTAAGTTTCCGACAGTATGTCGTCTATTCCACCTGACAAAGGCACAACAAAGCAGCGATAAGACATAGCCAACCAATCACGCTCCGCCTTTTAACCTATGCCATCTATGTCTTCCGGACAAACAAAAAATTTCAACAATCAGGCTGCTGGAAAAAATGTAGAAAATAAAATAAAACTCCTCGAAGAGTGATTCAGATGCCCTCTCTCTGACAAGAGCTATGACTATAGCTTTATCTAAAGCTTTGTTTGTTGCTTCATCTGTTGCTTTGTTTATATCTATGCCTATAGCTTTAAAAAGAGCATGAGAAGACTCCTTTCTACCTTTTCCCAGGCTTCATTCTTGATAATTTTTTGAGTTTTCTAAGCACCTCTGAGATTTCAGTATACAATTTTAAGCTTCAGACTTATTCTGTTGGCATGATTCTCTGTTCAAAATATATCTTCAAGTCTCACTTTCATTCAGGCATTTGTGGAAAGTAATCCAACCATCAAGTGGTGTCCTATGGCTGGTTGTGGGCGTGCAGTCAGACTCCCGGAAACGGAGTATTTTCAGCTCAAACAACCAAAGAAAACCTCGCATGCAGTTGACTGTGGAAATGGGCATTTCTTTTGCTGGTAAGTATTATTTTTTCTTTTTATATCAAACGTTAATACAGACACCAGCTTAGAATGTGTAATAAATAGAAGCCAAGGCTGACAACCTTGCTAATGTATTTGCCTCCCACCTGTGCATGGAGAGTTGCTCTCTTAAGAACGAAGGCAATTCCCTCCATTGTGGCCTCAAATTTGAGACATTTCTAAGCTTGGAAGTTCGTTTTAGAGGAAACCATGGGCACCATTGTTTTTTTTTTTTTTTTTTTTTTTTTGCAAAATTGTACTCAAGAAAAAGTACTTAAATTATGAATCCCTGTGGCATGCAAGGGCTCCATTTCAACCTTTTTTCCAATCAACCGATACCAAGTGACAATCACCTTTGTCATACGTCATCAATACTTTAGAACGTGTTCACACAGAGACATCTCTTGGGTAACCAATTGAAAATTGCTTATAATTTCCAATCAATGCCTTTAGCATTTACCAATAACCATTTATGACCAGTAGCAAATTTATATTAATTTGTTTCCCTCATCTCACCTTTTGTATTTTATTACAGGGATTGTTTGGGCGAAGCACACGCCCCCAGTGAGTGCAGTCAATGGAAACGGTGGCAGGAAAAAATCGCTGAGATCAAGCCAGAAAGACTCCAAACCTACTGCAACGAAAGTGAAGATGCTGCAAATTGCCTTTGGCTTGTAACCAATTCAAAACCCTGCCCAAACTGCAAATCACCCATCCAAAAGAATGAAGGATGTAATCATATAAAATGTTACAAGGTAAATTATTATCCATGAAAGAAGAGTTTTATTTTATGGTGGACCAACAGATATTTGTACGTTAAGAATCAAGTACTATAGGAATGTCTCCTCATCAAAATAATTGTTATGTGAGAAATTTTCTACATTAATTTGCAAGTAAAAAAATCTACATTTATGGATAGTTGAATTAGAATAAGTCACCTCAAACCTCTGGCTCAGGGAAAAATCATGATGAAAATCTAGCAAGCCATTGGAAACAAACCTGTGCCCTCAGCAGACAACAGAAGTTTCGGTTCACAAAACTACACATTCTTTTTATCACAATGTCATTTGTAGAGGTGGGTACAAATCAGGTAAACAAACTGAAGGAAAGATGAGCCGTAAACATTTTTAACACTAGTCTTTGAAGATTTTTTAGACATTAAACACAACGAAAAATACTAATAATTGCAGAGCAGAAATCAAGTAGAGGTTGAAGGTGCAAATAAAAAAAAGTTTTGCATGATCTTACCTTACCTTAAGTTTGTTTGTAATCAAACAAGTCCGTTACGTACAAAGATTAATCGTTCACAGGATTAATGTTGTTTTGAGCTTACGCTGTCTATCGATGCTTTCTCCCCTGTTGGGGGCCAAAATCAATACGATCGTAATTCCTCCTGTGGCACAAAAATGAACAACACGCTGGAGTTCAAGGGGTCCTTGTGGCCTTACTTACATCAAACTTTACTTTTATCGTTTATTACAAGAGGCAGTCTTTCATTTATCCAGTCCAATTAAATTCACTAAATTATTTTTCTATCGTGTTTATTGAATTAATTTATCTTGGCATTCCTCTGTTTTCCAGTGCAAGCATGACTTTTGTTGGGTTTGCCAAGAAAGTTGGAAAAAACATAGCTCAGCAACCGGTGGATACTTTAGGTGTAATAGATTTGAGGCTATGAGCAAGGCAGAAGAAAAGCAAGATGTCCTAATCACGGAGGTGATTATCTTATTCTAACCTAAAATTTCATTTTCTCCTGTCTGTTGCTATTTTTATTCGTTTTCAAGATTTATGAATAGTGAAAGAAAAGTGATCAATATTCTTGTTGGAATTTTTAAAACTTACCTTTTTTTAAACGTTTATGTATCTTTCAGTTGCGTTTTGGAGACCACCTGCCTCTTCCTTCAGTAGATCCTTGATTTCAGAGATCCACTGAAAAAAGAGACAGGCAGTTCTCGTAACAAGTTTGAGCAATAAATAAAACGAGTGAGTTTTAAAAATTCCAACAAGATTTTTGATGATTTCATATCCCTAGAAACTTTGTTTATTAAATCAGAATTTCATTTAGAGACTTGATACCCATAAGGAGATCTGAGATCGCTTTTAATTTGGAGTTGTTTTGTCTGTATCAATTAACTTCATACCTTCTGTGAAGGGTATTATGGATCCTACCTATTGACTTTTTGAAAAACTCACTATCTTTATGAAAAGGGTTCACTTTAGGGTTATTTTTGGTTCATTCTTGCAAATTCCTATTTTCAGGCCATTGTTCGGAGCCAACAGACTATGGAACAGACAATGGAATCCAATAGATTTATACATTATTATACTCGCTTCAGAAATCACGAGAACAGTCGACATTTGGAAGAACCATTTTTAGCAGCTGCTCAGAAAAAGATGGCAACTCTTGCTGCTAACTTCAGGAATGAAAGTAAGAGCCTCGGCACCCTTTGAATTTGAACTCCTCACCCTCAATTTAATATTTCATTTTATTTTTAGTCCTGATGCTGGCTCCTGTAATAAGAATCAACCGAATCTGTGCAACACAATGTGTTCGCACAAAATTTTCTGACTCGCAGAAACTGATAAAACATTGAAGCGGCTGAAATTCACAGGTGTAGATTATCTCCATCATTGTTAATTAAAAGTTGTAAATATTAGCTAGTCAGATGCATTTTACTATTAGAGTGTGAATTTAGCATTAGATTGTGTTTCAGAGATGAGATGAAAATTTGCATCACTACCCTTATGCTTTACATCGCTTATGCCCTCTAATATGACCAGGAGTTTTGAAAGAACATTCTAATTCTGACTTCATACAAATATTTTCAATTCTGTCAGAATAATGTCAAATTCGTCAATTTTCTTGATTTAATTTCTTTCTCGTTCTTACAGTAGATGCAAGCACCACCAAATTTGTGGAGGATGCCATCCGGGAATTGTTAAAAGCTAGGCATGTACTCTGCGGATCATATGTGTATGGGTATTACCTGGAGGACACAGGCTACAAGAAAACAATTTTTGAATTGATGCAGGTAAGATATTGGCAATACTGGTTTTTGATCAATGCAAATGATCTATTTCCTCTCAGTTGACATGAGCCAAGTGCCAACCTCAAGAAAAGTGAGAGGTAGAATATGATAAAGTGTCTGTAAGCTGAAATTGGAAATTTTTTCAATTTGAACTGGATTGAGAAATCAGCGGTAGAGCTCATGACTGTTGATCTCATTTCTGCCAAAAAATTCATCCGCAATATCTAAAAATTCATACAGCGATCATAGTCTAAAGGGTTTATTGTGCAAGAATGGTCTGATCTCTCTTGTCAAGGATGCCTTTAAGGCTCTGTACATTCAATCATCAGATGATTAGAAAAAGTCAGGACTGTTCAATGATTGAATGTGTCAAGTCTCAAAGTCATCCACCACAAGTGAGATTTGACTCATTTTGTACGTCAAACCTTTTTACATTTTGACGAGAATAATTTTCAAGGATAGCAAGGCTCATATAATTGTTGTTTAGTGCCCCTGCATTCTGATCATTTTCATTAGCCGAGAAATGAATCAGAGCAATGTTTTTAGTGGAGGAATGTAAATTTTTCTGCAGTTTATCAACTACCTACAGAAAAATTGTTTTAACAGAGACAGGGTGACTAGCAACCGGGAAAAGGCAGGGCATTTTGTCAGCAGGCAGGAAGTTTCTTGTGAGTTGATGTTGTGTGAGTTGTAAGTTTGATGTGAAAATTGATTTCGCGATGGGCCAGCTGATCGTGTTGTTGTGCCAACACTCTGACCACATTAATTAAGTGCCTTTACGTTATCGTAAAAAAGTCAGGGAATGATACAATGAAATTTTTCTAGCAACTCTGAGAGAGGTTACTTCCAGAAATAGGTCAAAAATTATCAGCCTGCAAATTTTGTGTTATGTAAGAGCGGTCTTGTGGTCATTGAGAAAATTTTATTTCTGGGCTCAATAACATTACAATAACTTTTTATTTCCTCATGTGTAATCAGGAGCTCCTACCTACTGAGTTTAGTACTTTAGGTCTTAGAGAGGTATCAAAGTATCAAGATTCACAAGAGAACACTCGCCAAAAGTCGGTATTTTCGATTGTTTCTGTCTCTCACTTTCCTGTTTTCTCGGAAGTAAATATTTCGAAAGAAGAGACCAGAAGCAAATTCTATTTTCTTTGTACCCCTTCTCATTTTGTCAAATTCCCAAGCAAAATAGCCAGGATTTTCAACTTAACCAAATCTCTTCTTTCTCTGCAGAATGAATTAGAAGAAGTTACCGAGCGACTTTCTGGCCTTGTTGCTCGACCGTATTTACGAACACCAAGAGCAGCAATTGTTCAGACTGCTAGTCTGGCCAGACAGAAACGACATGAATTCACCCGAGCTGTCAGTAAAGGTCTCATTCCGCCCGATATCAGTCCGCCAGCCACTCATAAGCGAAGGAAACATCGTCTCGTCACTGTCAGTTCCGGCTTGAATGTTGTAAGCTCTTTGTACCTTATTTTTTGTTCTCATTTATTCTGTAACTGTAAAGTCCAATTTTCTACAGAGTTACCTCGGATGGATAAAGCTGAATGTTGTGGAGTCAGAGAATAAGTGACATATGGTAAAAATTCAGGAAACGAGATTAATATACCACAGTTAGGAAGGGTCCATTGTGCATAATATGTCTCAACCGAATATGGCTTAAAGAACACCTAAAAAATTTACAAATTTGCCAAGCTAAGCTTTGTGAAGTTGGAATATGAATAATCATGAAATCGAGGATAATAGATTGGTTGAGCCGGTCTCCTGATTCTGCAAGGAACTCAAAATTAATGCTGTTAATATTATGATGCAATTTCTTGAATGAAAACAAAAACCGGAAGGGTTTTTTTTTTATTTATACATACATTAAATGCCATCCAGAAAATTGGAAAGTAAGGATAATTGATGAGAGGCGTTTGTCAATAATTATTATGTTGTTTATTTTTAATTAAGAAGTTGCATCTGTTTAAAGTTTTGCGTTGATGTGTCGAACCAAGATGACCCATCTGTGTTATATTAATGTCTAGGCAGTAGCACACTCTTCGAAGCAAGGAGTTGAAGAGCAGAGACAGATTCATTGTGAAGAATTTTTCTACTGTTTATTAGTTACGTACATAAATTGTTGCACTTCTTTGGACACATTCTGAACTCGAATGAATTTTGCGTAAAAAGTTTTGCTTGGCAAAGGTTTTAGTTTTGATTTTGAATAGCATATTGCATTTATGTGTCTATGACATAGTATTTAGTGTTTTAATTGTTGTTTACTTAGGATGAGCTCAAGGAGTCATTAAGAGAACTCAAGTCAAAGAAGAGCTGGCTTAGAGAAATGAGTGGAGCCCACAATGATCTCACTATCTACCATTTCCTTGAAGACTCGGAAGAAGTATGTCTGTTTCTGTCTTTCTCTTTTTATGTTTTGGTAACTCTCACTGAGGCGAAAAACTTACCTCCATCTTCTCTCCTCAGCAGTTTACTGAAAAAGGAACCGATTTCTGAAAACTTTTTCGCATGAGAATACTACTCAAGAACCATTGGAGACTGTGAATAAAATGAAGACATTCAAGTAAAATTAAGGTTTAAGGTGCTTTAATTGGTTATTATTTTTTACAAGAGCATTCATGAAGCTGTTTTTCTACGAAGAAAAGGCGTACCTGGAGGTTACCAACTGAAGAAAATTTAAACATATTTTTTCTGTTCTCTAATCCCCTGTTTACTAAGCACTTTTTACGGAAAAAAAAGGTGCTACTCTTTAATTCATTTTGTCTCTCTCTAGGAAGAGGAACAAACTTCAATAGATGCTGTCCAAAAGAAATGCAAGTGGATTGGCTGTCAGCAAGTACTCTCTGCCAATCATCAATCTGCAAATTTTTCTGATTATTGCAGTCTCGTTTGTGCTCAATATGATACCAATGGCAGTTGTAAGTTTTTACTTTCGTCCTCTTTTTCTCGACAGTTTCTTTTCAATTTTATTCTAATTCCTAGTTGTCATCTTTTCAGCTTGAAAATGCTAGCCGAAACTCTATACGGAACGTTACACTGCATTCACATATAATAAAGAATCACAAACGCTTTTTTAATAAACAACAATTTATCAATAGTTTTGGATTCTTCAGATACTTTCATTCATGAAAATAAAAGTTTCTCATGGAACAAAAATCATTGAATTTGTAAAATAAACTGTTTAATGTTAAGAAAGCGTATTGGAAGTGCCATGTCTGGAAAAGAGGATCTCGTGTAGAAGTGTGCAAGTGATCGAATTTTAATGGTAATGGCAATTGAATTTCATACTTGAAATTTCAATCATAATTGAATAAAAACATAAATCAAGTTTAACACCCCTGTCACGTTTTTTGAATTAAGGTTGTTTCAATGATAGCACATCATTCCAATAGCGGCCCATTGACAGCCTCTAGTAGTAAAAAATTGAATGAAACAAAATTTCTCGCATGTCATGCGTGTACAAATGGCTTAAAGAGCAATGTTTGTTGGAACACACCGTGTACCTAAATTGGATCTAAGTTCACCTAGTATGTAAACTTACTTGGCGTAGACTTTATTTGTATTATCATAACCATCAATTTTTTTTCTGTAGCTTTGATTAAGAATGGCAGAGCAAAGTATAACATGGATATGATGATAGCAATTGAAATGTCGCACCTTCAGATGATAGAGGATCAAATGAAACAGAAAAAACTTGAGCAATCAGCAGGGTAAGATTTTTGCATTTTGATGTAATTTTTTTTCCCCTACCGTAAATTAATTTTTAATGTGGAGATGAAAAACATCCTTCACAAATATTTTCTGCAGCTACGAGAAAATTGAGTCACATACTTTCACAACGAAGCTGTCTTTATTTTATTTTCGTCCCTTTTAAGTGTCGCTATAATTTATGTCCAAACTTTTTAGTAAAGTATCAACTGATCAGCTGTGTCTGGTAGTGTTACACATTCGCCAGGCTGAGAACTTTTTCAGGCACCAAAATTTTATTATTGAGGCTAAATACCTGTATTTGCACAAAAATTTGCACAAAGTTTTAGACCACTGCCCTATTAGACAGTGCTTAATTCTGTTGCTTCGATGCTTTGATGGTGCATGAATATAATTTCAAACTCTCAATATTATTTACAGAGGCCAATTAACAGTATCAACACACTAGCCACTACGTTTTACAGTGAAATTTTAGATATTTATTGTATGCCTTTAAAAATAATGTTTCACAGAAGACTTTCATGAGTCATTCTAACTATCTTTCTTTTGTATGTTTTGTGCCTTCCTCTATTCAGAAATGATGATGTTTCTCTGAATAATAAAAGTAAGTCTGATAATTTGCCCAAATTTGTAAAATGACTAGTTATAATTTTTTGTTTGATTTATTTATGTCCTTAAATTTCATCCCTCAAAGTTTCAGTGTGTGATTTTTATTGCACGTACAAAGTCTCTTATGAGTTAGCACTTCATTTGAGGAGACTCATCATTACTGTTACTCTCATCACTGTCAATGGAAAAACAGCTAAGAATAGAACAATTCAATCATAGTCTATCTCCAGTAGCCTTTTTTTTTTTTTTTTTTTTTTTTTTTTTTTTTTTTTTTTTTTTTTTTTTTTTTTTTTTTTTAAAGTAAAGAAGAATAGGAAAATTAATTCCAATTCTACATTGCAGAGAATGAGTCAAACTTCAGCCGATTTCATTGAGTTTTTCTTCTCTTTTACTCTTTGTAAAAAACTGAGAAGTTCAGACACAGAAACCAAGGAATTTCGTTGATAAGAATGAAGCAACATAATTTTTAACACAACAATTGAATCGTGCTGTGCGAAGACCGCAATTGTTCATTTTTCTAGTTTTTATTTTTTTTCATGCTCATAACACTTTTTAAGAGTTGATACAATCATGAAAGTGGTGCAGAGACTCATTCAGGGATTGAGAGAACCTTAAATCGAGTATTAACGTGACTTTCATGGTTGCATGTAACTCTGAAAAGTATTATCAACCCAAAAAAACTTAAGACTGGAAAAATGAACATCAGCGGTTTTTGCACGATACGATTCTATCAGAACGAAACTTAATAATGTGGCAGGAAATATCGATAGATGAATCATTACCTAATTTCCGGTTTATATTGGCAAGTATTTAGACTGTGTGATCTGCAGGCTGACTATTGAAATTGATAGACAAAGCAATAGATCAAGAAGACGAATGGGAAATGAAGATTTCCCATTGGTGAAAACGGGTGGTTGCATTGGACAAAGGAAGTATGTAAACTAACCAATGGCAACCTTCAAGAGACCTTATAGTTAGTCCATCATTTTTCCTCTCAGTCTGTAGGAACCACCTGTTTCAACTAATAGGATCACTTTATTTTCTCTTTGTCTCCTTAGTCTAACGCTTTGTCTATCAATTTCAATTATAAGTTCGTAGGATGGTCAAATGAGCAGCTCCTTTCATTTGTGCTTCCTGATTGAATCAACAAGGAAAACTCCTTTTACGCTATTTACCTAAAAAAAAGTTTATACACCTTACCATCAGCATCCTCTCTTGCCTCACATTTGAACCAATATTAACTTCATTTATCAACCGATCTCAATCTATAACTGTTTTTTTAACAAAACTATTCCAAATAACGATTCTAACTTTTAAACCAAGTTTTTATCCTTGCAGGTGCTGTAGTTGACAATCGGGAGACAAATGATTCGCAGATAGTGACAGGTAGCACCTCATGTGGGGAGAACGATAAGAAACTAGATAATCATCTTGTTGCTGTTTATGAGAAAACAGCTGAGGATCTCACCGTGGATTACTTTCTGAAAAGTCTAGCAAACACTGCTGTTGATATCAAGAATCAGAGTGAGAGAAAACAGAACAATGGTTGTCATCCAGATTTCTCTTACCCGCTGTCTTCAGTTTGGCCGAGCAAAGGGAACGATAAACAATCATGGTAATAAATTGCTAATCATGGAAAGAATAGCATCAATTTTGCCTTAGTACTTAGTAGAATGACAATTTTTGCGATCTTTGGATTGTAGGAAAGGTTTGGTATAGAAAGCAATTTGTGAGAATTCTTGAAAAGTGATGATCTGAATTCTGTTTTCTACCAAAAAGTATTAGAAATTTCGAAGATATTGCGGGATTCCAGCCCACATCTTTGAAAAATTTTAGAATTTCACAGAGGAATATCCAAACATTTTGAAACTACCTTCCCAATAAATTATTGAAATTTTTTGGTAAAATTTCTATCATTCAAACATCGTATGTTTAGATGATATTTAGTTGCTGATTTAATGTTATCAAATAATATGTATTGCAAGGCTTCTGATTTTGAATAACTGCCCTTTACTTACACATTTCAAGATGCTCTCAGACAGCCCGTTGGGCTGCTTGGCAGGCTTCATAAGATTAGTACAATTAGCGCTAGCTGTGTGCAGCAATTTCGGAAAACAATTACATGCTTGAAACGGAGCCTGCTGTGCAGCTCGGCAGACCATCTGAACGCGCTTTGACATCGTCAAACTAAAAAAAATTTTTGAAATCTCTCAAAAAAATACATTTATTGTAAGTAAAAATTGATACATCTGAAGTGATTTTCATCTTTTTCTCATGCTGAATGCTCACACAAGTTGACATTTGTTGAAATTTTTTCTTCGTTGTTAGGACACAGTGAGGCCTAGTTGAAATGGAGTAGTGCGATTGGTGTCAGTGTGGAAACTCTTATTAAATGATCTCATCGTTGTATTTTAGTTAGTTCAAACAATCGATTGGTTATTGATTACAGAAAAAAGTATCATTAGCTGATTGATTATTTGGATGCTACGAGTAGATTTTCTACATGAAGAGTTTTAAATCAACAAAATCTACCAAAGCATTCTGATTGATTTTACATACATTGTTTTTTTAAAATCATCTCTGTGAAATAGATAGATTGGTTCACTCAGAGGTTTACATTCAAACTGCTCATCAGATTAGCCTATTTCAGCTTAGTCTTATCAAGTCTTAACGTTTAAGACAAGAAAGATCGATGTGACTGTTTATTCTTATTCGTTTCAATAGATTCTGTTGCATTTCGCTGTAGCCATCTTGTCGCAGAAATCAAATTCTGTGATCATGAAATTAATGATGAAGTAAACCTCAGTCTTAAGCTTGCTTTTTTGTTATTCTCGTATTGAAATTATTGTTTTGTTTGCGACTTTCTGTCTCATAGTTCTTGGAAGATACCAAATTTAGCAGAGGACGGTCGGTTTAAAATTGGTGACATTCATGAAACTGGACTTTATAACGACTCCGAGGACTTTCCCGATAGTTTTGATCCATGCATCTTGAAACGGTCCCATTCCACAGGGGATCTCATTTTCAGACGAGGTCGACTAATGATCAATGGTGACAAAGAATCTTGGTATGATTTCTCTTATCTTGTAAAACACTTTTACCCTACTCCCTTCAGTTTTCAGATTCAATCCTTGGTTTTTGACAAGGTGAATTCTATGAATAGGAGTGTTTAATTTATCTTCGGTTTTTCTTATTGTATTGTAATACTGCTTTAGCACTTGAACTGATCAAATGTGAAGTTAATTGTAAAGTTCACAAATTACTTACCTTCATTGGAAGATGTATGCAAACCTCTAAAAATTCAAACTCAGTTACTTCTCTTCTTTCATCTAAATGAGAAAAAAAAACCTTCAATTAAAAGTCTTGAAAATTTTTTGAAGACCTTGTTCAAGGATGTGAGGTTTAATTTTAGCGGCTCAAAAAGTGAGATCAGGAAAAAATAGCTAAATATAGTTCAATACAGCATGAGGAAGACACAAAATTATCCAAATTCAATGCCCTCTTTTCCCGCAGAAATGTACCAAAATAGCACATGGACTAGTTAGACTGTTTTTTCACAGCACTAATGAGAGATTTTTTTTTTTGTTGTTGTTCATGTTCGGCAATCTACTCTTGGTACTCAGTCTGAATTTTGATGAGGTGATTGTCATGTGAGAGATTTCCACCAAATTTCCGAAATCTAATGGATGAAAAAACCAATAGTGAAACAAATGAATATTTAAGTTGGAAGTCATGGGAAGTATACAATACATCTTTCCTCAGCCCTTTTTCATTTTAGAAAAAGCAGTTTGAAGATCTCTTTGTCACCGTGTGTCTTGTATGTTCAAACAAAAACTAACCGGAATATTCTTACCACTATTTAACCAGAAACTTCAAAATTTATAGAAATCACAGCCAACTCCAAGGTACTTTCAAGTTGAACTCCATGCAATTAATTTTTTCGCTAATAATTTTCCAGCTATCATTTAGACTCGGACCACTCAAGTCATGATGAACGTCCAGAAGATGAAGTGCGGAGATTACTCATTTCTTCCCGTGCAGCTCGTCACACACATGCAGTTTGTGGAGCTCAGACATCGCTTGAGGATACAACTACCTCAGACTCTTTCAATGCTGATTTTGAGGTAAGTTAAAATGTGTTCCCTCTTGGTAAAGAATTTTATGCACTATTAACTAATTTGCGCAAAACAATAACTCACATACCTAAAAAACCTCGCTAAGAAACAGCTCATATCTGCGCTGGAATTGAAAGAATTGGAATATCTTAAAAAAGATAAGTTGAGGAGGGAAGCTCGTATCCTTTCTCTCATAATATTTCCGATTTGAACCATTTAGATGACCTAATATTTTTATCTCAAATGCTGATAAAACAAATGAGCTTTAAACTATGCATCCTTTTCAATTTTGACCGATACGTTTCCAGAGACTCTGAACTTTTCCTTTTTAGCATTTTCCTACCCAGTTCCAGGAGAATCGTAAGATTACTTTCATGAACCCCTGAAATTACCTGAAAAAGTGCTGAAATCCTGCTCTCAGCTGTATACAGTGCGAATCATATTCCAATTTGATCTTTCTTTCTCTATGTCTTTCTTCTATTTCAATTCATTTTCTAAGCTTTCTTAAAGTATGGTTTCTCAAATGCAGTTTTGCATGTTACTTGACTTTCCTCTAGAAAATCAAGGCAAGTGTTCGTTGCTATCCAGCCACCAAAAAAGTCTCTTAATTATTCACTGTATGTAATAGCTCACCCTGTTAAATTTGTTTTCAGGTCTGTGATATTTTAGGCACAAGCTTGGAGGAGCAAGCAGAGAAGCTTAAATCTTCCGTAACAGAGGATTCTCTCAGTCAAGTGAGTCAGCTGTCCTCATCTTCAAGCGTACCGAGGCGACTTGGGACCATTGGCAAGATTTCAGCTGTGGACATAAACGATCAAAACTTGAACCAAAGTGACATAGCTTGTCCACCAGCTGCCAGTAATCCCTCAAAAGCTGAGAAAACTTTTAGCAGCTTTAAACAGAATCAATCGCTAGAATCGAATACGAGTCACACAGATAGTGAGAATATTCACAACGCATTTGAGGATTGGATTGGCACCCAAAATCTGTATGTACACAAGAGTTTAAAGAACAAGCGGCAAATAAGCTTATCAACTGAAAGCATTTCAATCACTGTTCCAGAGCCAAGAGTCCATTTTTATCATAAAAGGGACAGAAGTTTGAAGATAAATACTGCGAAAATCAAATCAGTTGGTAAATCTACAAGTAGCGAATCGGAAGTTGTCGAGAAGCCCAACGAACGGGACTCCGTAACGACCGAAAAATCAAGCAGACTTGCAAATGCAAGTGCATCAGAGAAGATAGTACTTCAGCTGGGTTCGAATAGTGTAGACTACGAATCTGAAACTGGTATTCCTAAATCACCAACTCTATTTATCAGTGGTGTTTCGATAAGTCGAACTCCTGAACCGAAATCTCCGGCCTTGTCGAGTGGTCGTCAGTTACGATCTTCCAGTCTCTCAGTCCCTCCCTTGTCATCCCCTCTCTCATCAACACCCTTGTCCTCGTCAGCAATATTTCTAGATTCGTCCAGCTGCACCACCAGTGCAACGCCCCGTCAGAAAATCTCGGATCTTAGCTTTGGTGATACCTCCTTGAAATTATCAGCGCAACAGTGTGACAAGAAGCATAGAAGTTCAAGTCCACTCACTCCGAGTAAGTCGCCGAAGAAGTACAGCGAAAAGAAGTCAAAATCAGCCAATGAACCTGAGAGGGATAGGGAAAAGTTTCATTTCATGAAATCGTCAACTGACGGAGCTTTAAGCTCTGTACTGCATATTCAGGAGAGTAATCTGAGCTCTGATGATTTTCACGAAGCTCTTTTCTTGCTCGAGCGTTCGCCGAAATTAGCCGACTCAAAACGAAGCAAGAAAAGCAAGAAAAATCGGCAAAAAGATAAGGAAAATTCAACCAGCGCAAGCTAGGTATCAAGCCGAAACTAAGGTCTGCAACTGACCTATCAACGCCTACTGAGCAGAGGCCTACAAGTAGAATTTATGTCAATCATTTTCTATCATTTTTGAAGTGTTCCATTTGTATACATCATTCTAGAAGTCTGGCTGACGTAAATTAATAACTCAGAGATGAGATTTTTTTAGTTATTGTTACGAATCCGCAGACTCGGATTTGAATTACATTTTACTATTCGGAAACACTGTTTTTGTCTAATATGTAGAAGCACCTATCTGCAGAGGGAAACTGATGGAACTTTTATCGTTTCTCGAATGAGCCAGCAATAGTAAATTCCTTTTTTCAAAATGTTGTCAGTTTGGACTTCACCAAGCAGTCTAAGTCGATTAAAGTCTATCTAAGTCGGATGGTATAAATCGAGAGAGGTTAAACAAATATTGAATCATCTTAATCGAGCCGTGTTGGTGTAACAGTTCAAAGTGTGATTCTATCACCAGTTGTCCTTTTAACTGTTTTTCCAATTGTCTTGTACATTTTCTTCCTTGGTGCTTTCTATGTCGATGGTGCACGAAATACAGAAGGATTTAGCAGTCTGTATTTCAGGAACTCTGAACTGTCGTGAAATTCAATTTTAATGTTATTCATTTCTGATGATTTAATTCTCTTTTTTAACTCTAATGAGTGTCTTTAATTGATGTTGTTATTATTAATGCCTTTTTGGAATATCAATGGGTTCAACCTCTGATCACAAGTATTAAACATATTATCTCTCCGTTGTGATCATGCAAAGCCAGCTTTTAATTTTTTGGCTATTTTCATAATAGTTAGAATACATACTTCACTGTGTCAATCAATTACTACTGCCAACATTTTTATACAATTTTTGGAAAATGGTCGTAATTATTTTACAGTATTAAGAATTTATTCTTGTGCATAAGATCTCATTCGATACTTGTTATTCTGTAATCTAACTAGTACTATAAATTTTATCTTACTCACTGGAAGCTCTCAGCGTTTTTCACTATGAAACTGCAGGTACATGTTTATGCCAAACTGGAATGTGCAGCCAGCCATGTAAACTTGCACGGACAGAATTACACTTGTTGGAGTGATGTAAAACAGTGCATTTATACCTGCAAACTTCAAATCCTTTGTTTCGCACTCATGACTGTTGTCCACTGTTTCAAAATGACGTTAGTAATGCGATTATTCCTTTCAGCTCAAATTTGTAAATACTCTTACTGCCATTCAAATTGGTGCATGAGGTTATGCAATTCAATTTACAGATTTTTTCCTGTAGTCTTGTGAAAGGAAATATGTTTTCTCCGTACTTGTTAAGTGCATTTACACCTATGCATTTTTCTGTATCAAACGTTGAATCATATGATCAGCTAAAGCATGAGGTCACTTATTCTCACCAGCTCCTAATGTTTTACTCGCATCATGTAGTTAGTTTTTGAAAGGGCCTCAATCATCCAAGGGACAGCTTCGTTTGTTGAAACTTCTTGATTCTTCATAAGATGACCTTAAATAAAAAATTGTCTGGTTTGCAGTAAACTTGGATTACTTACAAGCCCTGATACTTGATTCTCTTATGTGGAAAAATTTCAGAGTGTTAGTGGGAGTATTTAGCAGATAATGTTGTTTTGTATCTGTCATGTTTATGCTCGTCTCAGAGACTTAAAATCAGAATCAACCTATGTTTCAGTTGAATCGGTCATTCTCATACAGACTTAATTGGCAGGAATGAAAGTACAAGGAAAACAGTAATAACCGTTTTAATTAATCAGTTCTAAATTTTACAGCTCTAAAATATCAAAACGATGAATTAATCAATCACATTATTATTTTATCTATAATCTAAAACGGGTTGATATTTACAAATTTCCTATTTTTATTGTATTTTTATTTCTGGCACCCAAGTCTTTTTGAGAATGGACATTTCAATCGTGTTCCTGCAAACGTCATGGAGTGACTTGTTTGGACCATTATTTTTACTTTTCTAGAAAGAGAGCACATTCATCATTTGATTTGGTGTCAAGCGGTTGATCAAAGATGATCAAGATGTGTGAATGCACTTAACAATCCCTAGCTCTAATGACCTCACAAAACCCTAAGCATGAGCTGCGTTCGTGTTTTTGGGCATGATTTGTAACCGGACAACATTTTGCAATGCAGAACTGCAATTTCTGTCTCAGTCTAGGTATAGCATATGTATTATTAGTTTCCCTGTGGACATATGTGTTTTTACGGATGAGTCAGAAATTGTTATTCCTTCTTGCAAAGTGTAGTCCGACTATACCATTCACGTTCTGCGTGAAGGCTCTCAAAATGCATGATCTAGAATTTTTTATCCATAATACCCTTTTTCAGCGATGTATATTGATTACCTTTTTTGTATCCTTTTCTTGTGTTTAACTTTTTCTATAACTTTATTGTATGAAAGAAGCAAATGTCTTTCTCCGTTTAGATTAAGATCAACTGAGACTGTGCTTACACCATTGATTTTGAAAAATCTTAATTAGGTACTGAAGAACCTTGAGAGATCGTTTTTCTACCACCATCTTCTGTATAACTTTTGCTGGTAAGATGAATGATCATGCGGAAGTAGATCATTTATCAGTCAAGTTGGAGGATTCCGCAACAATCAAGAATTTTTAAAACTTACCCTAACAAAGTCCCGTTCAAATTTTTTTAAGTGTGTGAAGTTTTTCTATTCCTTCCTAAAGATAACCAGAATTTAAAGTTAGATAACAAATTCGAATTTTTGTCTTTAACTACACATCTTTAGTATTATAAAATTGAGTCTAATGGTGCTGTATGATACTTTTAAGAATTCGAATAAAACATTCGATGGCTACCAGAATACGAAATCACGTAGCTCCGTTTGCGACTTTTCAGACCTCCTCTCACACTTATTTTTTTTTAGGAGGCTAGTGAATGTAATTCCTTGAAAACTTTCTTGATTTTTCCCTCTCTGTCATCAGAATTTCAAGCTATGAAGTTGACTTGCTTCTCTTCAAAAAAGTTGAGTAGGAGAGGAAGTTTTGAATCTCCGCAATGGAGATATATTGTATTGCACTTTGGCCATCATATTATTTGAAGTAAGTTTAGAAGTTAAAAGAAGCTGAAATTGGATGGTTTCGGATGCTGTGAAGTTAAAGCTAAAAATTGAGTTCTGAGCTTTTGATGCTCAGATTTTTCTCGGAGAGCCTAGCAACCAACTCTTTTGAAAATAAAATTCTTCAGTTTCTAAAAAATGTTTAACTCACAAGTTAACACTCTTTAAAATCTCTGGCTAAGCTGTAAATAAAAGGAATTAAGAATTATGAAACACTGCCAATTTCTAGTTCGGTAGAATTCAAAGGTTAAAGTGTGAATAATCTCAACTTTTTTTTAAATATTTTAATTATCAATTTGCAATGGCTGCTGATAAAAGTTGCTCCCTTCAAAATAGCCCACAAAGCAATTGTTTGGTTTTATCATACTACCTCGAACTCTTCCTCAAGCATTTTCAAAGGAAGAAGGCTTTATATTTCATACAATGACCCATTTTCATCTCACTATTGAGATCACGTTATAAAATTTTTACAATTTTGTTAAGCCTAAACTGTGACATTAGTCGATGAGCGTGGTAAAACTTCAACATTTTGTATAATGGTCAGGAACACACTGAACTATACGCAAAATTTTACTTATACATATAAAGAAAAACCAATCAAATTGAATTTCATGAAAAATTAAGGAACATTCAAGTACCTATATGGCTCTTCCTTGCGTGTCTAAAAATATTCTCTAAAAGTGTAATGCCAAAGTATTTGTTAGTTTTTTTTTGTTTTGAAAATTGAAATAAAAGCAACAATTTTGAAACACTGCACTTGAGATGTAGGGTCGTCCTCTAATTTCCTTAATGATAAATGGTCTTTGGAGTCCCTGATATAGTTTTTTTTTTTTTTTCTTTTTTTCTTTTTTTCCTACACATCAAGCTCTCAAAAATCATTCTTGTCAATTATATTTTTATGGAGAATCTACAAGAAACATTCACAAAAATTCTTCAGAATTATCCTCATGAATTACAAAGGGCTCTTATTTTAACCTCCCCTAAAATTGAATCAGGTTGTTGCTTGTTGTATGAACATTATTCCTTTTTAGATGTCTTTTTATTTTATCCATTTAATCCCATGTATAGTTTGAATACTGAGGAGAAGTTTATAATCACATCATTCAGGAAGTAACAATCTGTCGAGGCAGAGAAATAAATGTCTGAGCCCATTCAGCTAGTCTGTTTTTGATAATGGGATAAATTATTGGTTATAAAATCTTGAAAACCTGGATCAGAAAGGTTATAATTTGGAGCAATGAGAAAAAATGAAAAAATTTGAATGAAACTTTTTATTAGAAAAACAGGAGGGGAAAAATAGAAATCAATAAGTAGTACACTTTTCCTTAAAACTAAACCTTACCTTAAACTACAGGATTAACAATTATTTTGAAAGATGTAACAACATACACTTGACAAAATGAAGGGTAAATGCTCAACGTGTTTAAATATCTGTAAAAATTAACAGAGATAAAATCTGTCGATGAAATCATACTACGAATAGGGCAAAATACTATGGGGGATCGCAACAGTTACAATGACCAAAAAAAAATCAATAAAAAGGAGTTCAATTATGACCGTGGCAACTTTAGCCTATTCGATGATAACAGGAGTCACAGAAGTGCCTCGTGTGATTACATCAAAATAACAGGCTACCACCATAATGCAACATTCTCAAATTCAGCCATTAAATCAATTTTATGAATAAAAACATCGAGAATCTATAAGAGAGAGAGAAAGCAGGAAATACAATTGCCACCAGAAGCAACTCCTCAAAAAAAAATAAAATGGACGATTGTACGACTTTTAGCTGCACTGGGTCACAGTTTCTTATTTCGAGTACAAAATTGGTTGGAGTTCAGATAAATCAGACCATTGAGTGGAATTGAACTCTGGAATCTTCTATCAATGATGGTTGAGCTACAATACTTGTCTGTTAATTCTAATGGTAAATTTAAGACCTTCAGATCGAACGTCTGCAACTTGTGGTTTTTTAAAAAAAAATTTATAACAACTAAATTTGCAGTCTCCTCCGTAATGAGAGGAGAGCTTCGAGAGAAAACTTCAGCTGATGAGTAAACTGGAATTTAAGAACAGTAAATTTTTTTGAAAAACTGAATCGCTCAGGTAAAGTTTCCATTCGATACCTAGTTATTGGAATGACTAAACTGCGGAGGATAAAATTTATGGGAGACTGCTTGTAAGAAGAGAAATTTGGGCAGCAGTATTTTAATATAATTAAATATCTCAAGTTCGGTATAGCTGATTTTCCTATGTGCTCAGTATTTTAAAAGTGTAGACTTTTCAACGATTCTATTAAAATGATACTACGCATGAACAATTCAATCCTTAACACCTGAAAAAATAGACTAGAGGCCTAATGTATATTCTGAGGAAAACTTTTAAACAAAAAACCAATAAAAAAGTATTCTTCTTTGTTGCGAGATTTCATTTTGGACATCAAGCATATTGAGAAGGTAAGATCTTGAACTTTCCAGAACTCAGTCTTTGAAATTAAAATTGAGGAAAGCAATGAGTAATTTTTAAAATTTTGCTGAGCTAAAATTAATGACAAGAGATTTCAATGGAAAGAAACGTCAAGGAAGAGTGTTAAATGCTGAACAGCTTATACAGTCCTTTCTTGATTTTCTGAGAAAATTCAGAAAAGAAAGAGTCTAAAATTAAGGCTTATTCTAAAAAGCAGAGAACATGAAGGTACGAATTAGAAGATTTCAAATAATACGAAAAAGATATACACTGTAAAAAAACCCACAAATATCACAAAATTGTTCACGAAAATTACATAAATACATGCTTTGCAGCCAAGAAAATCATACAATTTTTTGGAGGCGCAGCTCAATGAGTCCTGCTTTAGGGCTTTTATATTTTTTACTCTACCAAACCTGCATTTTGTGAGGTAGGAAAAGAGAATGAGAATTCCAATTTTTCTTCAAAGAAGAAAAATATATATGTACATTATAAAAAAAATTGAAACCTCATCCTCTCAGCGTGGAAAATAGAGGGAGATTTCGAGATAAATGATGGGCAGGTACTCATGAGAAACCTACGCTCATGTTTTGAAGCTAATTCAAAATACATTACAAAAGTCTAACTAGAATTCTAAAGGCTGGTTTCTAATGGTCAAGATGGCTCACATTTGATGCAACGCATAGTTTTGCAATCTGTTGAAAATTCTTCTAATTTCGTGTCTGCATCGCATTAGTTGGTATCCGTACCAATGCATCCAAACCTTGAGTGCATATGGAATGATCATATAAAACCAAACCAAGTTCAAAAGCTGTTGTAGTGAACGAACGCTGCTGCGTCCATTGGAAACTAGGTTTAGCTCATCATTCAGCGGTGAGCCTACTTCAATGAGGCACGCATTTTCGAACATAGGCAGTCAAACTTTCTAACGACTTTTACAGACAGCAGAGGAAAACTTGACAGGCTAAGATGGACAATGATGACACAAAAATAAACAGCTGGGAAGAAACATAGAAAACTTACATGAACCATTCAAATAAATTTCAAAAATAAATTGCAATTTAAGTGATGTGTGCTGATTAATTCAAAGATCATTATCGTTAGGCAGAATACAAGATTGCAGGTTGATTCAGAATGAATCTATGAAATTCATTAAATATACATTTCAAAATAATTTATGCACTTTGATTGGAACAAATTGCAGATATATTTAAAGGAAAAAATGAACGAGGGGAGGCAAGTAACATTAGAGGGAAGATGCATGAAATAAAGGATCATATGAAATATTAGTTATAAACTTTTGATTTTTCCCTCTCTTGTTTCTTTCCAGAATGGTCAAGAATGTTTGAACAAACATCCCATTACTTTGGAGGATTAAATAACTTGAAAATAAACCTTCCATCCAAAACAAAACTACTGTAACCTCTTGTCAAAGTTAGCTTCTTTATTCTTGGAAAGAGGAAAATTCGAGGGGGGGGGGGTTACACACTTTGTTAATCTAAAATTTTAGTGAAGCTTTCAATTTTTTGACACGTTTATTAAAAAAAACATGAGAAAAATGATACATCGGCAAGAAAAAAAAAGAACAAAAAAAACTTGAAGCATTGACAAGATCTTGCTGGCAATGATAGAAAGCTCACAAATTCAGATTATCTTTGAGAGGTAGATTTTTGACTTTTTTAAGGTCACTTTGTTTCAAATTTTATTTGCTTGCTGGGGCAAAATTTTTGGATGGATATAAAGTTTTATAAGAAATTTTGATTTAGAAACAAGAGGGGGGGGGGAGAGGACAATTGTCTTGGTTGAACGTACAATAGATATTTAAAAAAAGTAAAATATATCTTGATGATTAAATAGATGCATTAAATAAATGAAACTGGTCGGATGGGAAACAGTAAAATAATAATAATAATAAATAAAAAATAAATGAGAGAGGAACAGACATATAGTTTACGCAAATATCTGCATAAAAAATTGCTACCAGATATAAAAACTAACAATGATTCACCGACATTTTTTTCAAACATTTAACTAAACAGCAGTTCAAAATAACAAATTAGTTGCCTCTAGTTATAGGAACATTGCTACTTGAAATCAGTTTCCACATTGAGTGGTTGGATTCATACAGAAACAAGGAGACATATGGGAAACTTTGAGTTTAAACTAGAGGTAAAGGAAAAGGAAGGAATGGCGATAAATTACATTGAGTTTACCAAGCAAAAACAAGATCAAAAATTAAAAAGAGAGAGAGAAAAAAAGCAATGATAACTTGAATTTAAATCAAATCCGTCACGGTGGAAACAAATAAAAATTTTGAGCCATCGGAAAACGAACCTCATCTTGCCAAGCAAAAGTATTGAATTTGAAGACACACAAAACTATTGAATTTGAACACACACAAAGAAGAAGAGATGATTGTTTGGGGAGGAGAGGGTCCTCAAATTTTGTTGATCTCAAAAGAGATGGAGAGATGAGGAGATACTTACCTAATGGAAGTGCTCATAGGTATTTTACATAGAGAGGAAGTGATACACATAACCCTTTTGCAGTATTTTTACCAGAATTTTTTTTTTAAGACCACCGTCTCTATAGAGGTATGTCTCTATTCTGGCAATTTTGAGGCTTGTCAAGCCTGGGAAATGAGAATCCAAAAGCTGGAATTTTTCCAGGCAAAATGAAATAAAATTGAAATTGACTGCACATGTATCTCAATGATTTTGTGCAGCTGGTAGTTACTTATGGGATAACTTCAAGCCAGTTCAGGAAAATTGATCATAAAATTACCTTGGCAAGTCAAGGTATGCTTCCGTAAGGCAAGATCACAAATACAACAGATGTCTTGTCTTTGCACCTAATGCAGTACATCAGTTTACATTTTCCCTGGCAATTTTAAACTGATCACAATGAGCCAGCCATCCTATAAACTGACAACAAAAGATGTTCAAACAAGCAAGTAATGATTCTAATTTTAAAAGCAGTCTTTTTTCAGAGGAATTAATTCCGTTGAGTCCTTGGACCCCTGAAAAAGCTACCTCAATCTGAAAAATGCATAGAGCATATGTATCTATTATTACCTCTGATTATATTTCCTAGACTCCTGATAGCTTGAAGATTTTTCTTGAAATGTTCTTTCATTTTTGCAATTCTTTTAGACACATCAGCCAGCGCCCAAAAAACTCTCTACATAATTGCACAAAGGTCCATCAAAATTATCAGATATTGTGGCAAGACTAATGCTCCTTCTTTATTGCACCGTTAATGAGTATTTCATAATTGGTTCAATGGTAGACCCATAGGTAGCATTAATATTGCCTAGGAACACACTTAGCACTTGTTACTGGGCTGGACGACATCTTTCACAAACACCTGACTCATCATGATGGAGACATTCATGGAATTCTAGGTGAAATCTTGAAGACTGTTACACAAATATGTTTCTTCAGTCCTTTTTTCCCGTTTTTTACAAGTATCGCGTGCGATTGCAAATAGTTTTCAACCTGAAGATGAGCTAAGTTAGCTTGAAATGATCGTCGTCTAAGAAAAATCATCAAACCTCATCACATCAGGTACAAAAAATAGGTAAGTTGATACCGCAACAGATATTTCAACTTGAAGTTTCTCTTTCAAGCAATCAACTTAACTTTCTACCTCCAGAAATAGGACTGCCTAGACCACCGAAGGCCTGAAGCTATGATCTTGAAACACAAAAAGCTTTCACTAACATTTAGAGTATGTTGTTACGGAATGACTTCGTAGCTTCACTTCGGTTTTTGATAGCAACCGCTACTCTTAGCTTAACAACTACATCTAGTTTACAGCTAATTTGAAATCACTGGAAACTAGAAGACTGAGTGCAGGATCTTTATCGAACAGCTTTTGTTTGTTTGTTTTTTTTTTTCATCAAAGATTCATGCCAACTCTGGGTTAGAAATTACAGTAAAAATAACAAAATAAAAGAGTTATTACAAAGTACCTAAAACTATATCATTTGGCATTGGAATAGGATTCATAAAAAATATTATATTGCAATCTGACCATACCACAGGACGATACAAATAAAGCAGACCATAAGGGGAAAAGGGAAAGTGTCATAATTCATAAAAATAGAGGAAGTTCTGTTTAAATACTTTAATGTGGGGGAGCAGCATGAAGGCTTCGTTTAAATTTTGTCGGATGGTTTCTTGGAAAGGTTCCGAAATTACGAAATAAGACACAATTCTTCATCTGCATCAATAAGTTTACATAAAAGGAAATGGATGATGACCATATTTCTAGGGGAAGGAAGCAAATATAGACATTAGGAAAGATAACAAGATGAAATTCAGACTGTCTTCCTTCATACTTTATTGTTTTTCCAAATTAATTTTAAGAGATATGTGAAGGTCTATTGCAAAATTTGACTTCATAAAGACGTTCTACTCTTTGAAGTCTGGAATTTAAAATTCCAAAATTTATTATTCATCATTGAACTTTGAACTTTAAACAATGTGAATGTAATTCTTTTAATTTTTAATTTCTCTATTTTCCCCTTGAAACTTTGGACCTTAACCTCCTTCTCTTCCAATGCCCTATATTTGGAGCATTTTTACCTCTGGAAATTATAATGAAAATAAAATATGATGGCATTCTGTCAAAGAAGAAGCTGACAGCATTAAAAAAAAAAAAAAAAAAAACAGGAAATTCATCAATAAAAATTAATGAAAAGAGGGAATTCTGACTTAATCCCCTGTGGGATACATATGGATGGTGCTCAGTCAAGTAAAGCTATCTGCATTTAACGTTTCATAATTTTTTCCTGCAGCCAATTCTTCCACAAGAAAACTTACCCTCATCATTACTTGAAATTTTGAGTGATACTTTATACATGACTTGAGAAACTCTGAGAAAATTTCAAGAAAATATTTTGTAGTTTTCATTGTAAAAATATGACACAGGAAATCATGCTCAAACATAATAAGCGGATAGTTCTGTCTGACTCACAGCCGTCCAAATAAGAGATGAAACCTCCAAGGTTTGGAGAAATTGAAGTAAAATCTACGCTTCAGCTAAAATTTCAAGGAGTAATCTTCTGAGACTGTCAACACCGGTAATGAAGCCATAGTCAGGTCCTTGATGAATTGTTGATGAGTTGCTCCTTTTGGAGTTATTAAAGGTGGTGTGCGCAAAATCTATTATTCTCACATCGACTAATGGATCTTCCACAAGACTGGAGGATAGATTTGAATGACTGACAACCTTGTTGTTATTGCAATTAGGATTCAATTTCTGCAGTTTAGGCACTGATACAGATGGTGGCAGCATTTCACTGTCCTGTGTAGGGCCTCTTCGAAGATAATTTGTCTGACTTGTTAGCAGCTGGAAAGTAGACATTGATGAGCTTGATAAATCATCTGATGAGGAACACTCTCCAATCATGGGTGAAATTGGTGAGCAGCTTCCGCCCCAATTATCTGCAGAGTTTGAACTGAAAGAAGACAAAATTTTTTAAACATCGAGAAATTTTGAGTATTAAAGCTTCTTTGCCACTTTCAAGAATCATTAAGTTAGATGCTCTCAAATAGCTATGGGTAGCTCATCTTTCAACTATGTATTGTAATACTGAATGATGAAAATTTTGTTATGACGCTTATTTTATCCACAGCTTTAGTCTTTTTCCTTTATTTTCATTTTATCTTATTGAATATATTAGTTTAGATGCAGTTTTATCCTTCTATTTTTATTTTCAAAAAGCGCAACAAGCAACTTCTAGGAGAGAAACACATAATGCTCTGAAGATGGAAGCTTTGTCTTCCGAGAGGGCCATCAGCGAATAATACAACACTTTTCTGGTGATAAGGAGGTGACAATGAATCATTTACTTTGCAATATTGAATGACTTTTAATCTGTGCCACTGAATTTTATTTCAAAGTGCTTCTTTCTCCCACTCATGTTACTTTTGCAACTTGCAAGCCTTTTGAATTAATGGCCAGTTTCATTCAACATTGAAGCATAAAATGTAATACGCAATCTTGCTAAGATAAAAATTTCATAATAATATAAATAAAGTGTTAAAAGATACTCTGACAAACACTAGCCACAAAAATTCATAAAAAAATGCCTGCATTATCAGCCAAAACAGATTTCTATGGCTCCATGCTGACTAAAGTATGTCAATGTAAAATGTTTGAATGAGGCTATTGGATCATACATAGATAATACCATTATGCAATGCACAACTCCTGAATTTTAATTGTTCACATGAGACTATCTGATCACTAAGCAATTGAGCAATGCATAACTTGTGATCAAACAGACGTCAAATGAAAGCTGCATCTTACTTTTAGGAATTTTTTACCTTCTTTGTCACTCGCTGTGCGATGATCTAAAAATTTGATGTCAGGAAAAGAATACATGAAAACATTATGAAATCAATTCGGTGCTATTTAAGACTATGCACATACCTTGTTAAAGAAGTGGCGTCCATTGTTTCTTCTGAAATCGGGATAAAATTGGTTGAGGATTCAAGATCGGAACTGACTTCTTTCTCAAGGTCTATCCTTACAGGGGAGCTGTCATCATCCACCTCTGACTCACGAGTGCCTTCATCACTAGTTTCATTGCGGAGCAGACTTGGTTTTGCTAAATTTTCCATACACCCTTCGTACACAATCAATAGTGAACTGAAAAAAAGAAATCATGACATTGAAGAAGGCTTTCTTACCATTCACTGCTTTCAGTTGTTCGAAGAAGAGCGTCTCATCCCCTAAGGATACCTGCTGACATTTGACATCCCTTTACTAATTACTGATATGCATTCAGAATTCTATTAGTGATTGCTTTGGCAGAAATTGTCACTAGTAGAGCTTCGACGGTTTTGCAATCGCAACTCTTCTAAAATTTTAAAATTGTCCAGTTAAAATAAGAAAATTAGGTGAGGAGATCATGATCTCTTGATTTTGAAAGTACCAAACAGAGTGAGACGAAATTGGCTATTTCTTTCCATCATTTTAAAATTGACTGGCATTCGTTGTGAAACTTATTAAAAAAATCTCTGAAGATTTACATGACAGAGAGGTCATTCTTCCGGCATGACGTTTCTTAGGGTGAAAAAGATAGAAAAACTTTTGAATTACAGATGAGAAAGCAAAAAAAAAATGTAAAAACAAAGTTATTAAAATCTCTAACCATACAATACAATTTTTGCCCCCCCCCTTCCCCCCAAAAAAACGAATTGTTTGAGAGATGTTAATGTAATGCACAGCTGGGGTGTCATTGCAAATCTGATTGTCAGTAGCCATATCTAACAAAGATTGAGGTGGCCGGGGCCCCTCATGAGTCGTAATTGTTGTTTCATTAAATTTTCAGTGCTTTTGTCCTTTTCTCCCGCATTGTTTTCATCATTAGCAAACGAGCCGAGGAACCCGAGTAGCGTTCAACACCCCTCCACCTCGCCCAGTCCTGCCAAGGCTGACTTATTATTTATACTGGTATGTAATCAGTCTTTGAAAATTAAAAGTATTTCTCACCATGAATAGAACCTGTAACTTGTCTGCTTTTCGATGACGCTTCGGAGCTTCTCCAACTGAGCGATTACTTTGACCATAACGTTCTTTCGTAGGATAAAGCCGTTGTGAAAGAAGCAATACAGAGCAGCCTTGAAGCCTTCTTCATTGAGTTCTCGGCCCCAGTATTTGTCACGTTTCTCAAACTGATTAGTATTTGCTTGATATACCTGAAAATAATCAAAGCAATGCGGATCAAATGCCAAAAAGCTACATGTTGCAAAACTCTTGCAAGCAATGCTACGCCTTCTTTAAAAGATCTTGAACAATGAAAAAAGTTTTGCAGTGATTGTAAGCTGAGACAAAGACATAGTAAGAGAAGTGTCTCACAGAAGAAAAGTAAAAAGGGAAATATTTTGTGAAGGAAACAATTTGGTTTTAAAAAACTTTTGAAATTAGAATGGCAAAAGTATGCGGAAGTTCATATAAAGAGGTTTCAGACAGAGGAGCTAAGTTGGGTCACATTTTTGTAAAGTTCCACTAGACACTTTATTTATTTACTGTTCAATATTTGCAAACTTTTTTTTTTTAAAATTTGTTGCGAGAATCTTAGTTTTTTGACAAAAATTGCTGAAATTTCCAATTTAAAATATGCACCTTCTGATAAATAAATGAATAATATGTATATAAACTCAACTTTTCTTGCTCTCTTTCGACAGTTTTATGATCTTTTCTCCAGAGAGTAGTTTTGTTTTACTAAAAGACTTTTACTGAAAAGTTGCTGGATCTTGTTACTTCATATTTGGTAAAAATTTAAAGTAGTACCTGCATGCCGCAGAGACGAACACCTAGAGAGGCACTAGTTGAGGCGGCGCATTTTGCCATGTGTCTACTTTTTTTTTCTGCTGAGGCATCATCACCATGTTGTCTCGTTCCCATTTTCAGATCTAAAATACACGGGCTTCGGAATTTCGAGGTTATATTCTCTAAAAGTAGAAAATCTGTAATCACAGGTTAAGGAAGCTGCCACTTCAGTTCAATTTCAAATTACGTACTGATTGATGAAGTGTGTTCTGTTTAGAATTTGAAGCTGCTGACAGGGCCTCTCATTTTCCAATTGATTTTAAAGTATTCTCATCATATACTCAGGGAGGCTTTTCATCCATGAAAAACTAAACATTTTAAGCAAGTTAATAAAAGATAGCTGGTTAGCTGAAGAGGCGTTGTTGGCGTATTAGGTGCCAGGAGCCTACATCACTGATTTGCATAATAACTACAAACAGAGCACTACCAAGTGCCTATTATAAGGGATACAAATTTCAAGCTTGTGGAATAGTAATTCAAAAATGTACATCCTGATATATTTAAACATTTTTTTGATACATCGATTTCAGAAAAATTGTGCCCTTATAATTGACTAGCCTGATTGGAGCAGGCAGTATGCTGTGGATCCACAACATGCCATGGACCCACGAAACAAGGGACAAATGCAACTTAAACCCTGTTTTTCAATTTGCAAAAAGTGGGCAAATAGAGCGTAGCCAGAGAATCATTTATTAAGCTTTGTCCACATGAGCGCACTTTGCGGAACTTTTGGGCAAATTATTCCAAGGAACTAGAAGACAAGTTAAAGCTGAGCTACAGTAAGTTCCAGGAACAAATTCACCCATTGTTCCGCAAACTGTGCTTGTGTGGACAAGGCCTAGGTCTATGACCAATGAAGGTGTTTTTTTTTCATCCTAATAATATCCTGCCATCTAATCATCATTAATGAGAAGAATGAAAAGGATACATTGTTTGTTGGAAGTATCAAGATGCAGAGTGTTCAACGGCTTTGAGAGTTTGTTGGACGCGCCGTTCCTGTGCACTCTCATCCTGAAAAAAAAAGAAAAAAAAAGGATTAACTAAAGCTCAGATAAAAATATAACACATTATAAAAAATTAATTTATAAAAAGTATGACTAATTTGAGTTTAAATATTTGTACACCTATAGCAGGAGTTTTGTGTTCCCATTGACAAAGATAGTTGTAAAGGCGAGAGCTGTGATTTTCTAAGAAAGTATTCAGTAAAAAAAAGGTTCCTGAACTCTAAAAGTTTTGTGTTGTCTCTCTTTTCGGTCTCATTCTCTCAAACACATCTAATCAAGAGATTTCTCCGTTGTTCCTTTTCACTTCTTAGTCATCCTAGAGAGTTTTTGAGTCTGTGGCAATGGTTGATTAAAATGGATAATCCAAGAATTCTTTCTGTGCTTGACCACTGGCTTCAATTTAATACAAGACCCATCCTGATCTGAATAGTGACGATGATAATCAAGAAAACATGATGAAGAAAATTTACCTGTGAGTTTTTGAATAAAGACTTACTGTTAGCTATTGCTAAACTGCATCATCACTCTTCTTTTAAAAATTCTTAGGTTAGGAGACTAATATACTTTCAGATACCACATCTCAGGTGTTTGCAGACACTTTACAGGAGAGAAGTTTTTCTGTCTTCTTCTAGCTTGCGGGGCAAATTGATTTTGTGCGGGAAATTTTGTGGCTGACAGCAGTAAAGATAAATTCATTTTTTTCTGAAAAAATAAGGTCTAGGCCAAAAAAATTATTCCGGCCGGCCTGGCTAGAATTTGTGTTTGTAAAAACAGGTGTGTTTCATGATTTTTACTTTATTAAAGAGACACTATTAAATCATAACTTCGCAAATACTAAAAAAGAAAAAGGGTCTTTAAAGCAGAAACTAAATACCTTAAAACGTCATCACGTTTACGCTTCACTGAACGATTGGACTCATTGCGGAAACTTGGGCTGTAGCGTTTTTCTAATTTGATGTCTCCACTATTGATTGCTTGAATAACTCCTGAAAGACACAAGAAGAGGTTTTTTTAAAAAAAAGTAATGGCATATGCAAAGGCAGTCAGCAGTATCATTTTCATTAATTGAGACATCTCTTTAAATTTGTTGATCCGATAGTGTCCCAGGCACCAAGGGCGATTCTAGCAAGTCGGCAACACTGATGTTTCTCTATGTATATGTATGTTAAACAATCGATTCTTGGTGAGGCAGCTTGTCTCACCTGAAATCGGTATTAAAAAAGAATAGAGGTAAAACAATGTTGCCAACTTGCAAAACTGCCACTGCGGCAAGCACCATCCACCTATCGCCTTGAATGCGGTTGGACTTAGTTTTGTAATGCTCTCAGACCCGGTGGGGGAGACCGTGAAAAACAGTGAGGCATCTTTAGCATTTCATTTATTTTTGTGCTTCAGCTTGAAGTAATATTTTGCTGAATCGACTGAAAATGCCAAGCAACAAAATAAAATGCAAATTAATAAATTTTGTGTGCATTTGAATTATTATTGTAAACATAATAAATAAATAAAAACGCCAGCAAACCTCTTTTACGGCATGCGCTTTGTTACTACCTTTTTCGGGAGGGGGGGGGGGGCTGGAGGCTCTGACTTAGACTACTCAGTAGTATGTCAGAAGTCTGTGTGAAAAATTGTGCATAGAAAAGTTTCAGAAAATCTTGAAGCTCTGAAAAATTAATGGCTAACAGAATGAAATCCTCCCCCCTTTCTAAACTACAGATCCCTCTGTGAGTTATTGTGAAAAATACTAAAACTCATTAATTTCCCTTCTTCGGAAGAGGAGTTATGATAGTATAAAAACAATAAAATTAATAATAAAAAAATGACTAGAGGGTATAAACGAGTGAAAACAATACCTTTATATTTTGGAACGAAAGTTTCAACATCATTGGGGATGTTTTGGTAGAAGTCCAGTTCCCGAGGGTTCAGCGGTTTACAAATGGTGGACTGATCTAGCAGTAACATTCTTGTATGGCCACCAACCTGGAAAAATTTTAATACTTATTAGTAAACAACCAGTAAAGATGATGACTAACGAGTAGGAAAAAAGAGAAAATTTGAAGGGGCAGGAAACTCCAACATTTACTGCCTTTATGCAGGTTACAGATAAAATTTTAAAAATTATCCCTTCTTTAAAATATAAAAAAAAAACAGGAGAAAAAGAAAAGGAAAGGAAACTCATGAACAAAATATTTGAATTTTTTTTTTTTTAAAGTAAATTCGTTGGTTCTATTCTAGGAATTCTCTCTTAAAAATAGAGCTTTTGTAAGCCCTAGCTTTTTTTCTTCCATACTCCTGGGCTACAATGTTGAGGTAATTGTAATAATGGCGACTTATTTTGGCATTAGGATCTAAACACCGATTTAAAAATATTAAAGTCAACTGCTTTCTCTATCAAAAGGAAGTACTTCTTATTTCTTGTTCATGTAAAGTGAGGCAGATGGCTAACTGATGTGTCTTTGTAAATATGGATTTGGTGACAGAATTGAATATTTCACTTAAAGCCGTTTATACTTGTGGTAAGAGAACAAAATAAAATGCAACTTTCAAAACCAAATAAAAGCTCTGGTATGGTTTTATCTCTTGATTTTTTTCTTCTTCTATCATGTCTCTACGGATGGGTGCTAACAATTTAAACATTTTCAAATGAAAGTGGAAAGTAAAAAGAAATCGATCTCTTTACAAACAATTAATTTTCCCGTATAATGAAAGACACCCACATGGTGATGAATGAGTAGTGAGCGAATACTGAATATGATGAAAGACGAACACACAGGTATTGTGATTGCGGACAAAATTTTAAGATAATGCTAGATAAATAGAGCGATTAAAAAATAACTGAGAATAAAAAAAAAAAATAAAAAAACCAACAATTTTCAACAAAATTATTGAAACAAAAGTAAGGTAAGGAAAGGAATGATAAGCAAATAAAGGAGAGCCCTATTTCATTGAATGTGAAATGACAAGTTCTTACTACAACAAATTTCTGCTCCATCGAGCGCTGCTCTTCTGGGTTAGAGAGTTATTTTCAAAACACTTGCCATAACTGGACCTGTAACAGATAGCTCCGGGTGGCATAGAAATATTTACTTCCGCTCCCCTCCTATCCTAATCACATCTCCTCAACAAATTTTCTCCTTCACAATAAACTTCACGTTAATGATGAGCTATGTAAAATTTGCAAATGAATCATGTATGATAGGTTGCCAGATTTCAGGGTTTCAAACCCATCATCTGATTTTCGATACTCATTTTTTTGGTAGGGAAGGAAAAAGTGAGAAAAAAAATATTTAAAATCTCATTTCCATGGTTTGAACTTAGGAGGGTAGCACACTCTTTATTTTGTAATTTCTTGTCATGTTCCTGCTTTTCACGCAAATAAGAAAAATTACACATTTTTTAAAATCATATTTGCAAGAAGTTTAGCAACATTTACACTCAATAGGTCCCTGCAGCAACCAATTTAATGACAGAGCATCCATTTTTCCCGTCCTCATATGGTATTCCTGTTTTCTTCCTTATCTCTGCACATCATACTTGGAAATTTCCAAGTTTGACTTAATATTTGATTCACTATTTAAATGAAATGCATTTAAAATAATTGATCTATTTGACTGAAGGTAATCTAAAAATTGTTTTTAAGAAATATGAGTATGGAGACAAAAGTGAAACAATTGATAATTCCTTTTCCCCCACTGCACTTATTTTAACTGATGAGAGAATTTTGTGAGGCTGTGCATTTCATGATTGTAAACATTAAATTAAATATTTTTAATTTGTTGTCATGTTGATAGCAAACACTCGCTTTGCTGGAACACATTCAATGTCAGCAATTGTGTAAGGCGTGTATGTATTTTAATCAGGAAGAAAACATTGGAATCAAATGCAGTCAAGGATAAACTTCAGCTCAAACTAGAGTGGCAAATTCTCTTGAGTTTCAGTAGTGAGTGATCAAAAACACACCTAAAACCAACAGTGGGAAAAAACAAGAAAGGCTTGGACTTCGATTGTATCATCTCAAAAAAGTTGCTTTAAAAGTCGTAGCTTCACATGGTAACTTCAACTTGAACTTTTAATAAACTAAGGTGTCTGCAGACAGTAAGGTAATAAAACTTTAAATAATTGCCAAATTTTTCTTCAAATAAGTTTCAGATTTTTCAAATTCTTAATCAAACTCTTCCGTAGGTTAATGCAAGAGAATAACGGATTCTAATTATGACCTATGTTTGTAACTGTGTCGCTAGTCCTCCTCTACTTAGCGCCCATGTGTAAAGTCTGTTTGAAGTTAAGCGTTTCCGACAGAACGCTTCAGGGTAATATATGTAAGGATCTCCTTTCTTGGAAAAGAGACTCTTACTTTATGAGGAGTTATAAATATGGCAACTTTGAGATTAGTGTTCGAAAAGTCTTAACCACTTGTTTGCACCTAAGAAAAATGAAAATCGAAATTACATTTTTATGTTTTCAATTTTTAATGTTTTTTTTTTCCTTCTGTGCCATAAACCTACTATCATGGCAAAAACCTGTTGCTAAAGGAAAAATTTCTCTGCCCGGTGAGATTCCCTTATGGATGCCACTGTATGTACCGGAAAATAGATATCATTAACTTAGGGGCTTCCAGTACAGTTACTTTTTTTAATGCAAGCACAAACAATAAAAAGTGGATGGTGAAGAGTCTAGAACACTTTCTCAAGATACGACAGAGCAAACTGCACAGAAATTACATGAACATTTTGTTTCATTCTGTGTGATGAAAACTCAATTAAACAAAAGAGAAAGTATCGACAAACTGTTAGGGCGATTGAGTTTGGGGACCACATACTAAACTTGCTAAAATGTGGTGAATTTTTCATATCGCAGGAGCAAAATTATTGACATTTAAATGATTCAGTTCTACCGGACTAAAATTATCATCGCAAAGAGAAACTGAGGCTTTCGTAAAAATAAAAACTCATCATCCTCGGTGGAAATTCTTCATGAATAATTTTTTTATTCTACAGGCCTGCAGACACCCTTAAGCAGATTCTATTTTCAAATGAGTACGAGTGAAGGAGAAAAGAGGCAACAATAATTTCAAAAAAATGAATGAACATGAGCAATTCATTTTATACAAACCATACTGGTAGCTCAACTAAGTCGCCTACAGTGAGTCATGAAACGCTGTTCCTCTTACCGTGTCATAGAAAGATGGCCGTCACTTGAATGCAAAACAAAACAAGAGACTTCATCTTCGACTACGCGGACTAGAAGTCACAGCTTTGATATGCATTTAACTTTAAAAAAATTATCTCTGGACTAGAATTAAAAGAAAAAGAAAAAAAGACATGACACACGTTGAAATTATGACGGGCAATTAGAAAATTTCCTAATAAAACGGCAAAATGACAGCAAAACGCCATAATGATGTGCTCAATTGCTCTATAGACAAGAAAATACTTTAGAGACTACTATATATGCATAACAATTACTCAATGTCAGATATTCATGGATATTTTTGTTTTAGGTGATTGTCCTTTAAATTACAGATGAAACACAATACCTGAAACCATGAACTGAATAGAAAGGGAAAGGAGGAAGACTTATGATTGAGAGAGAGAGAGGAGGGGGGAGGAAGAATGAGAGGGAGAAAAACGAGAGAGAATAAACAAGAATTCGGCAAGAGCAAATGAAAAGCCTGGCAAGCAATACCCCCAATAGAAGAAATAACGAGAGATGCGCAAAAAGAAAGTTATAAAAAATGAAATAAACAGACTAGAATCTATGGAAAAAAATACTTAGCTTATGGGTAGAGAACCATACAAAAGGAAAGAGATAACAGATGTGGTGAGGAAAAGCCCTTTATTTGGCATTCACATTAGTGGAAGGTGCAAGTATCCTATTTTAAAGTCCAATAAAAAAATGTTCTTTGCAATCAAGTCTTTTTTTAAGGCTCCAATAATAATGTAGCTAAATTAATGCTCGACTTGCAAGGTGCTGGGGTCAAAAAATACCTTTCAACAAACCCTAATAGTAGAGCCAATATTTTAATGGTGGAAACATCCAAAAAGTTTGTTACATGCTCCCTTAAAAGACATATGTATTGGTTCAACCAGGAGTGCATTAGGATTAAGTCCACGGGTTTCACTTTTCTTGGCAATTTCATACATATGCACTTGAGATCATATTGGTCTACCGCTGATTACTTGAGGTTGTTTGCACCAGCTCTTCAGTAATTTCTAGCTTTTTGTCATCAAGCTTTACCTAATTGGCATAATTTTCAAAGATAGTAACTGATCTGCTTTGATGGGTGGTGTAGAGTATTGACAAGCCTTCGCATTCAGTTTATGACATTTCGAACCTATACCTTCTTTCAGACTTTGTATACCGGGAGGTCTTTCATTCTCAGACAAAATCAACCAAGGCGTGTTCCTTTCGGGTAGTTTTTCTACAAGATAAATTGAGCTTTGACTATTATGAAGCCGACATTATTGTAATGAACATTTCTTGTTGGACATTATTTTGGCCAAGGATATTTTTAGCGAGCACTAGAAGGATTGATGTTGGATGAAAAAAAGATAAAATTCTACGGCAAGTCAAGTAGAGAGAAAGGAGAACGAAAGAGGAGGAGACTCCTGAATTTTTAAGTGTAAAAATTGTTGATTGAAGGACATTTTTTACGCCTGTAATCCCTTTTTCTTAAAAAAAAAAAAAAAAAAAAAAAAAAAAAAAAAAAAAAAAAAAAGAGGATTAATAAAATAATGGCTTTTTGAAATTTGTTTGGTTCAGTTTACACTGATTTTGGTAAACGTAAGCATTTTAATTATTTTGAAAGTTAAATAAAGTTTTTTGCTGTTTGTAAGTCGCTCAGTCACAAGATAGGAGAGGTAAGTTTACTAAATTTTAGCTTGCTTACACATTCAATATTAGCATTTCTGAGCTGGATTAATTTTTTAATAAAGAGAAAAGAAAGAAGAGAAGAAGATAAGAAGAGTTATCAAACCTTTTAGCAATGTATAATTACTGGAGTCACACAACCGATTAAGTACACTTTGTTGTGCTTAAAAGTTCAGCTTCAGAATTTTAAGATAGATTACAATAGAGTGACTGCTAAGAATTTTTGAGGACTGTCTTTCTGATGTATTTCTAGATATATACTTAATGGGTGTTGAGGTATGATAATCATTTGATGTTTGTATTTTTATTGGTATCTTATAATTACTATGCTGAATTCTTTTCATTGTGCTTACTTATCTTTCGTCTTAATAATCATGACATTTGCGTCACTTTGCCAAAGTAATTCAAGAGAAGGAAAAAAAGATGAACAATTTGGACATTTTATGTTGGATTTCTACAAAATGAATGAATAAAAAATAAAAAAAAAACCTTTAACTGCACACTTAGGTAGGCAAACAATGAATTCCTGTACTTGATCAGCTTTCTAATTGGAACGTGGCAACATTTTAAAAACCACAATAATAATTTTATTCAATTACCATAAGACAATTAAAAAATGGTTGGTTCAAATGAGAAAAAGATAAGAGAAAAGTAAAGCGGAGAATGTAGAAAAAGTAGACAGGAGGTTATACTGATGATTTTTGTTTCTCTTACCATATAAAAATTAGTTGATTCAATTTCAACCTCTATCTCTTGAATTTAGAAATACATTGTATTGACACAGCATCGTCAGTTGATAATATTTAGAAAAATGGAGAAAGGCAATATGTATGCAAAGGCTGCATACAATGATTGATCTCAATGATTGGAGGGCTTAAAATTTAATTTCCGACTGATTGATACAAGTAACTTTAAAAGCTGGCACCTTAAGAATACGTAAAAATCTCATTCCTCCATCCTCAAACATCGAAAAAGAGATTTTCACTTTGGTCTTGTATTCTTGCAAAACACTTAAGTTAAGGCCTTCGTCTCCCTATCAAAACTCAAGCGAAGAGAGCATCTTCAAATACAGTCTTCCACACATCCAAATATTAAACTTGGTTAGACCTCATGCCCATAATGGTTACAGATGTTAATTTGCTCGAAAAGCAATTACGGTTTGAGAATGATGGATTGTAACATACACATCTGTTAAAAAAAAAAAAAAAAAAAAAAANAAAAAAAAAAAAAAAAAAAAAAAAAAAAAAAAAAAAAAAAAAAAAAAAAAAATCTTTTGCTATTGAAAAAGCTCGAGGCTTGCCTTAAAACTTCGAACAAGGCTTTACAGTAAGTATTAGCAATCAAGAATTGATGTCCGTAAGAAAACTCTTACTTACCTCCCTTTGAATGTTTCTCACGGAATCAACACTTATCCTAAAAAAATTTTTCAGACATAATCGAGCACATACTGTATAGATCATTTCGGCCCGACACGTGATAATCATTGTCCTTCAAGGACCGATACAAGTGCTTCCCATTTTCAAAATGAAAAAGTAGTTTAAAAAAAGAAGGAATCCTCTGGTATTCTCCGGTAAAAAAAAAAAAAATGAAAACAGGACGAAATCTTGTCACTCAATAGAACACTGAAAGCAAAGCAATACGGTGGGTAGAGAGAGAAAATTCTCCGCTCCCTTGATGAAATTTTACGGCCAAGATGGGCGTAACGCGAGCGAAAACATGAGCGGCAGCAGAGATGAAGAATGAAAATACGGTGATGAATTAAAATAAACCAGAATGAAAGTGAAGATAAAATAAAATTTAAATCGTCCTACTGATGCTAGTGACTAGGCTATTGATGGGATGGACAATGAACATACCTGGTTGTTGAGGGGGAAGAGGGCGATCTCAGCGTCGTCCGAGTCGCTGGACGACGAGGTGTAGTCAGTGCGCTGGAGTTGGTTGTAGCATTGCTCGAGCTGGGTTTGGAGTTGTGATTCGCCCATGCCCCGGCCAGCGGTCGTGTGAACCATCACAGCTTCTTCGGCACTCAAGACGAGAATTGAGGTGACGAAACGGAGAGCCCGATGCGGGTGCGAGACTTAGAATTATCGGCGGACGAGGACTAGAAGACGAGACGAGTTAGCGAGGGTTAGCGAGGATCATTAAATGATCTTGAGGAGTACGTTTATGCTGACTGGGAACACGATGAAGTATTTGTTGAAGTAATTCACGAGAACCCACATTTAAGAGGGGCCTGGAGTCCCTGGTCGGCGAGGAGACTGCTCTTCAGCGGCTCACAACTCCGCTGAGCTTCCTGCGCATGACGTCATGGTCATCGTCACCGATGATAGTCTTCGCGGAGTCACTCGATGATACGATGATGATCGACCCCGCTTGTCCTTCACTCGTCCTCTTCGGCGCTCACCGGACTGGATCTGGAACAAACACCACATGATGAGAGAAATTAAACGAAGTTTGTCATGATATCGGAAGTACAACAGACAACACCTAGTAAAACAAGCTGTTGGGTAAACAAAGACAAAGGCATAAGTGTCTTTTCCTCCAAGTATATCGTAAAGTCGTGCATGAAAAACGGTTTCAGCGCAGGAAGAAGAGGATGCAGAATACATTACACATAAATTAGCAGGCTACTAAAACACACTGGCCAAAAATCAGAACTTTTACAGTACTTATTCAGTACATTCCCAAGAGATTGTACCTCCTCAACAGAAAAATTCAGTACTTTTTCAGTGGGTACCTCCATGACGAAATTCGAAAAATTTCAATAATTTGAATTCCTCACTCAAATTGCGACAAAAATGACAAAATTCCAGACCTTTATGCGTAGTTTCCGCATTTTTTCGTACTTCTGAACCGCCCTTAGAAAATCAGTACTATTTCCGGACTTGTAGACACCCTGATCATAGTGTAAGAGTATCGAAAATGGGGCTTGGACATCGAGGGTTTGGAAACTTCTAAAACGCCGGTCGTTTCTCGCGGAAGGAGAAAATTTGAATTTCTCACTCAAATTGCGACGAAAATGACAAAATTCCAGACCTCCATGAAGAGTTTCCGCACTTTTCCGTACTTCTGGACCGCCCTTAAAAAATCAGTACCATTTCCGGACTTGTAGACATATAGTGTAAGAATATCGAAAATGGGGCCTGGACATCGAGGGTTTTGGCCTGGTTACGCGCTCAAATTTTCATCAAATTCCGATCAAAATGATGACCAAGATGGCGGTCGAGAGTTATCCAGATTGATGAGTAAAATTAATTAAAACAGCGTGTTGATTGAAAGAAGCATGAAATAAGCACGGTTGTGTGGAGATCAGATGAAGGATGAGCCCCACAGTTCCATCATATACCATCAAATTTTTGCAGGCCGCAGTTTGATGGTAGATGGTGCGCACCAGTCACCATTCGATCGGAAATTGATGGGAATTTGAGCGTGTGACCAGCACATTAGGAAAGTTCTAAAACGCCGGGCGTTTCCCGCGGTCCGGCCTTTTTGCCTCGTGGCACATTTCCGATCCCAGAGAAAAATGCCCAATTTCCCGGTAGGGTATGCCAATAATTGTCGGGCGGCCGCGGAGTGCTGCAAAGCGGGCGGCCGACCGAGAGTCGGGAAGGCGCTGGTGTCGCTTTGCGGCTGCGGTTGCGGCTAAGGGAGCGTTTTGCAATTCGACGCGTTCTAGTTCGCAGTCGACACGTGCAATCAATACTCCACGTTGGAATCGGTCCAAAATCCATCGGTGGATACGAGCATGATGCATGATCGCGGCCCGGCGCGGCGTGGTACCAGCTCGCGGGGTCGCCTTGGGGCGGGCGCTACGCCGATCCATATACGGCCAAGACACCGAGCACACCAACCCAAGAAACGACCGAAGCAACCGACAACGGTGGGGGCCATAGGGGAACGCAGTCCAATCCTGGAGTTCAAACATAGAGTTCTTCGGTTAGCGAATAATTATTCGATTTAATCGTCTAATTTCTAAAAAGCAGCACTAAACCTCAACATAAATTCCAGCACGAAGACCAAAAGCACTAATATTTGGACGACATGTTGCAATTTGGAACTATAAATTCTGGCTCTTCCGGAAAAACACTTATGTGCATAGGGAAACTAATGGCACATACGTTGTTTTTAAACCGGGCTAGAATCTATAGGTCCAAATTGCAAAATGTAGTCTATTTGATGGAAACGCGGGATTTCAGAAGGAAATAAGGAAGTAAACGGATGGGCCTGGAGCAAATAAGAAGTTGCTTCTTATAACGATTGGCTTCAAAAATCATGATGAGTGCATCGGGAAATTCTGAATTGGACCGCGTGTAGCAGAAAGGAACCAAGTCACGTCAGCTATTGCCAAATTCGACTGGGCAATTTGATTTTTTACAAGAGAAAATTGGTGCGGATTTCTTTGAAAATGTAAAGGAATCAAGGATCCAGCCTCGAGTCGTACGATGCAGAAAGATCCCTCTTACTTGCACAAAAATCTGCACGACCGTTTTCATGTAAAAATTAAATTCCCCGATTAAATTTGGCAACAGCTGATGTGCCTTGGTTCCTTTCTGCTTAAATGCTCTGCTTCCTGCCCAAGTACACTCTAACTTCACAATTTACGAAAGAAATATGTTTTTAAAGCTTCCTGCCGCAAAAACGATACTACGGCATAGGTGAACATTTCATACGAAGAGTCGTTCCATCCTACCCTTGCGCACCAAGATGCTAAGGTCCAGTTACACGATCAAATTTAGCCATCAAATTGGGCCTCTCATTGGTCGCATCCTCACCTCAGGTCTTTTTCCACCGATCAGAGCTTCAGTTTGATGGCTCAATTTGATCGTGTAACTGAACCTCTACAGAATATTCAACTTGGCTGATGCTTCCGCGCGCAAATCGTGAGGAGGCACCGTGGTCTTTTAGTCAACGCAAGGGGAATGCAAACATACATATAAAGCTGCCAGTTAGTAAAATCCCGTTTTGCCACGTGTGTTTTGGCGGGTTGGCGTCAGTCGTGCTGAATATTGCGGAGCATCTCAGTGCGCAAAGGGTTGAAGGAACGACTCCTCTCCCGAGAAGTATACACGTGTGCCGTAGTATCGTTTTTGAAGCGGGAGGCTTAAAAAACCGCATACTCCTTGCGCAGATCGTGAAGTTAAGAGTGTATTTCAGACTTTGTCGATGCGCTCAGCGTGATTTTTGAGCCATTTTCCATCAAAATCAACTCTCCCTTGTGCTCTAGCTGAAGTTTGCAACAGGCCCATTGTGCAAGAATTTGCTAAAATATCACCCAGAGGGTTCAACGCACATGATTTTTGATTCTTAAATCCGGCACACGGATGCTTATTTAGGTACACTCGGGGACCCTGGCATCCCAGAGTTCTGGGTATATATTATTACTGAAAATTCACCTTTTCAAAATACGCATAATAAATAATTACTGAATTTTCGATTATCCAGCCGATCCATTGATCAACTAATGAAAATACTCTGAACAGCACTAAAGTAATCTACTTCAAGCAAATAAATAAATAATTAATTAATTAAATAAATAAATAAAAAATAAATAAATAAATAAATGGATAAATAGATAAATAAATAAATAAATAAACAAACAAACAAAAACGGAAAATTTCCATCACGACAGGAAAATTCTTCCGACCTTATTGAAGTCAAAAGGTCGCGGGATCGAGCATTTTCCGACCCCTGATTTAGAAAGAAAGGTCTTTCGCCACAGACTAGGTCACGTGAGCTTTTACTCGATGCTCCAGCCGTGCTGTGTGAATTAACCATCACATCGTTGCCAAGTTCCTCCAGGTCGAAACATTTTTTTCCAGGAGACTTGCAACTTTACAACTCTGAATTTTTCGAGAGACTTCGGGCGCGATTCAAAATAGCAAGACTGGGAGTTTCAAAGAACGACATTTGTAAATTTTAATCGGTGGAAATTTGACGAAATAATGTTAAAACGCAGCCCATCCGTAGCGCGCGCGGCAGGAATAGTGCACGCATCACGTATGATGTTATTACGATATCAATATGGGAGCTATAAAACACAAAGGCGGGGAAAGGGGGTACACGAAGCACACATACTGATAAGAATACAGGTGCCATGCTCTGTGCCCGATAAACGTTACGCTGGTTGTTTAACAACAGCATGTTGCACGCCTGCACTTGTCCTGGAGTGGCGCGCTCACGGTCGCGTAGATAAAATCACGAGCTACAATACAATTTTATTACGTTTTTTTTTTTTTTTTTTTTTCATAATATTTTTTTCGTTAGAGGTGCTTGGTTGCTGGAGGCCTGGCTTTGCCGTGACGTTAGTATACGCGATCAAACCACACGGGTTGTGGATGTGCTGTTGCATCGCTCGCACTCGTCTGAGAGCTGATTATTGACATTGATAGACTAAGTAATAGACAATGGCGAAGAGGAGAGAGGAAATAGCACGATCCTATAGGTGGCAGCAGGTGGATGTAATGGACAAATTAAGGAAGTAAGTGATAGACTATAACTATACCGGCAACCCACGAGGGACCTATGGTTAGTTCATCATTTTCTCCCTAAGTCTACAAAAACCACTCGTTTCAACCGAAAGGATCTCTCCATTTTCACGATGTCTTCTTTGTCTTATCGCTTTGCCTACAGATTTTAATGATTAGCCCGCTGGAGCTGTCAAGTACAACCAGCCTGGAAACTTAGAAGTCAGGACGGCTGTAGTTGAAGGTTGGAATCCCTTGATTTTTCCAGGTTTCCTCCGACCAATTTTGCAAACCGTGACAATTCACAAAATACGGAATGAAAAATAATAATTCGGAGATCTTCTGGTTGGACCGAGCCCTGAGCTATAGCCAATGAGGCTACAAGACTCGCCACGAAAAAATTGCTGAATCTGTAAGTAAAATGGGGTTTTCATCCCTGCTTCCTCCGGTTTTCCGGACATATGAATTTTTTGGGAATGTGGCAACCCTAAAATTGGGAATCTGCCGTCGCCGCGCGCCTCCGTGTTCTAATTGACCCATTTTTAGGGCCTCCAGCGATGAGTTCGAGCCACCGTTTTAGATACAAAATAGCGGCCAGGGTGTCTACAAGTCCGGAATTTCCGGAAATAGTACTGATTTTTTAAGGACGGTCCGAAAGTACTGAAAAAGTGCGGAAATTCCGCAAGGAGGTCCGGAATTTTTTCATTTCTGAGCGAGAAATTCAATTTTTTGAAATTTTTCGAATTTCGTCAATTGAAGGTACTAAAAAGTACTGAATTTTTCTGTTGAGGAGGTACTGAATTTCTTGGGAAAGTACTTAAAAAGTACTATAAACGTACCGATTATTAGCCAGCCTGTTTTAGTTGACACCCTGAGCGGCGTATCGAACAACAAAAAACAGTCGATATCATATCGAATTGATCTCTTACGGCCATTTTACTGGCCT